GATGGATGCTGTACCTCAGTATGTACTTGACTACTGTGAAAAGTGAAAACCACAACTGCTGGTGACACAAGGAGGGAGGGGAGATATCATTGATCAACAAAATGGGCTAGGTGGCCCGCATGAGATCGTGCAATCTACAAAAACCTTCTTTTAGTGACAGGGTTGTTACTCGCTGCGTAATGGACGAGATTCGTCGTCGCCTGCATGACCGATACCGATATTTCAACGCCCACGTCGCTTTGTGTTCCCCCTCCCAAAAGACCGGGGAGTGGGTTGAGCATCTTGGGCCCTGAAAGGGGAAGAAGAAAATAAAATAGTGCAAGATCAAAACAAGCCATAGCCGTGCGGCGATCAACGAAAAGGGATATGGTTCTTTCGATCAAATGCGCCAAGGGGGTGTAACCCCGAATACCTCTACTCCACCTTGCCACGATGTTTAATATGTAGACGCTGATGGCTGCCCGCGGTCGCACCTGGCCCAACCGATATTCTCTACCGAGTCCCCTTCTCCTGGGTTGGTGCCAGCGGTAGGCGAAGAGATGTTAGGTGTGGAGGAAAGGAAGGGGGGTAGTAACGGGATGGATGGGGGTTTCGTCATCATGCAGGCCTAATGGGATGAGATGAACGGAATGCTTGGGATACATGTATCAACAAGTGCGAAGGGCGGGCGTGCGCTCCAGTCAGAGTGCGGCAAGATGAAGCCGAAAGCGAAGCGAAGCCAAAAGGGAAACATCAACGAGGACCTTTCAAAACCCACAACGTCACATCGCCTAGTTGTTTCGGGGTGTGCGGATTCGCCATTCATCCACGATGACTCGATCAAGAGAGCTTTCGGCCGGAGCTGAACCTTGGAGTGGTGAGAGGTGAGAGGTGAGAGGTGATGCGAGTTGAGGGATCCATGATTGATGGGTTGAGCCAGGAAAGTGCAAGTGCAAATAGAGCAAGGAAAAAAGTGCCCAACAGAGAGATTTGTCAAGGGCGTGCATAGATTGATCCATTGCATGGGGCAACTGACGCTAAAAAGACCATCCAGTTGATCCCATCCACCCGGTCCAGTCCAGCATCGATATTTTAGATGCACGCCAAATCAAATCACAGGACTAATCTGTAGACGAGCTTCCAAGGGGGCGGAGGGGGGCATTGACAGCAAGAGGTGCTGAAAGGGCCGACCATCAAGCCGGGCGAGAGAATTTGATCATTGGAACAGTCAAGACAGTGTAGAGCTGACAAACATTGAACATTCAACTACGAAGTATTAGAGGCCAAGTTCAAATGTTTGCAGTTGGACCCTTGCTGTGCGTCCGCGAATCTTGTCCAATGAGAGGACGATCCAGAGAACCAAAAGCCGTGTGCACCCAAAGGGAAAAAAAGGAAAAAAGACGTCTTCTTCGGCTTTGCCGTGTCCCACCTGCATCTTTGCTCCGTCTTTGCATGCACGCGCCTCACCAAAACGTTTAGCTCCCGCAATCGCACCGACTCCGATTCGATCCCGGAATCCGGCGTGTGGGTGTGTTTTCCGCACACCAATTCCAAACCATACATATGGATGCAACCCTACTGAAATCCCGGCTGCTGGAATCAAGGCCCTCTTTTTCTCTTCGCTTCTTTTTTCTTTCTTTTTTTTTCTTTTTTTCTTTCTTCCACCCCGGCATATTAGCTCGGAAATATTGCTCTCCTAGCCTTCCAATGGCACATTTTCTTTCCTACCGTTGGCGCTGAAACGAAAGGCAACTAAAATGCCGGCCTCCGGAATTGGATATCGATGACGCAATGGCGCCGCGAGAGTCTCGATGTCATGTCCTTAAAATTCCTTTATAACCCAACTCCTCTTTACACGGGTGGCGAATACCACTACGCCCACAGACACCAATTGCATTGCATAGGTTGAAGAGAAACTTGACGCTTCTGGAGGGTGTGCAGGGGGGCAAAAGGGTCAGCGCATGTGGCCAAGTGCCTGCCGTGATGATTCAAAGTGCGAAGAATAAGAGGCATGTAAACCGGATAGGATAGGTTCAAGCATCCGCCAAGCAGCGCAGAGGGAAACCATTTCCCCTCCACAGCAAATTAGACTTGCGCTTTTTTACAAGCCGTCAACGATGACCCCTGGATGTCTCTATGCACCGTCAGCTCTCCCGTGGCGTCACAATGGACCCGGAGTCCGAACCACGGGTTCTAGAGCTCGTGAGCCAGTACGAACCGAGGCGCAGGAGTAGGGAGGGGGTAGGGGGCTGTAGACATCCCATGATTCCATCCATGTCCGCAGTGGACGTGGTGGGAAGAAAGGCCACGGACAGCAAGACTTTCGAAACAGACACATCTCCCATCTCCATGCGCCAATATCTTGAGTGCGCCTAGCTCTTGAACTGGCCACGAATCCTCGCGATTCCCTGCATTAGAGCCACAGCCCATGTTTGAAGCTATCGATCTCCAGAATGTTCCATTCGTACATGTACGCATCAAGCGTGTTTCTGCAGGTGACGGCCAAGGTCTATTAGCTCAGGAGCCAAGACCTTCCACCGAAGACGGGCCAGATCGCTCTTGGTCTCCTTTCTCGCGGGCCATATCCCCATATCCATTGGTCTCGCCTCACCCACCGGGGCGAGCGTCCTCTCGTGCCCCGACCCGTGCCCACCACCACCGACCGAAACTACAGCCCCTTGTGGGTTCCTATTGCTTTTTCCCCCAGTTCAATTTCTCAAAGCGCTCACTGAAAGCCCCCCGTCTCTATCGTATCCGAGGCTAGAATTTGACATCCTTGTTGAACGTCCCAGTAAAAACCCCCTCCAGCTTCCCCCTTTTAGCTAACCCCGAACGACAACCCCCAGGGCATTTGTCTTGTCGACGATGCTCTGCCGTTGCAAATCTCTGCCGAAACCGGTGGACTTGCAAAACTAAGTGGTACTTTTTTCCACCCTCCCTTCCCTGCGCGCGCGCTTCGAGGCCAAGGATCTCCCGCCAGCCGCGGGTTCGTCAGAGGGAGGAACGACGTGTACAACAAGTAGGTCGCAAGAGACAAAGGTAGGGTAGGGGCAGGGGCAGGAGAAAAAAACAACCCAGCGCGAGTCAGTGAGTGAACTGTCACACAAGCATAAGGCGTCCTCGCGGGGCGCGCAAAAGCCATGCCGATCATCTCTCTTTCCGTCTCTTTCTCTCTCGCTCTCTCCCTCTTTTGTCGCCTCGCCCTATTTCCTTTCTTCCCCTACAGGTAATAAAGACGGTACCGGGGTTCAAGACAAGATACGCGCGGGCGATAGTCCTTTGCTTCGACTCATCCTGACTCGATGCGGGGCTATCTTGTTGACTCTCATGACTCTAAACGACCGCGATGAACTCTTGCTTCCCTTGTCTTCAAATTTCTCTCTTGGCTGCCCTACGCTGCCTCATCGTCTCCGCGCAGCCTCATACTCCCTTCCTCCCTTCCTCCCGCCCGCCACCCGCTCTCCTTCCTTTCTTGTGGTAGCCCGCCCCTCCACCAATCTTACACCGGCTCACGAAAAGGCCACTTTGTCGCATATCAATCTTCACATAGGCCATCGCCTTGCCGGTGTAAATACCCTGCAGAGGGTGGGTACAAGGGGGTGTTCCTTTTCCTTCGTGTCCATTTTGTCTGAAGTGTCTTCTACTTCTCTCTGTTCTCCGTTCTGCCACACTCCTTCCCGCTCCGGGCTCCCGGATATCTGACCTCAGATTTTTTTTTCCTTCACAACCTGCTTATGTACCCATTACGAAATTGGTTTGTCCGCGGCTTCTTTAGGTTCTCGCTTCCCACCATCCTTCACACTTCTGCGCCATCAACTTGAATGGTGGTGGGAGAGCGGGGCAACGTGGTGTGTGTGGATGGGTGTACCGGAGCTGAAGATGCTGGTCGGTTTTGACAGCTCCTACGTCCACTCCTTCTTTCACCCTTTACGTTTATATTAGTGCGGAACTTTTGAATGGGCCGCCCTGAGGAGTGGGTAAATCAATCATGGCCTGGTCCTAAAAGGGCGGACCAAAGGGAGACGATTAAAGTTTTACCTTGGGGAGCAAGGCCACAAAACAACCCATTATTAGCCTTGTTCTTGGCTCAGTATTCAAGTTACATCAATTGTTTAAGCCAACTAGCTTAGCTACTTTAAGTCTTTCGCTGCTAGCTACCCGCTCGACTCCTACCTTTACCCCTCCCTGTTTACACAAAGTCTGAGAACAAAGAACGCCAACACGTGAGAAGGAACCCAAAAGAGACACAGAAAGAGAAAGAGAGAGAGAGAGAGAGAGAGAGACAAAGAAACAAAGAGACATAGGAAGAGAGAGATGTGGAAAGAGACGACGCCCCCAACCCCACACCGCCCGCTTTCCAAGGATTAGTAGATAAAGAGAGTGCGTATGTGCGTAGGTGCGTATGCGTGTGGGTGTAATATGTAACAGGGAAATGTGTGTGCATGCATGGCGTAGTTGTAGTTGTGGTTTATGCGTGTGTGTTTGTGTGCCTGTTCGCAGAAAGAAACCGATAGGCGAGAATGAATGCGACTCCCGGGCCCGACTAATGCAAGAGAAAAGAAATGGAATCAAAAGAACCCCGAAAAAGGAGAAAAGGCGCGCGCGCGCGCAAGGCGGAAACGAGAAGGAGTGTCGCTCGGGAGGAACGGATCGAACGCCGCCGCCTCCCCTTTACAAAAAAAAAAAAATTCTGATAGGAACCAAGTTCGCTGCGCCATCCTTCACACCAGCCCAAGCCCCTTATGGCTCAATCTCCTTCCCCGCCAGATCCCCACTCCCCCTCCCTCTTCGCCTTGAATCCTCGCCCTATTAGACCTCAAAGAAACACCGAGAACCATGTGTCCACCATGCAGGCGTTTTAAACAAGCAGATGAACAAAAGGGACCGGGGCCGAGACCAGGGTGTGTGTGCGAGAAAAAAAGGAAGCCAAGGGGTGGGGGAGGGGGAACAAGAGGTGGAAATTGCATAGTCCAATAAATGGGCAAAAGGTGGTCAAGATGCAATGCAATATGATTGGAATTCTAGACGTGAAAAAGAGGGCTGCGATGTGAGGGGGGCGGAGGTGAGGACGACGAGAAGGAAAGATGGAAAAGAGGAAAACCACGTTTCGTCCGTAAACTTCGTCGCATGTAGAGCGTCCTTCATGCCCACCGGGATGGGTATCTGTCTTGGGCAAAGCCCTCCCGAACCTCGCATTCGCGAGTGAGTTACGCGCCGCGTTCCCGCTAGCCGCCCCACCAGGACCGCTCCCCGACGGCGCGAGGTTCGACGTCGTCTGCCTCCTTCCTTCTTGCAGCGGGCTGGATCCGCGGTTCCACCCTCCCTGCTCCAGCGCCGCCATCTCACGCGAGTTGCGCGGCGAGGACGCCTTCATGTCGCCCATACTAATGGCTTTCTTCAACGGCGACCTCGAGTGCGAAAAGACCCCAAGCTGCCCCCAAAGTTGGTGCCCGTCGACGTGCCCGTCGAGACGCCCATCGATAGTCCGGCAGGGGTGCCCACAGGCGTCGCCACGGCTGGTGACCCCATGGCCCCCGGCGTGGGGCTCGCGAGTCTCGGCGTTGCCATGCTCGCGGGCAGGCTTTGCCTGTGAGCGGGGATCGGAGGTTGCGCTGGACGGACTTGTACGCCTCAGACCTGTTTGGGACCGGCGTGGGCGTGGGCGTGGGGGAGAAGAGGCGCGGGCTGAGGACGTTGGAGTAAGCGTGGCCGTCGGGGTTGATATGCTTCATGTAGTTTGGGTTCGGGTGCGTCTGGAATCCCCTCTTGATCAGGGTTGTTGGTGTGCCAACCTCGGAATAAAGCGAGACGCTTTGGTTGAACAGGTCCGGATCCGTCTCACTAGGTGCCGTCTCCGTATCGACCTGGGTGGCCACATCGCGCACTACGGGGTGGAGGCGAGGGTGGACAAACTTGGTGTCGTACTCGTTGAGCACCTCGCGGTGGATGATGGACATGTCCTTGGCCTGCTGCTTGAAGCGAGACTGCATAAAGAGAAGCTGCCCCGACAGTATCACCTGGAGGAGCACGCAATTGAACACGGCCACGCTAGGCCGCGGGTCTAGAGGCGTGATGGGAAGGAACATGAGGTATACGAGCACGTGCCCCGGGCTAAAGAGGCAAAACACCTGAAGGCAGATTGCCAGAGGGTCCCAGATGGCAAGTTCCCATACGTCGTTTGCCTTGTCGACGTGCGCGCGCGACTCCGCCGTCTCGCTCGGCGCCATGCCTGTGAGGAATCGAAGTGGAGAGGATGACACCGGCTCAGACTGCACTTTGACCCTCCTCGCGGACGATGTCTGCGGCGCATTCTCAATGTTGGCCTCGAACAACCTATAATGGCGAACCCTCGTGATCGTGTAAAAGGCGTTGACTACTGAAACCACCACAAGTATCCAAACGGTGGGGTGGGCCTAGGTTCAAAGCACAAACAGAGTTAGCAATGGAATATACCTTGATACGAGCCGAGTGGTACGTGAGGCCGCAAAGAAACAACAAGGGTTGAGGGAACAGCAAAAAAGAATATAGCAGAGCAAAGGCGTGGGGATCGAGGGCCGAGGAGCCATGATTATACATACGATATAAGGGACCCAACCTGTCGCAGAGTCATCGCCAAACACGTCATCCACATCAGAACCGTCTCCCCAGTGTTTGCGCGAGCCAAGAGGAAGGCGAGGCTCATGAACAAACCGACGCGTGTGCCAGTTCCCTTGGAGTCCCATTCTCGTGTCTCAATCTCTTCCGATACCCATAGCAAGAAGTCCATGGGATTCAGCATCGCCATGATGCGCTCCTTCAACGGCCGCCGCCGTACTAATCTTCGCGTGGGTGGCATCGTTGATCGATCGTCAATCTGCTCGATATCGGGCGGGCTCGAGAGAGAAAGGTGAGTTGGAGATGGATTGGTGGGGGAATGTAAGAAGAACGAGAAGAAAACAAAAGATTCGAAGAGGGAAAGTCGGTTATGTGCTCCTCTCTTTTCTTTGTCCCCTCACTGACGAGTGGAATAAGGGCTATGAGAAAAAAAGTTACGCGTCCGAGAGGGGTTCACAAGGTGAGCGGCGTCAGGAATGCGTGACGTCCAAACTCTGCTAGAGGAGAACCGTCAATTCCGAGGATGGGACGGAAATGAGGATAGCGCGGTTGGATAGCACAAAGAAAAGACTGATCTCTGGCCACGAAAGGACAGGAATTTTTCGTCCCTCCTTCGCGTTCCTACCTGCTTCTCTTTGCCTCGTGAATGTCGACGTGCGTTCCTGGCGACTCTCGGCGCTGGACACAAATTTCTCCCTCAGCGGTGACGGACGGCGGCGCAAAACCTTGGGGGAAATATTGTTTGCTTTGGGCCAAGTAAACATTCCGTGGCATGGAGATGAAGCTATGACCACCGCCATCCATGACCGCCTTGGGTTCGGCCAGTGAGAGGTGCCGTGTGGGGACTCGGCTTCGTTACTGCCTGGTCTGGTGCGTGCAGCGCGCAGGGGAGTCGGCACAGCTGGCCGGCCCCAAAAATCCATTGATTGAGTGAGCGCCTATCATTTTTGGAGCACTGAGGCCAGCCGGGCCTCACTCAACTCTCGCCCGTTGATTAGCTAATAAAGAATCAAACAACGCCAGCCATCGAAGCTTGTCATCTGCCAGCACAGGCGGCTCATCGCGGGGTTCTCTCAAAGACCCGGTTTTGGAAGCTCCCGTATTATTTCGACATCCACCTCAACCTCGCCGTTATCCCTCCAATATATAGGCCCCGACTGCCCCCTACCCTCTCGACAACTTGGAGCGAGCCCTATTAATCACCGTCCACATTCATCATGGCGTCTTCTCTCGTAGACTTCAAGGATCGCCAATTTATCGCCGTTATCGGGGACGAGGTACGTCAACGAGCTGCCCTTCTGCCAGTTGCCAGGCACCAGCGAAAGAGAAAGAGAGGACGGAAGATGACCACTCCTCTTCTCCCCCTTCTTCTTAGGCTTTGCATGGTGCTAATCATCTGTAGGATTCTGTGACAGGGCTCCTCCTTGCAGGCATAGGCGTACGTCCTTCCTCTCCACATCACCCTCCGAGATTCCTCCCTTCCTTAGTGAACCTTTTGTAATCTCCTTGCGGTATAAATAGGAGCGCAGCGGCTTGGTAGCTAATCACAAAGAATAATAGCACGTCACGGCTGGTCCGACTCCCAAGAGGAACTTCCTCGTCGTTGACGGCAAGACGGAAACAAAGAAGATCGAGGATGCCTTTGAGGACTTCACCAAGGTCAGGAGGATATAGGCATCGTTCTCATCAACCAACATGTAATTCAAATACCCCAACCCTTGGCTCTCGATGGGGGCTGCCTGCGTTTCCTAATGGACCAGAAAACGCTCAATTCTAAAAGGAAGAGCTCATCGCGGCTAACGTTTACATTGTATCATTAGATTGCGAACCGGATACGGCACCTTATCGAGAACCACAAGGCCGCGTTCCCCAGTGTGATTGAGATCCCTAGCAAGGACCACCCTTACGACCCAGCCAAGGACAGTTTAATGACGCGGGTTCAGTCCCTGATGGGTGCGGAGAGGAAGTAAAACCTGAATTACTTGGCATATGTTCTTGGGGTTATCATGGATCGTATCTTCATCTATAATGAGCACCGCATCGCGGCTTTGCTTCTTTGCAGGGGATAATCTAAGGCCGTTCATGGGACGTTTTCGTTCAAAAGCGCCATCTTCTTACTGGGGTTCAGTCGGGATTGGGCAAGCTCGGGTTTGAGTAATCTGGATCTAGCAACGTGGAAGATGTATATCTTTATATTGGAGTTAATGCGAGGGTTTCCGTATGCTTTAATCAGACAAAATGACATCCTAAACTAATGGAGAAAAAAAAAAAAAGAGCGAGAAGCCATGAAGAAACAAAGGGTGGAGTAAAACCAGGGCATCAAACAGAAAATCCGGCCCAACGCTCAAGAAATAGATCAGTGCCATCTGACCTGCTAGGTAATCATAAAAGCAACAGCAAAAGAGATCACATGCATATATTTCGAGAGCTTTCGGCGGAAGGCAAGGGCTGGAGAAGCAAAGGCGCCCAAGGAGCTGGGCTCGATGCTGGAGCAGTCCCCCATCATGTTCGAGGCTGGTCTGTCCCCACGTCATCTTTGAGTCACCCAAGGATCTTCGAGAGAAAGAACAAGAAAACAGCCAAGTTTATACACCAGATGCAAATGCCGCAAACACTAGATCCGAAATACTATAGCTCCAGGTTGAAGAAACCCCTGGAGAAAACAACGCTAGCTTGGAGGCAAGTAATGGGCTCGTCGTCCTTTGTATACACGTCGGCGAGAACGGTATATCGACCCTGTGAAACAAACGGATTAGCCAATGTGCTGTGCAGGGCTGGGAGATGCGCTGGGCGGGTAGAGACGTGGGAAAAGCAAAGGCCAACTTACGGGGGATTTCAGCAGGGAGTTCCACGGTTTTGAGGATAGAGAGGTCGCCCTTCTTGATGGGGCACTCCAGGTCAACGTCCTTGAGATGCTCGCAGAGATCGGCAGTCGTGCTAATGAGCCTGATAAGACCGTATTTCACGGTGAGGGATACGTAGGCACCCTCTTCAATGTCCTTTGTCGCTTCTCCGATAGCCTTGATGACGAGGTCTTCGCCACTACATGGGAAAGAAAAACGTTAGCCTTTAACCCATTCCAAAAAAGAAATCCCACGATAAAATTTGGAGGTCAAGGGTATGATTCGGTTATCGAGACTTACGCAAGGAGGGTTAGGAGAGAGGTCGACCCTCTGGATCTTGAGGATATCGTTGTCATGCTGGGCCGCACAGAATTCCAGAGGGGAGTCTCCGGGCACCTTGGTTTCACTGCCGCGTGCGGAAATGGGCGAAGAGAAGACGGCAGCGGCGGGAGCTAAGCTCGCCGATAGGATGGCGATGATGGCGGAAAACCTCATTGTCTATCGTCGGGGCCGGTGATCGGTCGGCGAAGCAGGGAAACTCGTGTACGCACACCGAGTCCAAACAAACCCGATAAGATTGGGCGAGGGATAAAAAAAAAACGACGGATAGATAGCCGCAATCGTAGAGCTCTCGGAAAGAAAAGAAATGCTCTGTTGTTTGGTAAGCCTAAGCTCTGTCGTTCTGGGGGCAGAATCGTGTTTGGTGAGAGAGGTTGAGGAGGGATGAGGATTGAACCGAGAGTGGACGAGATGGCTGGACAAGGCGATGCAAGGACAGGCAGCACGTCATGGGGTTGAGTTGGGGGTTGCCTCCTCATCAGGGATTGGACGAGGTCAGGTGGAACACTCCGTGGTGCACGCCCCCGTCTCTGCGATTGGCTGGTCCGAGGCTAAATGATAGGACCCATCCATCAATTGATGTAGAGCCCCCAAGGTCACTAACTCGAAGCGTAAGCTGCTCCCTGCCTTTCCTCCGCCTCCTTGATTGATTGATCCATTGGTTTCGTTGCCACTTGCTCCGCTCCAGTGCCACCGATTGGACCCCTCGACGGGGACCGTTGAGATCACAGCAAAGAAATGTATTTTATGGGTATCCTTTACCTATCTCCGAATATTCCTAGGAAGAAGAGGAGGATGAACCTAACTAGCATTATCTGCAATGTCGTATCTGGGTTTAGAGACGAACACCGACCATCTCGCCCGTTCCTTCCCAGCGCTTAGGCTTGGCGGTGACACACGCCAACGACAACCTAAAGAAGGAGCTCAGCAACGGCACAGGGCCAAAGTCCCAATCTCCACGAACCGAATGGAACTCCAAACGCCGAAAGCGGTGACGGACCAAACGGCCAAGGGAAGGATCCCTCCGCTACCTCATCCTACTTCGGAACATACACCACCCCCGCACCACCTCAATTGATACTCGATCCATCAAAGTTGCGCTTTGTGATATCGACTGCCTCTCGATCTAGGTAACAGGCGAGACGTCTGAAAGATATTCAACGAAAAAAATTGCACATCAAAGGACGAGGTGAACAAAGTGGAGTGACATCTGAAGAAAAGGAAAATCAGAAGAGAAAAGGCGAACTTAGCGCTGAGGTGGTTCTCGGTTGATGCAAACAATCATTTATCTTGCCGCGTATTATATCAGGGTGAGGGCTAGTCCCAAGTCTCTTGAAAGAACCAGTCAGACGAAATCTTGAGTCAGAGGCCAGCAGTGATCACAGTGATCAATCTGATGGGGGATGGTACTCCCTCTTCCATTGAGCTTTATGGGCCGCAAGTTATTCGCCTTGCTTGAGCTCGTGTCGTGTTACAATTCTTAATTAGAGACTGATGTTCCGCCTACAATGAAGCCGTGGAACAGGCACCACCAACTTTGGCTTACGACGTACTAGTACATTGTTCTAACACAGGTTTTTCTCTTTCCTTATGCGACTTTTCTTCTTTCTTTTCCCTTTTTTTTTTTTTTTTCCTTTTTCTTTTTTAAACCTCGGTGGGCGCATATTGTCCACTCGCTTTCTCCGTATGCGCGATAAGCCTGGTGACGAGGAAGCTCCGCGGGGTAGTTGCTTCCACAGTTACGAGATCGATCCTAAGGTGCAATCTCGAAGAGGGAGTCAATTTGACACTAACGACGTCGCACATCCCTTCTTCAGTGGCAGGCAGCTAAAGACGGACTTTTCGATAGAGAGATATCTCGAATCTCAGTTCCGGGGTCCAGTTCCCCCCTTACGATACTAATCATCGAAAGGGCTCTTCACAAGTCCATGGTCCGAAGCTTGAGCCGCAGCCTGCCACGCATAACGTTAGTCTTAAGTGAGTCACTTTGAGGGCTTTTCTACCTGCTATTCGGGGCTTACTACGAAACCTCGCACTTGGATACCCCGTAGTATACATCCATTGACGGGTGGGAGGCGCCGTCCTCCGTAATCCACCAGAGACCCTCAGTAAAGGGAACGGGGAAAAGGGAGGTAAAAAAACAATGGCGTCAAGAAGATGACAAAAGTAGACTAGCGACCTCGCCTGGGTATCTCTACCTCTTTAGCCTAGAAAGCACCTGGGGTGGAAACTGTATCAATACTCTCTTTGAACTACAAGGAGTGAGGATTTGTAGGACTCATCACTGCTAAAATTTTTCATTCACGAGGATTGCTTGACGCCGTTGCCCCTCGTTTGGCTGCTTGACAACATAGGTTTGCGCAAGGTTAGAATTCAAGAAACGCTGATTGAGCCACAAGCGGGCCCGATGCGCGGTCTTCTTTCATTATTGGGGTAGACCGATCGCATAAGCTGGAAATATAGAAAAGGGAAGCGTAAGAGGTGAAACAGGGGAAGAAAAAAGCTATCAATCATCTATATTTTAGTCGTGCATGTCGTGTCTGTTGGGTGTTGGCCACTCCTCAAACCGCTCCTCTCCTGCCCCACCATAGCGACTCGCACACCATAGCCGAACCCCGCGAAAAAGGGAGGAACAAACCCCTCAGCCGACCCGTCCCTCATTCTAGTAAGTTTTTTTCTAAGTGCAGAAAAAATCCGACTAAAGGACGCACTTCCGCTCTTTGTCTGTTTTTGAAATCCCCGGTTCTCTGGGCGCCGAATCACCGATTCTACGTATCTACCTTTCTCGACTGTCACGATGGGTTCAATTGATGTTGTATTAGGTGCTGCGTGGGGTATGTCTCCTTGTCTCTTCTTTTACAACTAGCATCCACTGCGCGCGCGACAAACCCTGCCCGGCCCGCCCCTTATCGCGCTCTCTCTCTCTCCCTACCTCTCCCACTCTCCCACGCCAGCTCTAGTTGGCGCCTGGGGTCGTTGATAATTGCCTGAGAGGTGCACCTTCCTGTTAAGCAGTTACGATTGGACTAACACAAATGTTTGACTGAATATAGGTGATGAAGGCACGTACATGCTAAACTCGGCTCTTTTCCCAAGTCTCGCGCGGGCTGCCGCGTACTAACATCCGGCGCATAGGAAAGGGAAAGCTGGTCGATATCTTGTCTAGTGAGGCGCAGATCTGCGCTCGAGCTCAAGTGCGTATCCTACGAGAGCCGCCTACCCACACCCACCTTTACATGCACATACACACCTGCCCTCGAGGCCGGTTTAAAGAAGAAAAATAAAAATAAAACCCGCTGTCCTGGAAGGCTATGAGGGGTATCAATCTCGTTTCCCTCCAAGCCTTCCACTAGGCCCTGTTGTCCCTGCTTTGGGATCGTGACGTGTTATATCGAAACTGGTCGCTGACTTGGCGCTTCCTTTCGGGGGTTGCGCGTATCTTTAGGGCGGTCACAATGCCGGACACTCCATCGTTGCCAATGGCATCAGCTACGACTTTCACCTTTTGCCTTCCGGCCTGATGAACCCCAAGTGCCTTAACCTCCTCGGGTCCGGTGTTGTCGTGCACGTTCCCACCTTCTTCTCCGAGCTTGACACCGTCGAGAAGAAGGGCCTCCAGAACGTCCACCAGCGCATCTTCATCTCGGACCGCTGCCACATCGACTTCGATCTTCACTGCGCCGTCGACCAGGCCGAGGAGCTCGAGCTTGGCTCCAACTCGATTGGAACGACGAAACGAGGAATCGGCCCGTGCTACGCTTCCATGGCCACTCGAAATGGTGTTACCATGAGCGAGATGTTTCGCCCCGACGTCTTCGAGAGCCGCCTGCGAAAACTCGCCGATGGATACAAGAAGCGCTTCGGAGACAAGCTTGTCTACGACGTCGAGGACGAGATTGAGCGGTTCAAGGGCTACCGAGAGAAGCTGGCTAACTATGTTGTTGATGCCGTGACTTTCATAAACGATGCTCAGCAACGCGATGCTCGCATCCTCATCGAGGGCTCGCAGGCTCTCATGCTTGACGTGAACTATGGCACCTGTACGTGCGCTGCTGGGAACCCTGGTACTTCGCTATGTCTATGTCATGAAGTCCGCTAATCACTCGCTTCTTCCAGATCCTTATGTCACTTCCTCGAACACTGGTGAGTTAGCATCATGCCCCCGCCTTCGATAATCCCCAACCACAGCTCGGTTGGTATCGAACAAGAGCCGACCAAGGACTGACTCCTTATGTAGGTCTGGGTGGCGTTATTGTTGGCCTTGGGCTTAACCCCGAAAGCTTGGTGAGGTTATTGGCACAGTAAAGGCGTACACAACGCGAGTGGGCTCTGGTCCCTTCGCGACAGAGGACCTTGGCCCCGCCGGCAACCATCTCCAAGAAGTTGGCCGTGAGTGGGGTGTTAGTACCGGCCGACGCCGACGATGCGGCTGGCTGGACCTTGTTCAGATCAAGTACTCGCACATGTTGAACCACTACACCTCCTTGTATGCACCCTCTCTTTCTTTTGCTTTCTCACGGCTCGCCTGAATGGGCGCGCCAAAGAGCCACCTCACATACTGACACAGGAAACGACAGGAACCTCACGAAGCTCGACGTGCTCGACGATATGGAGACGATCAAGGTTGCTGGTAAGTACTAGGGAACCCCATTACGTAGACTGCATCCAGCATGCTGACGGAGGATTGCAGTCGGCTACAAGGACAAGGAGACCGGAGCCGAACTTCCCAACTTCCCCGCGGATATGGACCTCCTCGGACGGGTTGAGGTCGTATACGAAGAACTGCCCGGCTGGAAGATGTCCACGTCCAAGATACAGAAGTTCAGCTACCTTCCCAAGGGAGCACAAGATTATATCACTTTCATCGAGAAGTTTGTTGGAGTGCGAATTCGGTGGATCGGAACTGGCCCGGGCCGTGAGGACATGATCGATCGGGGAAGCGCCTAGAAGGAAATGTTGTGGTGGCAGTGAATGGAGCTGCGGCGAGAAACGAGGTTTCTCTGGCCCAAAAAATGTCAGAGAACAGCCTCGCCCTGAAATGCTGTCATACTGTTTGGGTTGAATGACTGTGCTTATTATCCCAACCCCTTTTATTATTTATCCTTTTTGGCCATACCATCCTTTCTTTTTTTCTTGAGCTTGGCCGAGGAGAGGAACGAGGAGATTTGAGGGGGCAAAAAGGAAGAGAAACAAAAAGAACGAGAAAAAAGGAAAAGAAAAGATGATTAGGCAGAAGAGCAAGAAGAGAGAGAGGGAGAGAGAGCTAGAATTCAGAGAATGAGCGCTCTACAAATAGACAAAAAAAAGTCAGACTGAAGCCAGATGGAAAAGAGACAAGTTCTCACTGTTTCAGCTCGAGAAACACGGGGTGAAAGGGGGAAAAGGAAAAGCCTCAGGACAAATTGAGCTCGTCTCGCTTCGTGCTCTGTGCTCGCCTGTACATCGAATACAGGGGTCGAGGGTGACATCAAGCAGGATCAATTGATTGTACTCGGTATTTGGCGCCTTGCAACGTTTGGTTTGGACGGACATTGAGCTTTTCCGGGCGAAGAGCTCCAGGAAGACGCGACGTGGCGACCTCCTTACACAGACTTGATAATCCTTGAGCGATTGGGAGTCCAGTATTATTATCCTCTTGTCGCTTGATCCTGACGGGATTTGATGGAAGAAAACCGAACATTGAAGACTTGGCCCATTCAGGCGAAAGTTGACACGCGCCTTGGAATTTCCATAAGAGAAGGTATCTCATGAGAGATACAAACGCAAGTCTGGTTACATGAGGTGATCTAGCTTGTCTGATCTCCCTCGCATGTCCTCCCAAGTACCTGTACAAAGCGGCATCGGGAAATTTGCCTGATAATAGTCTCCTTGGACCCAGAAAAAAAGCGAGTGTGCTTACTCTTAATCATACTGTGCTATATCGAATACTTGTAGATTCTTTGGTTGTGGACTTGGCTCCGATAACTGTTCTTCACACATGCCTTCATGTGCACAGTGTCAAGCTCGCAGCGGTTCGAAACGCAAGCCCGCCAAAAAAGAACCAACGTCAATGTGAAAGAGGAAGATGCTTTGCCAAAGTTTTGCTTGGGGGAGTCGCGCCCAATGGAAACGGAGGATGCTGGGGGAATGACGAATGACACACCAGTTATGCAATGAACTTGAACCCATTTCTCTTCCCCGCGGGATACTGATCTATCCTGGAGGCTTCAAATGAAGCGTTTTTGCATTAATACCGATGGAGCTAATGCCGAATCAGCGTCCGAGGAAGCGGGATTCGTCCGCCTCCATCATGAATCCCCACCTTCTCCTCACCATCTGTGTCGTAAGAGGAGAGGAGGAATGAGGCCCAAGACTCCAGACCACCACCACCTTCGCCGGCCTTTTTTTCTTTGCGTCCCTGGTTGTTTCGTCCTGTCCTTCTTCTATTATCCTACTTGCTGAGTCTCAGAAGGCTTGGGAAAAATCCTGTAACACCCCGCTCCAAAAGCATTGTCGACGCAGCATCAAGGGACAAGACAGCGTCCATCGTCTAAGAGGCGCCTCATCTATCTACGCTCTTGTTCTTCAGGCAAATTCCTTCTCCAGCATCGCTATGGAACTCTCTCCCCGATATCCTCTTTGATGGCAAAAATAACCCCTAGCCATTACGCCGGCTTGGGAATCCTGAGGGCCCGCCTTTTGAACGGAAAATCTGGTGGCGGGGCTTCTCATCGCTGCGGGCACGACACAGCTTACTTCCCACACACACTCACACACACACACACACTCACACACACGCACATACACATACACACACACATACACACACTTGCGCACAACAGCAGACAAACCTTCACCCGAGACACCAAACGGTAGGCTGGCGCCTCAGGCACCACTTTCAGAGGATCTGCACCCTTGGGTAAAATGGCTTGCCGTATTCATTCTTTCCCACCATCTCCCAGGTCACACCCGATCCACCGCCATTCGAGTCTTGACCTCCTGCCGTGTACTGGTACTTTCTCGCCACCAGAACAATCGGTCTTCTTCCGAAAAGAGGCGAGTCTCCTCGACGCCCCCTGAAGCTGATAGGACCATTCGCGGTTAGGCTTGGTCTCTCGGCATCTGCACCGTCCTCACCAAAATTTCACGTCACTGGTACTTCCGTATTCACCATTGCGCCCGAATGTACAAATACAGAAAAACGCACGCGTGCAGGTGGCCGCTGCAGCAGGTTATCCTGTATAGTTACATTCGCACTGCTCGAAGCAACGAGACCCCCAAAATGACAACCTTCGAGATGAGCGAGGGGAGGAGGAGCGCTCTCTTCGTGCTCTTTCCTGATCCGCTTGTCTAGACATGAGGGATTGCAATCCCACCCGTCGGTCTCTTCATCGCAGCGCAGCCTTTGCGACTTCCCTGCGAGCTGGGGGCCATCCTCCCAATGCATCGAGCGGACAGAGGGCGACGCCTCATTTTTCGTCAAAGAATCGTTCTCGTTTGCGCTCTCTGACGGGACCGCCAAGCCGAGGGGATACCCTCTTAGGACCCATGTCTCATGTGTCGACGCGAGCGCTGAAGAGAGGCGAGCAGCCAGAATCGCGACACACGACATCGAAACGGCGACGCGGTATCATAATTTCGATTGTCCCCTCACGTTGCTGAACTCGATGCTGCAAGCTGGCGATTTTAGCGTTACTCCGCACTCTGCCACCACCAAGTTTTAGGCCGGGTTGGTCTGTGGCCGACCCCTACAGCCTTCAATGTTCCCTGCAACCGCTTTGTGTACGTAAGTCCACCAGGTAATTTACTGCGCGCCCAGGCTTTCCCTCCTCAGCGTGCGCCCAGTAATTTCTGGACCTGGGCCTGGCCTGGCCCTTCTCTTCGTTAATCACTTTCCCCCATCCTCCCTTTTCTGCCTGGATGCCTGCGCCCACACCCCCAAAAACACCAATCCAAACAGCAGGTGTCGTGCCCACACGCCCATTGATCTGTCCACAGCGCACGCCCTCGTCCCGCTCCACTGCTTTTGCGCTTCCCCTTCGCCCTCCATCGCTCACACTACACCATTACTGTCGTTCTCCTCTGTTCCGTGTGTGTGTAGTGCTGCGAGAGCCCATTTTCCCGGTCTTTCCTTCCTCGTGTTGTGGTCCCCTCCTCTTTTTCTCTTTCCTTCCTCCATCACCAACTCCTCCCAATTCGACGTCGCCTTCACTCATCGCGGCTTCTCTTTATGCGTCGGGTTGGTCCTGGATCCCATGCGCTCCGAAAACGACGCTCGTACCCCCAAAAACCTTCTTCCTTTTGACATTTCCACCCTCTCTCCCCCAGTTCATCCTGGCGCAATCTTTTTCGTCCCTTTTCGCCCTTCCGCTCCTCGACCATCACGATCCCGCGAAGTGAAGAAAAAACACAAATCACAAACAACTACCACCACGACAACTTGAATCGACGTGTTTAACCATCGTTTTTCGATCGATATATCCTCGACGGTTCGATAGATTCGATTTTATTTCCTCTACCCCGACGTCGCTATCTCCCACACTTGGCGTCTTGCCACTCCTCGGGAGCCAGTATTGCCCCATTGCTGCCTCCCCTAACCATCGACGCATGCTAGGCGGATGCGGACGATTTGGTTGAAAAACTCTCCCCTCGTCAAAACCCCTCCATTTATAAAGTCCGCGTCGAGGAAGGCATCGACATGCTCTCCAGACGGCAACGGTAGACCCGCTCATTCATTCTGAAGCCTCGAACCCCTTTCGACTCACGCGACCGAGGCGGTTTCCCTCTAGATTATGACGGAAAAATTACAGCCTCTGTCAACGCAAATCGCGAATCCTAGTCAGGCTCTCATCGCCGCGACCAACGCAATCTCCATTCCCCATGTCAAGGAGTTGCCGCACAAGGTTGAGGCTGTAGAGGAAGAGCCGTACACGATCAAGTGTATCTGCAACTTCCCTGATGATGATGGAAACACGATATTTTGCGAGACATGCGAAACGTGGCAGCACATTGACTGCTTCTATCCCGATAATCGCGAAGAGGCTCTTCGTGAGACCTTTTCGCACTATTGTCACCAATGCAAACCCCGTCCCTTGGACCACAAGAGGGCCATTGAACGGACGCAAAATTTACGCAAGGCTATCCTCGAAGAAGAGGAGACGCACGATAAGAAGCCGAAGCGGCCTGCATCAAAAAGCCACAAGAAGAAGCCGAAGCCCAACGACCTCCTCTTGAATGGCACCAACAACGGCCAGGATGGCATCACCCATCAAAATCCTGTCGATGTCCATCACCCTCCCGCGAAGAAGCCTAAAATCTCGCACCGTCCTTCTCACTCCATCAGCTCCCAACCCTCCAAGAAAAGCCCATCCTATGGCCAAGCCAAACCTCTTGTCAACGGCCATCATCAACAACAGCCAAGTCCAGCCAACACACCTCCCGATCTGCCCATGGATTTCGAACTTCACAATTATTCCGCCAATTTCTTCTCCCTTCACAGTGAGGACGATGTTCAGATCGTCCAGAACAACTCGTTTGCGACCCTGAATATTTCCAACACGATGTCGCTCTGGCTCCACGATCACGATCGGTTAAAAAGGAGACGGGACAAGAATACAAGGACGTCTTCCAAAAATTGCCAGCTGATATTCAGTCTAGGAAACAAGCCCTTCGCGTGGAGCAAAAGAGCTACTCACCGACCCCGGAGAAGAAGTTGAGGCTGCAATACCTCACGACACCCTCTGCCATTGAGAAGGAGGTCCCTCTGATGGAACTGAACGGAATGATCGGATTTCAGAATGACTACTGCGCGGACCCCGAGAGCTATTGGCCAGAACTCACATCGCCCCTCCCCTTTGTCTTCTTCCACCCTCTCCTGCCTCTTTACATTGACACTCGAAAAGAAGGCTCCGAAGCCCGCTATGTCAGACGTAGCTGCAAGCCAAATGCCGTTCTCGACACCTACCTGTCCGGCTCCGGGTCTGGGGGCTCAGAATACCACTTTTGGCTCGTCAGCGACAGAGACATCACCGCCAAGGAGCAAATAACACTTGCTTGGGACTTCAGGTTTCGTAATGAAGAAAAGGCGCGATGGCTTCACCGTCTCGGTCTTGGCGATGACGAAACTGATGGCTCTGAATACCCCGAAATGGATGATGCGGAATACGAAACCATCTCCTCGTGGCTGCATCGCTTACTTTCCGAATATGGCGGCTGCGCTTGCGACCTGGGTAGTAATTGCGCATTTGCCCGCTTCCACCGGCACTACCTTGGCAGGACCCAGGCCCGCGCGAATTCGAAGAAGAAGAGGAAGGCCAAGACGCAAAACGTGTCCCCGACGAGTACCGGCTACGCAACCAACAGTCGCGCCGCCAGTGAAGGTCATGTGGAAGACGGCCTAGAACATGATGCTCAGTCAACGTCCTCACGAAGTAAACCACCGAGCCGCGACCGTACCCCTTTCCAACAAAACGGTACCTTTGACCAGCTGGGGATACTGACCGAGCCGACGGATCGGGATAAGCGTAAAGTGGCGATGGCTGAAGAAAAGTTCCGTCTGATGGAGCAACAGCAAGGCCAGCCAGGTCTGCAGCGCAGCAAAAGAAGCGAATATCGGACGGTGCTAGTTCGACAAAATCAAAGTCATCTCGGACACCGGCAAGCACGACACCCAATCTCGCGAATGGCAACTATGTGGATGCAAGCACGTCTCGGAGCAAGTCTGGTTCGCCAGCCAGCACGCTTTCGCCACGTGCCCAATTCCCGCCCTTCACCATAGCGAGGCCCGAGTCCACGATACCCTGCCCGCGGCTTTCCTCTGTAACGCGTGCTAACTACCGCGACACTGGTGTGCAGACAGATCCAGTGGATGGTGAATGGTTTAGCGCTCCCACCCCCAGCCCGAAGCCACGCCGAAGAGTCATCTCTCTTCCCAGCGCCTCCTGAATAATCGCCACCGGCAAAAGGTCGACGAGGTTGACCGCCGCAAGTCCGACGTCGCTCAGACTGAGACTACCGCGATGGACATCGACTCCCCTGGAACGGACCATCATTCGACATCCAGCTCCCCCGTTATGATGAAGGACACTGTCTCAACGACTGCGACCTCGCCCGCGCCAACACCCGCTGACATTGCCATGATTGATGCGTCTTCTGTATCTCCGTCGACGCTACCGGCGCAGGTCATACCAGAAGGAATTGAGCCGACGGTGATTGGCATAGTCAAGATCAGGACTCCCGATCTGAAAGTGCAGATGCCACCTGTGCCGACCTTTACAAACGCGATCAACGGTCCATTGACTAGCAGCGGTACGCCTTTGTCGGCGACAGGCTCCATGGTGCAATCCCCTTCTCGACCGGCAGTGCAGTGAGCCCCTTTGGGCCATCAGGCGTCAACGGTGTGCAGCCGAGCCCCGTGAAGAAGAAGCTTAGCTTCAGCGACTATCGGAAAAGTCGGATGGACAAGGATAAAGCTACGGTGAAGCCTCCGGGGTCAGCTACACAGTCGATACCCGAGGAGTCGAAACCCACCACGACCTTGCCTCATCTAAACGGCGATTCTTCAACCGTTGACCAGCCAATTCGCGACGTCGACTAAAGAGCGCGATTTACTTCCGACGACAGTGCTTGCGCCCTTCGATTTCTTCACCTTGACGAAGAGTCTATGTGTATAATATTTTTAACAGAAGGAGAAAATAACCCCGAAATTTCAGCTGCGGCTTGTACGATTCTGGTCGGATGGCGGGCGCGAGATGCGTTTCTTTAGTTGTACGATTCTCTACCACCGCTTATCCTATCTAATCGCCAATCGAGATGCGAACGCGAATGGGCTGTTACTCTCAAAAGAATAATGGCTGCCTAACAACGCCCTGTTACCGCTGGCTCTCCGCGGTATCTTTTCAACATTGCGGTTTCGCGCACATCCACCATTCACGCGATTCTTAGCCGTCGCTGCGCAGCCCGCTGACTTGCCACGACGCTCCGATAGACGCTTGAATGCTACGATCTCCAGATAACGCGATGATGTTTTATTTTCTTTTACGGTTACCGGTTCCGATCTCGTCATCGCCGAGCCTGGAGTCTTTTGCGATATAGGAGGGAGTCGGGAATTAAAACAGAAAAATGGGGGACCCGATGAAGGGATGCTTAATCTCTTATGATGGATGAACGTGGTGGTGGCGGTCTGCTATATCCTTTTTTTTTTTCGCGGAGGGAAAGGGCCCTCGTCTATTTATTACAAGGTCTGATGTGCCTTATTTCCCCTTATCTCTTTCTTTTATCTCTCATTTGTGTGTGTTTCCACAGATATTCCCAATGTTGGTATGAAATGGGGACTGGGAAAGGGGTTCGGGGTTCTTCTTTCTGGGGGTTTCTCTCTTTCTCAGGACTTTTCGTTGATATTTCTTGGTGTTTATCGGTGACAAACGGGGGCGGCTCAAGGTTAAAGATTCCACATTGTATTTGTAGTGTTTCAAAGGGTCTGGGGATCTCGATGTTTACGGGCTAAGCCTCAAGGCTCCGCGGGTTATCTCTTCTGCCCTTTTTATTCCCCCTTTTGTTTTGGTTCTTATATCTTTATTGTTGGTTACGACCTTTACTTTATAAGAGAGCCGTCCATGCTCTTTTCTTTCTTTCTCTCCTCCAACTGCCGCCTCCAATTCTTTAACATTGCGCGCCATGACGTGCCGTTCTTGCCTATTTTGTCCCGGTACTGCCCTCACCATCTGTTTTCTGGGCTTTTTCCATTTCAATCAGTTCTCTTGCATAGCAAAGCAAGGCAAGCATGAGGGTAGAAGAAGAGAAAGAAGAAGAAGCGGAGAGGGGGTTCAAGAAAACAATGGAAAAGTGGGAAAGGATGGAGAGGGAAAATGACCTAAAAGAGTGAATAGTGAATAGATAGTGGAGGGGAGGATGGAAAGTTCTTATCTGAATATACTTCGTAGTTTTTAGCGCCATGCGGCTGGTTTCTCTCGTCCTGCGAATGGCGGACCACGTACGAACGTTCGTACTTGCGAGGGATGCGCTTTAGCGATGCCTCGTCCCATTGGGAGATTACAGTTTGTGCGAAATCGGGAGGAGTTGTGGACCATGTCACAAGAGATGGCTTGAGGGGAGGTAAACATGTGGATCAGTTGATTTGTATTTTTCTATTGATGGATGGAAGGAAGGGTATCTCGCGATATCTAATGTCATCTTTTACCTACGTCTAGTATAGTAAAACAAACGTGGACTAAAGACATTGGTATTCTATCTTCTCCTCTCTCGCCGGGTATCCCCCTTCTAACCTGGTATTTTTGGCACCAGTTACGATGGCAATCTCGCCGCACATTCACCCAAGGGTCATGCCCAAGTTATCCTCCTTAAAGACGAGGAGGGCAAGACGGTGGCGAGCAAAGAGGCCGAGGGCGCCGACGGCGAACTGCAGGGCGGTGACCTCGGCGGCGAGGCGATCTTCGCGCAGGGGCCCGCGAATGACGAGCCAGAGGTTGAGGAGGGTAAAGTTGCTGGTTTCGAGAAAGCGGCCGCGCTTGTCGAGGGTGACTTGGAGGAGGCGGAAGCGGGCGAGGAGCAAGAGGATGGGGGCCACCCAGGGGCGAGGCTGGACGCCGTTGTCGGGGTCCCAGGGGGTGACGGAGGGCTCGAGGAGGCCGGTGCGGGCATTGAGCTTGGGGAGGCGGTGGCGGGGACAGGGGACGACGCCAAAGACCTGGGGCGCGGAGTAGAGGAAGTTGAAGAGCTGGGGCACGAGGAGGAGGCCGAGGGTCTTGGAGAAGTGGCCGAGGAGGCCGACGACGGCGAAGACCATGCCAGAGAAGTAACAGTAGGTGTCGCCGACGAAGACGCGGGCGGGAAACCAGTTGTGGCAGAGGAGGGCAAAGGAGACGCCGAGCCAGGGGAGGAGGAGGTAGAGGGAGAAGAGGTGGGAGTCGGTGGCCGGGTGCGGGTACGGGGTGAAGAGGTAGAGGCAATCGTTGAAGACGAGGAGGAGGGCGATGACGATGGATTGGGCGACCTCGATGCCGTTGATGCCCGCGAGCATGTTGATGCTCTGGGGGCAGAACATTGCGATGCAGGCCATGTAGACGTAGTAGAGGCCGCCGAGGTCGAAGAGCTCGCCCAGGTACGGCTGGAGGGGATAGGCATGACGACCGAGGTCACGCCAAAATCGACAAAGTACACGACGAGGATGGGGATGCAGGCCAGGCCCGGGATCCACCACTTGTGGCGCCAGCGAATGTCAAACAGGTCATCGCTAAGACCGAGGAGCGCGATCGTCTGGAGCGACAGGATGGCCGAGAGATAGGAAGCCAGCTGCGAGGATGGCGACGAAAGAAAACAACGGGTTAGCCTTGAGCGTCCTCACAAGGGCTGGATCAAACACAGCAGCGGGAAAGGGGAAAGGGAAAAAAAAAAAAAGAGATGCGGGCAGAGCGCATACCTTGCTATGCGGGAACCTATGCAGGAACCGACCCTCGTTGACGTGATGCACTTCAAGCACGACGTCCCTATTTCCGCCTCCGCTCGTGGCCGCGACAATATCCTTGTAAAAGGGAAAGGGGATAAATATAATGATGACGATGAGGTAGACGGCGGCGCACACGGCGCCCATGCACTCGGGGATCTCGGGCCGGTTCGCTTTGCACAGGTCCCTGCCCTTGAAGCCGTGCTGGACAAACGTGGGGCCCAGCCAGCGGATCATCGAGTAGCAGAGGCTAAAGGCGATGCCGCTCAGAGCCAGCGAGGCGATGAGGGTTCGCCATCGCCGTTAAAGGTGTTGGCGAGGATGGCGAGACACGCTCCGGACAGGGTGAGGAGGGTGAGCGTCTCGTTGCGCGTCAGGGTCGGTGGGAGGGTCTGCATCTTGGTGGCGCGGCGCGGCGCGGGGGTTCGGAGAGAGTGCGTCGGTATCGAATTTGGTCGTAGAGGGAGGAATTGAGGTTTGCGTTGGTCGAGGTCAATACCCGGTTCGCTTCGGGGTTTCGACTATGTCTTTTCAAGCTTCACAACTGGTCTGGACGTCGTGTCCTTAGGGGAAGGAGAGGTTTTGGCGATGCGACAAGACTGAAGCTATGCGCACACTAGAAAAAAAAAAAAAGACTACAAGGAAAAAGGAGAAAGAGTGGTGGGAGTTGGATTTGACTCATTGTCCAAGCACTAGATGTCTCCTGAAAAAATCACAGGCACAGCATTAAGGAAAATATCTGTGACGAGGGGGAGGGGGAGACTTGGAAAGGGGTGGGTAGAATGCTGCTTCCCTCATTTGAGTGTGGAGATCGCGGCTTCCAGAGTGCGCCTCGTCAGCTTGTGCGTCCCAATGGAAAGGGGACAAGTACATGGAAAATCAACTTGCGGCGAGCTCCTCGTTTGCTCTGGCTTGTGATTTCGGATTATATAAGCAGGCATGGGTGTTCTGCCATGTGCTTGGTCCCTCTCAGTCCACCCAGTCGATAAAGTGTTAATGGGTGTCTTAGACCACATCAAGCTTTAGAAGATTCGATTCTTGAAGATGTTTGACAGGAAACAAGTGTATATCAATGCTTGTTTTGATACAATACAAGGACTAGTTTGATTTTTTCAATGGTCTTTTCTCATGACCAACTACCAAGACAATCGAGCCCTACGGCTCCGAGTAAACCGCCAATGTTGAGTACATCCATGTATTTTCTTCTTCCGTTTCTTCTTCGTATTAGCCACTCTCGATACCATGATTCCTCCATTCCCTTGCAATGAACTATAATAATGCCTACCGTGTTCGTGAGGATATCAAACCAGAAAAAGCCCACCACCAAAAACAGTAACAAAAAACACAAAGAAAAAGAGCCATAACCCGCTCTGTCGCAATCCCCGGTCCAACGGGGGTTGGCAAAAAAGAACAAAAGGTGGGGAAACCAGTGAAAGCGATGTCCCCTCATAAAAAAAGAATCCCGCCCATTAAACCAAGGCCCATTCCGCCCTGCTGGACCAAGACATGCCAACCCTCCCCTTCCCCTGCGTAAACTGCGCCGCCGTGACGCCCGCGGCGTCCCTCCCATCAAACGTCTCAAGCACCAGAAGCGAGACCTTTTGCCCGGGGCGCCGAGGTCGCGAGCGTTGACGTCGAGCCACCACCAGTAGCCGTCAGTCTCAAAGGGAATGGTGCTGTCCTGGCGCCCGTCGAGGCCGTGGATGGTGAGGAGGAAGGGCTTGCGCGGCTCGCCGCGGTGTATCTTGGCCCAGTGCTCGCAAATGTTGGAGAACTGGAAGCGCACGACTTGGCCGCTGTAGACGGAGAGGTTGCGCTCGGCGGGGGCGAGGAGCTCTTGGCGCACCCGTCGTCGTAGAGGTTGCCAAACGTCTTGACGGGCTCGTCCGAGAGCCCCCGGTGAAGTACTCCTCCCAGGTGGGGATCTGGCCGTCGGCGCGGAAAAACTGGTTGGGGTCTCGCGGGAAGTGGCGGCGGCCAAAGACTTCGTTGCTCGCGCAAAACTCAATGGGCGAGAACTTTTGCTTGTACGTGTTGGTCGAGCGGTCGAGGTGGCCCGCGCCCCAGCAGGCGTCGAGGAGCTTCCACTCGCCGCCGTCGATGCGCACGGCGTTCCAGGCGTGGCCGTCGGGCTTCTTGGGTGGGCACCGCTCGCCCTTCTTGAGCGGGGTATAGCCGGCGCCCTTGCCGTGGCCCGTCACCATGACGCACTCCATGCCGGCTCTCTTGGCGATGGCCTCGAAGCACCCGCGTAGCCGCCGCACACGGCCTTGCCCGTGAAGATGACCTCTTCGGGTGAGACGTGGCGGATGTTGCCGCTGGAAAACATTTCGTAGTCGTAGACGACGTTGTGGTGTGCCCAGGTGAAGATGGCGCGTGCCTTGTCGGTGTGCGAGGGAACGGGTCGCAGAGGGCGCGGGCCAGGAAACCTAGGGGATCCTGGCGCGGCACCCCGTGGCGAGGAAACTGGGCACCCACGGCATCGGGGCCGGAAAAGTCGCGGCACAGAAGGCAGTTTGCGGTGGCCTTGGCAACGGCGTCTTCGATCTGGGAGACGGACGGCCGAGACGCCACGGGCACGGGAGGCGGCGCGTCCCGCGTATTTCTATTGGAGGAAGGCAGCGGAGGAGAGGCGCCATTCTCGTGGCTCTTGGGCCGGGAGGGCAAGACGGGCGGAGGCTTGACGTAGGCGGAGGGCGCAGGCGGAAGGCGGCGAGGCGTTGATGACTTCGTGTCGGTGGGGGTGAGGCCGGGAGACCTCGCCGGTCGAGAGGGCAGACGAGGGGGTTGGGAAGGCGGCGGAGGTGGTTCGACGGCCCGGGCACTTGGCGAGTACTTTGATTTCACTGCATTTTGTTTTGCAGCAGCCTCCTTCGCCTCCGACTCTCGACGACTTGGTGGCAGGGGCGGCAGGGTCGCGGGATTGTAAGCGGGCGGTAGCTTCCGCGTGGGCTGGCCGTCGGTGGAAACGAAGCTCGCGCTGGACGAGTTATTTCTACCCCGATGGAGAGGTTGGAGACGGTGGAGATGTAGGAGATGTCGGACGAGGTCGAGTTCCGCCGCACATCCGGCTGCAGGGTCGGTCGGCGAGGGGCAGCGCGGGCGAGGAGCGGGCGAGGGCTGTTGGTGCTGCTGCTGGAAGTACGAGTTTCGAGACGGCAGCGGGGGTGACTGCACGGCGATGCTGGCGGGGAAGTGGCGCCGGAGCCGGCGCCGACGTTGGCCTTGCCCGTGGGTCGTCGAGAGGGAGTGGAGGGGCTGCCGCTCTGGTTGACGGAGGCTGGGCGGGCGTCGACGCGGCCTGGGGAGGAGGAGGCGGGGCCCGTTTCTTGGGAGCGTCTGCCGTGGAGAAGTTCTTTTGCCTGTTTAAAGCGGCGATGCGCTCAGCGAGGGTGTTGAACTGGGGCTCCTCGACGTCGGCCATGGTGACCGTCGGGGAAGGATCCTGACGGTTTTAGTTGGCGGAGGAGGGGGTGAATGCGGATTAGATCTTCTCAAGAGAAGGAAAACGAGAAGAGATGTAAATAAGAGAAACACCGGGCCAAAGAGAGAAAAAAAAAAAGAATGACCCAGATATTGATACTGGGGTAATGGAGATCGATCAGAGTCCGGAAAAGAGGGTGGGTAAATACAAAGTGAGTGTGTGTGGAGACGAGGGGCGAACAACTGGCCAGGAAAGTGGCGCCAGAATGGTGTGCAAGGTCCTGAGACAGGGTTTGGTGCCTAGAAACCAACCAAAAAAGATTCTTGGGATCAATCAAGGAGTGAAAGGAAGGATGGAAAGATTAAAGAGACGGAAAGGCAAGCGAAGAAGAGAAGCGGAAAGGATTGGTTTCACCAAACACTGCCAAGGCAAGTGGGACGAAGGAATCAGAAGCTCGGGAGGCAGTGCACATCCCCACCACAGGCCGTCAGCCTTGTTCGATGCCCCCTCAATGCGATATGCGGGAACCCTCGAGCTGCACTCACGAAGGATTGTTTGGGTTGTATCGCTCCTTTTTTTCTTTCTTTTTTCTTTCTTTTTCTTTCTCTCTTTTCCTGTCCTCCTCGGATGGGGAGGTTGGAGGATGGGGCAATATCGTTTGCGATCTTGAAGAGGAGAGTGTTTGAGTCTTGGGTTTCTCCTTACCACTCAACAAAAGTGGGAAAAGGGGATGTGAGGTGGAGTCTGGAAAAGATGGATCCATCGATGACGCGTGCGACATGTGCAAAGGTGCTTGAGCAGCAGCACTGGTCAAAGACAGCGTTTAGGACATTGAAGACACTGGAGGCTGTCCTCAAGTGCTGGCTCTCCATTCCGACGTGCACCACGAATAGCGGGCTGGATCCACGGCACGCCAGGCGCTAGGACGAACTTGGCAGCACGGGGGTGGGAAGTAGGGCCGAGCTATTGATGGATTGCCGTGCGGGCTTCGCTTCAGAGCGCCTTGGAAGGCCAGCTCCGCCCGGGACTTGCCCGTCGATAGACGAAGCCTTGAATCAAACTGACGGAAACCTGCGTCCACTGATTGATGTGACATTGAGCCCCAAACACTTCAGGCCAGAACAGCTCAGGGTTGTGCTGGTGGTGGGGCTGGGGGCCTGGGGTCCAAAAATAGATCGCCCCCTCACGCTTCGAGGGCGACGGATCGTTGGTGGGCTGTGCGGGGTTCCTCTTGGGCGAGGGGCTCTTCTGCACTCATCCATTCAGAGATCCATCCATAGATCAATGGATGTTGTTGAGTTGAGGAGTCTATGGTCAGTACCCTCCGTCGATGGATCGGTTCACTGGAGCCATTAGATGGATCAAGTTTCGTTCAATCCTCAACAGCTGCAAAATACCTGGGACTGTCTCCCTTTGTCCAGTGTTCCCCTCCCCTATTTTCTCCTTTTCTTAGGGCGTGGGCTTGTTTTCCGTTTAGAGACAATCGCGTTTCCTCCCAAGACGTTCGCCGAAGCGGGCGGGAGAGCGACGGGATGACGGCAATGGACATGGATGCCCTTAACCCCGACAGCATCCAGTTCGATGTGAGGAGAGAAGAGGGGAGAAGGGATGGTCCAGCGCCGTCCAATGCCGGGCTCCATATTCCCATCTTATACGCTAGATATTTGAATGTCTTAAAGAAGAAACCCGAAACGATGTACCCTTTCCTTTCGATGTTTTACGTGAATGAAGGGAAATGGTGTCGGTGCCCGGCTCGCTGTGGAGAACCTAGCTCCCCGAGCCTGCAATGAATCCCACGGACCTCAGTGATCATTGATGGCTATTGCAGGTCGCAGGCAATGCAACCCTTGAAGTCTCTACCGAGGTAATTTTCCCCTCTCAATTTCCATTGCTGTTTACAATCTGACAGGTTCGCCCCCGGCCGAGAAATAGTGTGTGCAAATGCATGTAGTAGAAAACACATTGGATTATGATCTCGAGCACTTGAGTGTGTGCTGCCTTGTCCTCGAATCGAGACAGAATTCAGACACACAAAGGCCCAGTCTGGAGACGCCAAATAGGAGCAACTAAACGCTTGCTTGTCCATCCATCATTGATGCCATCTAATACCTCCTCGTTAGACCCATTGGATTGATCAATTGTGCATATCTGGCGTCTTTATCAAATCAAAGCCATGGTTTAATGGCCCAAGCCTGATTTGGGGTGTTGCCTGCTAATGATGATTGCTTTGCAAAAAAAAAACCCCTACGAATTGAAGAAACCAAGTTGAGAGAACCGGTGAGCAAAGGGAAATTAAGGACCGGTCACCGAAGGAGAGAGGAGGAAGCTCGTCACGATGAGTGTGGCCATTCCCACAGCATCGTTGGGCCAACCAGGACCAGACAGTGGTTGTCACCGCATGGGGCCTCGTCCTTGAGGGCGATGGAAGGCCATGACCTGCTGTACAACCAATATTGAACCTACAGGTACGGGGTACACGTCCTCCTTTGGGCAAAACAACAAAACCAGAAAAGAAGAGGAAGACGACCAACCCGTTTTCAGTGTTGAACACATACCAAAGGAATCGAGAGAGAGAGAAAAAAAGAAGAAAAAAAGCTAGGGATGGGTTTTCAGTGTTCGTAGGGCTGCGGGAAGAGGAAGGAATGCCAAAAGGTGGCTGCGCTTGGCTGAAATTGTGGAAGTTACCGACCAAGTGACGACGCCGCGTTCCTACCTCGGTGCTGCCTTCCTGTCTTCCTGTCTGGTCTTACTCAGCCTGGGTCCGGGTTGAAGGAGCGTTCGCGTTTCGTGCCTCAGGGTGAATGGGAGAGCCAGTGTCGGTGCGAGACGGATGAAGAATTTGGATTTTAGATGGATCAGCTAGATGCAAAGCTGATTGATCAAAGCCAGTCCCATAATAAGAACACTCACATTCCTCTCACAACATGACACACACGCTAGCAAGACGCCCACTCCACTCAACGTGTCTGTCCCAGGGAAGGGAGGGGATAAGCGTCCAAATGGCATGTGGTGGAATTTCGGCTAGTGGCTCGTGGCTAGTGGCTCGACGCCAGATCAGGCCAAACCAGACAAAGAAAGGCCAGCCAGCATTCGTTCAATCATCGATCCTGTTTCCGTACTAGTGCTGGAGCCTAATAATTTTGGGGACATGCCCTTCGGTGTGCCCCAGATCGAAGGGGACGCTCGCGCGCTGGCACTGGTGGGGGCGGGGACCGGGGATGGGGGCTTGTTTTGTAGCAGGTCAGGTCTGGTGTCTGGTGCTGGTGTATTATTCTCCTCAACTGATGGATGCTGGTGCTGGTGCTGGTGCTGGTGCTGGGACTGGGACTGGAACTCCGAGACCCTTGAACAATCTCCGCCCCACGCTTTCCCCTTGCCGCTGGCCCCGGTTCTCCATGCCCGCATGGACGACCTACCTCACACCCAACGATCCTCAAACGTGAGCACTCTGACTTCCAACCTCATCTCGCCAGCCTACCTCCTCCCTTCCTCAACACACCTATCGCCCTTCTCGTTTGGATAGCCACCCCCGCATTTCCTACGCTTTATTTAATCCCAGATTCCCATTGATACTAGTATTGCCAGGCCGAGCGACGCTACGAGACCCGCGAGTCGCTTCTTCCCTGTCGGCCATTATCTGTACCAAGCAGCAAAAGCTACCCTCATCGTCGTGTCCCCGTTTGCCGCCAGAGCCAGCTGAGAGCGAAATCGCCACCAATCTCACCTTTGAGAAACCGCAGCTTCTGCCATACCGCCTGCCCAACCTTTTTTCTTCCCCCTCCTTTCTTCCCTGTAGTGCAGCAATCTTTTTGTCTTGCATAGCTGCGTATATCCATGCGCTTTGTTTGAGTTTAGCGCCGTCCGAAGCAAAGCCACCCATTCTATTCAATACATTTCCTCAGCTCCTCCCCAATGCGGCTCTCTTATCGATCGCGCCCGCGCCCCCAATAACCCGGTCCCCCCATCACGACCCGCTCACCCGCCCGCCCGCCCATCGCAACTTTCGCAAGCTTCCTCCCCTCTCCGAAAGCCGCAATCCTCAACCTCGAGCCAAATCCGAACCTCGATCTTTGTTAATCGCCCTTTTGAAGCCTGTTCCGTGCCTTGCCCTCCCGCTTTTCTCTTCTTCCTCCCGCCTTGACCCGCGTTCACCCTGCCGAATCTAAAACCGACGAGCGACCGGCGTATAGCCTCCCCACGTACCATCCATACTCCGCAAAAGAAAATAAAAAAATAGGACGCGCGCTCGCCCAACGGCCAGCCGCGTAGAGTGGCACTATGGCGGACCGGGTCGTAGAGTTGGAGATGACCGTAGCGCCGACACCTTCGTCATCCTCGCTTCCGGGCACCTCTGCTCAAGAGTATGGGCTTCATGAGCCGACATCAAGAGATGGGCGGGAGCTTGATTTCCTGGGCCTGCCTCTGGAAACTCAACATACCATTTTCCGCTACGTACGTGTAACCGAAACCAAGTCCTTCCGATTCTCTGCCAGCCCTCGTTTATAACCCAGCGGAATTGGGCGATTTCTTTTCTTTTCTTTTAGGCTTCTTTTCCTCCTAGCCCACCATCCCCTGCTGATTGCGGTCTTTATTAACAAATTTTCCTTTTCCCATTTTGTTTAGTGTTCAAAGGCCGACCTGGTGACGCTATGCGTCGTCTCGAAACGGTTTCACGAGCTCGCTGCTGCCGAATTATACCGCTTCTTTGCCGCGAAGCTAGGTGACACCAACATCTTGTATCGCGGTTCCCGATTTGCGCTTTCGGGCATACTCGATACCCTGACCACGAGCGAGTACAACTACGCTCAATTTCTGAGGCACTTTACGATTGATAGCCAGTATCTCGGCGACAAGGCTCGGCCTGCCTGTCAGCCCTTTTCCTACTCGACGAGCTCTGGGAGATTTCTCAACACCCTTTTGCACCTGACCCTTCGCGAGGCTCAAGGGCTAGAGTCGTTCAAGTGAGTCCCCGGCTTTGGCCTCGCATAATGATGAACGCGGCTGGCTACACCCAGCCGCCTCTTTGACTGCTGTCACGTATTAACAGTTGTGCTTGCCAAGGTGGAACATTCGCGTTGAGCTTAGTCGACCCGTCTTCAACGCTCTTCATCGCCTCCCAGCTTTGCAAGAGCTCCACATCAGGCTCCACGGCGGCATGTCTCTCTATGAGCCCCCGCGACCTTTGCCCCTTAGCAACAACCTTGGATATCAGATCGCGCCGCCCCCACCGCCTCCGCCGCCCCATCCTCATCCCCATCCGCACCCTCACCAGCAAAACCCCCACCCGGTTGGATGGGGAATATGCCCAACCCGCCGCCACCGAACCAGAACATGTTCCAGTTTGGAATCCCCACTTACGTCCCACCACCCGCTGCCTTCCCACTGTCCATAATACCTGCAACACCCATATCCTTTGCTAAACCGAAGAGCCCCGAAGCACGACGAACGACCCTCCGACCTTGTCCGCCTTCAAAAACTTGCGACGGCTCACAATTCTGGACATTGAAACCCTCGATCTGCTCCCCGATATCAGGGCTGCCATTGAAGCATCCGAAGCGACGCTAACGCACCTAGGCCTCTCATTTTCGTCCACACTTGCGAAGAAGGCGAGAGAGACCAACCCAGACCCCGATTCGGACGCCTCTGATCTGGATGACGAGTTTCACAATGGGTCGAGCTTCGATGCCAACGGGCCCGTCCGGCCTGCTCGCGCGCAAAAGGAGTGGGACGTTCAAGAGACGACCCTAGCCCGTCTTTTTGGTCTCCGCAAATGCACCACCGCCCAGAGCTCTTCCAAGAAGGGAAAGAAGAAGAAGAGAAACTCGGACTCCACCACGAGCGATATCCTCGGCGAGGACGAGAGCGATCAAGATCCCGACGCCGAAAACGACAACAGCCCCAGTACCAAGAACAACCGCGAACTCGAAAAGCTGATTGATGCGCTGAAGCTCGCCTCAGGAAAGGTCCTCAACAGCGCAACGGAGGCGAGGTACCTGTCTGGGCAGCACGACGACATCCTCGATATCATTGGCAAAGCAGTGGGTAAATTTGTCGAGGAAGACTCCCGCAAGAAGTCTCAGGACGGCGTGGAAGCGGCCGGCTCCTCATCGGCCGCGCAGAACGATGGCGTCACTGGTGGTCCAAGCTCCTCCACGGCTCCCCAGCCAGCCCCCGCACAGGAAGAGGCGAGTCCGCGCCCCGCAAGCCCAGCAGTATCTCTGGTCTAGACGACATTGACATCGCCGATTCCGGGGACGTTGAATCACTGTGCGATGCCGATGACGAAAAGGACGAGGACGTAGAGGCCTCGGGCCGAGCAGTCGCTGCTGAGCCGGGAAGCGCAGGAAACGCAGGAACTGCAGGAAACGCGGCACACACCAGCCTCTTTACCGGGCCAGCTGCGGCGCCAGCCCATGGGCGGAACAAGGCTAGTAGCCCTTGCGGAGCGACGGACCGCGCCTCTTTGGTGGGGGAGCACCTCGAAGAACAGAAATTAAACCTCATCAGCTCCTATGTCAAGTCCACCAGAGGCCTCGGCCTGAGGTCATTTTCCCTCCACCTCGTTCCCCTAAAGACATCGGTCATTGGCCAGGCGCTCGACCTACATATGCTCCGCAGCCTCACATTGCTCAACGTCGGGAACCAAGCGCCGCTATGGACCTTGCTCTCCAAGGAGAACAAGACCAAACCGCTCGCCCTGCGGGAAGTCTTTACCGACCACGTCACGGCTCCTTTTGTCAGCTGCATGGCGGAGCTCGAGGAGCTGCACGCCCTCTTCATGATTGAGCGGTCCAGCAAGTATCGACCCGCGACTTTTGTTCACAGCTCCAAGGTCCTCCTGCGCGCGATTCGAAAACAGATTCTAGAGAAGCACCTGCCGACGCTGAAGCGCCTGATGATTCGAAACGATAACCGGCCGTTCTGGGACCTGGATCACACCACCGTAGTGACTGTTTGCGGACTGGGGGCAAACCTCGAAGAGTTTTCGGCATCGCTTCGGATACAGAACGTGGTAAGTTGACATGACAATATTAAACCCGACCAGCGTCTTTTTTTTCCTTTTTCTTTTTCCTTTCCCTAAAGGCAAATATGGACCCAAGACCCAAGAAACTAACCTTTGCCCTCTTGTAGCATATACTTCTTCAGAACATTAGATATCTAAAGAACCTACGCGCCTTGCACATCAGCCCGTTCAGAAACGAGGACACGTGCGCGTGGGCCATCAGAGACGACGCGATTCTTTACCGACGCCTTGATCCACTTCCCTACCCATAAGCTCGAGTTTATCGCCATTGAGGACCGCGTGACCGTCATCATCAGGGCCCCTGTGAAGAGGCCGGAGATGGGAGCCGAGGCTCGGGCTGGCGGCAAGCAGGACATCAAGGGCAAGGCCAAGGCGGTCAATTACGACTCGTCTTCGGACAGCGGCTGGTCGACGAGCTCCACCTCATTTTCGGAGAGCTCCTACGAGAGCGCGGCCAATGCCAAAATGGAGGCTTTGCTGCGGAATGACGTGCCCATCAGGCTCAAGACGCGAAACGTCACGATTGAGTCAGTCCACGGAGTCAAGATCTTTGAGAAGGAGGTTAGAGCAGGGGAGTTGTAGTAACGACTTTTTATTCTTTTTGGCCACTTCTTCCTTTACGATTTTTTATCCTCGCTCAACGCCAATTTCTACGGATCGGGGCCTCTCCGACCCCAAAAGGCTGGACTCTCTATCTAACCCATGTCAATCACCTACATATCCTTTTTTATCTCTCTCCCGCCACCCTTTTTCTTCCCGCTCTTCATATCTGTTCTTTTTATCTTCATCCACTTATCTTGGCTCGTTTAGTGGGGTTTTTTTTGTGGTAACTCTTGGTTCACTGTATGAGCGTCACTTTTTGATTTATTTTCGCGGTTTCTTTCTTATTTTTTTCATTTTTTTCATTTCATTTACTCGAGCCCCTTTCCTGGCATGTCAAGGCAAGCTGGAGACTTTTCTTGGTGGATTTTCCCCCTCCAACTCTTTTGGGAGGAGGAGGGGAGACGGAGGGTTGTGCGCCTTGTGTATTTTTGTAAATGAGATGCGGCGCAGCGTCTTGGTGTGTCTGTGTGTGCGTGTGTGCGTGTGTGCGTGTTGCACAATCTTGTAGTCTTTTGTCAATCTGTTGAGTGGCATCAATCATTACTATTGATATATCCTCGATCATGTCCCTCCACCTGGCGCTTTGAATGAAGAAGAAAGCGAAAGAAAGAAACATCTCGCGTGACACACGCACTGCTGATGTCTTCTTATGTGAACATGACGTTTTCACCCGTATATGTGAAGTGTCAACACGCCCTCAAGCTCTCTTTGTACTTTTTTGGAGGATGTGAATGAAAATGGATTGGCTTTTGTTTAGCTTGTATATTTTTATTGAGTAAACACTATCATGTATGACAAGACTACGTTGTTGGAACGTCATGTTGTTTTATCTATTCGGAAGGAAAAGGGAATCAAAGATGACTGAAAACATCAAATGAGGATTGCAACCCCTACATTGTTACAAAGTGGATAGACTTTTTAGATTGCGAGACAAACCCCTTCCCTTCCTACCCCTAGCCAGCCCAAACAAGAAAAGAATCAAGAAACAAGAAGAAGAAGAAGAAGAAGAAGACGAGAAAGGTCATCGCTATCAGGGCGTAGGAGCCGCAAGGTCGCCGGTAAGGTCGCCGGCAAGGGCCTGGGCGACTTTATCCCGCGTCACCATGCCGTCGGCGAGAAAAGCGGCAAACTCGCGGCGCTGGCGGGCGAGGAGGGGCTCGAGGCTGATGAGGGCGACGGCGAGGAAGCCGAGCTGCTCGCGGTCGAGGTCGAAGAGGTCCCACCAAGGGTCGGGGGCATGGGGGCGGCGAGGTCACGTGCGGCGAGGAAGAGGGCGGCGGCGGCGAGCTCGGGGGTTGGTGGGTGAGGTAGAGCATTTGCGGGGAGAGGAGGGCGGTGTTGAGGTGGGCGAGGGCGCGGGCGGTGATGGCGCGGGGAGAAGGGGAAGAGGAAGAAGAAGAGGAGGAAGAGGAGGAAGAAGAAGAGGAGAGACCGGCAAAGTCGAGGGCTTGGAGGTAGGTGATGGCGAGGGGGTGGGGGAGGGAGACGGTGGTGTCGAAGCCGAGGGCGATGAGGATGCGGGATTCGGCGGCGAGGAGGCGGGTGTGGAAGGAGGTGTAGGCGGATTCGGAGGGGAGGTAGGAGTCTAAGGGGGTTTGGAGCCGGAGGAGGAGGAGGAAGCTTCCGCGTCGGTTGGTGCATCTGAGGTCCGGAAGAGGGGACAGGTTGGGGAGAGGAGGTAGGTGTAGACGTTGCAGATGTCGCGGGGGAGCGGGGACGGTGGCTGTCTTTTGTGACGGCGAAGAGGGCGCCGGCGGAGAGGTCCTGTTTGGGAGGGAGGGGGAGCGGAAAGGGGCGAGTTAGAGGTGGGGTTCTTGTGTGTTTTTATTTTATTGGGCTCTTTTCTTGGTTTGGGATTTATCTACTTTTTTCTGGAGAGGATGGGAGAAGGTATATAGAGCTAGAGGGAAGGGCTAGAAACAGAAAAAGGAACGAGAGGGGAACGTACACTGAACTCGAGGGATTCTGGGGCCTCGGATACCCAGTACCGCGCAATCACGACGTTGGCCTGGGCGGTGATGCTCTGGGGTATGTCGAGGAGCACGCCAGCAGCCTGGGTGAGGGACTGGACGGCGACGAAGACGGCGTCGAGGACGTCGGCGGGGAACTGGCTGTTGGAGGCTCGGGTGGCGAGCTGCTCTGGCGAGGCGAGGGGTTGGATAGTAAGGGCATGATGGCGGTGGGCTGTGGTGTTGTGACTTTTGTGTGGGAGAGAAGAGAGAGGGAAGGAGGGAAGGAGGTGGGAGCGACCGAGGAAGTGAGTAAGGTACTGCTATGGTGTTGCTGCTGCGGTCGCTGCTTATAGTTTGTTGTCTCTTTTTCTGTGTGCCTCCCCTCGTTGCGCGCGCGGCTTTTGGGTTGGTGCACGTGAGGAACAAGACTAAGTGCTATGCGTGTTTCGATGGAAGATTTACATTTACGGCGAGACAGAAATAAATTATCGCGATTTTTACCCGCAGAGAATTTGGGGACGAAGGAAGGGAGACTCGAACGAGGACTTGGATTTTGGCGTGGGGAAACTGAGGACGAGATGAGATGAGGTCAAAGTAAACTCGATTTCTCCTCCGCATGATCCGTGCGTTCTGCGGCTGCTGGTTTTTCCGACTTACTTTTGCTTTTCCTGGTTGCGCGCGTGTTTCCAACGACGGGCGGCGGCAACGACCCATGCACGATCTGTTCCCGCGGTTGTGGGCAACGACTTACACCGTTTTTGTCTTGACTCATATTGATCACAGAATTGCTAGGAAGAGGAACACATTTTTTAGAAACTCCCAATGATTAATTATTGCTTGGTTTCTACACGTCTGATCTTGGACAAGCAAGCAGAGCAGAGTTTGTGATTTTCTTTTTTTTGGGTGGGCAAACCAAAATGGCTGTGTGAGTCGTGACGAGGACCTCCTTCCTCAACTCCTCGAATAACCCTAGCTGTTCAGTCTTCGCTCCAAGTCGCTCTCTGATTAGTTGACTGCCCTCTCACTGCGGCAGAAAAACCGAGTACCGAAACAAAAAGCGACGAAGAGAAACCCAAAGGCCCCCTGTTCTGCCCTGGAACAGGGTGTTTGGCGTTGCGGAAGGTGCGACTTCGTCATGAAAATCGCGACCCTCGAATCACCAACCCCGGGTTTGGGGAGCGCGAGTGGGAGTACGCCCGCCCCTACCCCCTTCACCCAATAGAAAGAAGGTGATGGAATCGCGTCGTGAACATGGAAAATACGAACAAGATGAATTCGAAGAAGGTGCAAGGCCTAGGGCACGCCTCCTTCCCTGTGGACTTTGGCTAGGGTTGCTCGACTATAAAAGCGCACCATTTGGTTTTCCGCCTCCTATTCTATTCTTCCCCCTTCTTTTTTTCTCTCCATCGTTAGAAGCTCTATATTCTAGTATTATCGCCTCGATTGTTATTTTAATTTCATCGACCGCTCGCCAGTCTATAGCCTTCTTTCGCCGCTTTCTTCTCCCAATTCTCCTCCGCTATAAAGCCATTATTTGGCAGGTAAGTCGTGTTTCATCGATCCCTTTTGAGCCCCTGTTCCCTGTTCTCCTACCGCCGGGTCCGAGGACATGTCCATTTTTGCTCCAGACCTTGGCTTGGAGAAGTCGATGGAGCGGCAGTGGCTGGACGCTTGACTGTAGAATCGGTAGATTGAGCTTGTATAAGTTAACATTTTTCTTTTGAAAACTATAGTGCGCGTATCCTCTCCCAGGGTACTATTATCTCCCAAAGAGTCCTCCTCGCAGGTTCTCTTTTATTTAATTAACGAAATCTTTGACGGACATCAGGTATGCTTCAGAGTCGAAGACCCCCTTGAATCGAGCATGAAGCCGCTTTCTGTTATTTTCTTTTTCTTTTGAGCCTGGCCCTAACTTCTTTTTCGCGTCTTTAGTTCGTCATTGACTTTATTTATCCCTTTTCTTCCGCATCTTTCGCCTTAGCAAAGATGTCTGATCGTGCCCAGAGCCCCAGCGGCAGCGATGCCGGCTCTGACTCTCAGGGGTCCAGCTCCTGGGTCGTCAAGACATTCTCTCGTGTCCCCAGTCCCGGCGCTGTCGGGTCCAGGGTTCGAGGGTGGTACCAGTCTGACACCACTGTTGCTACCACCAAGGTTGAAATCCCGCCCGAAGAAAATAGGGCTTCTTCTTCTTCTTCCCCGCTCTCCCCACTTCTATCACGGTCCTTCAGGCCGGTGCTGGCGCTGAATTGCATCAGAGCCAGCCCGGTCCCGCCGTGCATTATTATGGCGGTCTCGATGGCGAGGCCGAATCTTTCGTCTCTGACGAAGACGAGGACAGCATGGTCAAGGGGCGTGGCGGCCCCAAGACCAAGGGTGACAAGAGTCGCTCTGACGACGAGGGCGCTGCCAAGTCCGATAATTAGGAGAACGGGCTTGGTAGCTCTCCTTCTGCGAACGAGCCCGCAGGCAATTCTGACCTTGGGCTCGAGATGCTGATGGGAGCTCTCACTGTCGGAAACGGCAATAACCCGGTGGATGACTCCACCCTTTTGACGGGAATGGAGGATTCACCGGACCCAGCCCTTGATGGCTTTTTTGAGGATCTCTTCAATAATGAGGAGAATGTTCAAGTAGCCGAGCTTCCCCAGGTCCCTGCGAACAACGAGGAGAATGTTCAAAATGCAGCGGTTCCAAAGCTCTCGGACGATGAGGAGAACGTTCGGGATGCCGCGGATTCATTTGGCCTGGGACTCGAGCTTGGATTTAATCCCGACCTCGCCATGAACATCGCCGCTAACCTCGACTTCAACTTTGCTCCCAACGTCGAACTCGCGGCTCCGGAGCTGGGGCGGCCAGCCCTCACGGTCCCCGTGGCCACCGAGGGGAAGCCCAACCGGTTCCTGGAGTTGCGCCTCAGCAGCCCCTTTTCCAGTTTACCACGGCCCGCTTCGCACTTATTGATCCCAGCGAAGGGGAGTCGGAGGAATCTGAGGAATCTGAGGAAGAGTCTGAGAGCGAGGAAGAGTCCGAGAGTGACGAAGAGGCGGAGATGCAGGACAGCCCCGGGAACACGAGCTTCGATTCGCTCTTCGGCGACAGCGAAAGATCGGCTTCAATGAGTTCCCGGAGGCATAAGAAGATGGAGCGACGGGTGCGAGAGTATCTCCGCCGCAAGAGTTCTCAAACCCCCTCCCAGCCATTGCCTCCCCTTCTCCCGCCACTGGGTCCCAAGTCTCTCAGGAGGCCGCGAAGCCAACGGTGACGCCTCCCACGGCCCAGGAAGTCGACTCTAGTCGAGGACCGGCCCAGGATCAGCCGAGCCCAGCCAAGCAACAGCCCTCGGCGGAGAAGAAGCGTGTTCCTGCACCCCCTCGACCCAGACCTGTCCAACACTTTATTATTCGTAAGAAGCCTGCGCAGCAGCAGAAGCAGCAGCAGCAGCAAACCGTCGCCAAGCCAGACTCGCAGGCCATGGAAGTCGACGCTCGTCGAGGACCAAGCCAGAGCGGTCAAGCCAGCGGCAATGTTGGACAAGTGTCTAATAATAATAATTTATCGCGACCTGCCACATCGCAACCTCAAGTTAACCAGGCGCAGAGGCCCAAGCAGCCGCTTCCCTTCTGTTGCCAACCTCGCCACGAGGTCCGATTGACACCGGCAATGTATTCGCTCCTCTCGAGCAGCCGATTGTCTCGCGACCCGGCCTTAACCAGCGACCCGCCACATCGCGACCCCAAATTAACCAGGCGCAGACGCAGAGGCAATCGCTTCCGCTCTTGCTGCCAACAATGCCGGAAGGGCCAATTGACACTGGTAACGTCCCTACTCCTGCTCCTGCCCCCGTCGAGCAGCCAAGTGTCTCGCGGCCCGACCCCTTAACGAGCGGCCAATTGCCAGCTCCCGCGGCGTCTTCTTCTTCGAATGTCCAGAACCGGCCCAAGCTGCAGCCAAAGTCGATTCTGAAGAAGACGTCCGCTTATGCAAGTGCCACGCCCGACCCCAGGGCGGTGGAACTCATGATGGAAGACCTGTTTGGCAACCAGCGTCGACCGGTAAGCTCGCCGCAGTCTAATTTTGCGACGAACCTCGAGGAGGAACTGAGAATGGCCTTGGAATCCGACGATGCTCCCCCAAGCTGCTGCTCCCGTGGCTCCCCACCTCCGAAATTTGAGCGAGGATCAGCGTCGTATGTATTACGATAACTTGCGCCGTCAGGTGGAGCGGACGCAGAACGAACAAGCTCAGGAGCCGCTGAATCAGGTTCCCCTCGCCTCGCGGCTCAGGCCGCCCCAGAACAACCCGACCGGGGCTCGCGATCTGTTGCTTTTGCAGAGCCCATTGTTGCCGTGCAGCAGCCGACGCAGCAGCAGCAGCAGCCGAGGCAACGACTTCCCCTCGCCTTGCGGGACATGCTAGTCTCAGCGGCGGTCGGGGCGGGAGAGCTCAAGTTCCCGCCCGGGAGCCTGTTCTTCCTGCTCAGCAGCCGGTTATTCCTGCTCAAGAGCCCGTTATTCCTGCTCAAGAGCCTATTGTCCCTGCCCAGCAACCCGTTCTTCCTGCTCAAGAGCCCGTTGTCACTGCTCAAGAGCCCCCTCTTCCTTCTCAGGAGCTCGTTCTTTATGCTCCAGAGCCCATTGCCCCTGCTCAAGAGCCCATTTTCACTGCTCAAGAGCCTGTTGTCCCTGCTCAGGAGCTCGTTCTGTATGCTCCAGAGCCCATTGCCCCTGCTCAAGAGCTCGTTCTTCCTGCTCAAGAGCTTGTTCCTGCTCAAGAGCCTGTTGCTGCTCAAGAGCCTGTTGTCCCTGCTCAGGAGCTCGTTCTTTATGCTCCAGAGCCAATTGCCCCTGCTCAAGAGCTCGTTCTTCCCGCTCCAGAGCCCATTGCCCCTGCTCAAGAGCTCGTTCTTCCTGCTCAAGAGCCTGTTGCTGCTCAAGAGCCTGTTGTCCCTGCTCAAGAGCCCATTGCCCCTACTCAAGAACCCGTTGTTCCTGTTCAGCAGCCCGTTCTTCCTGTTCAGCAGCCCGTTCTTCCTGCTCAGCAGCCGACGCAGCAGCAGCAACAACAACTTCCGCCTCGCCCCGCGGCGCAGGTCAATCCCATCGTCAACCAGGGCGTGAGAGCTCAAGTTCCTGCTCAAGAGCCCGTTCGTCCCGCGCAGCAGCCTGCTAGCGCTGGGGTAAGTAATGTCGAGGCCGAACTTCCCATGTCCATGGAGTTCGAGCTTGGGCCTCAGCCAGCTGCTCCGTCGCCCACTGCTGGTGCCCAGCGTCCCACTCAAACTCAGGCGCAGACTTATCTTGAGAACATGCGGAGGCAACTAGTTCGGGAGAGGCAAGAACAACAACGATTGCTTCAGGAGCAGAAGGAGGAGAAGCGACAGCAGGAGCAGGAGAAGCAGCAGCAGCAGCAGCAGCAGCAGCTTCGCAGGGCGCCCAGGTCCTTCGTCATGCAATACGTTGGCCCACCGCCTGCACCCGGAGCGACTCCCATTGCCTCCAACCTTGCCTCCTCCAACGCCATTCCCGGGCTAGATATGCTTGGCGGCGATGTTACGATGGGTGAAGCCGTCCCGCAATTAACAGCGCCGAACCCTTTCCATGCGAATAACAACGTCGTCGCGCAGCCAGCGACCCAAGAAGACGTTAACATGGAAGGCAGCGCTCCCCAAGGACTTGCTCAATTCCAACCTCGCAGCGTCCAGCCATTCCGAGGAGAGCAGCCGGGCGCCCAGCAAGGTAATGTTCCCCGCAGGAACGCCGCGGTGCCATTTACCATGCAGCAGTTTACTGTTCCTCAATCGAGCCTACCGCTCCCGGTAACTTCCAACGTCGATACCGACGTGGTCATGCACGGCAACGCCACTCAGGTAGCTCCCCAATTCCCGAACCGCAACGTCGAGCGTCCTCGAGGTGAGCAGCCAAGCGCCCAGCAGGGCAACTTTCCCCGTAGAAACGTCGCGAGGCCCTTTATCATGGAGTCCGGGGCCCCACGAATTTGAACCGCGATCAAGACGTAGTCATGGGAGGCAGCACCCGCCAAGGAACTCCCCAACCTCAGAACCGCGGGCCTCGTGGCGAGCAGCCGGGCTTGCAGCAAGGTAATGTCCCGCGCAGGGCTGCCAGTCCATTTGTCATGGGCTCCGGGATTCCCCAAACGAGCGACAGGCGTCCCGCCGGCGCCGACTTTACGGGGACGTCGTGATGGGAGCCGATCATAGCCAGCAAGGACAAAGGCAGGCTGCCCCCAGACGTGACATTTCTCAGGCGTTTTTGCCCACGTTCAACGTCGTCAATTGGAACAGCGCTCCTCGCCCCAACACTACCTACGTTGGAACCGCCCGAGGCGAGCAGCCAAGTTACGATCCCTCGCGGGCGAGCGTTCCGAGACGTGCTCCTGCCCAAGCTCCTGTGTCCCAGGTAAACGTCATCAATTGGAACAGCGCTCCTCGCCCCAATAACACTTACGTCGGAACCGCCCGAGGCGAGCAGCCAAGCTTCGATCCCTCGCGAGCGGGCGTTCCCAGACGAACTGTGGCGGCGCCGTTCATCATGCAATCTCAGCTGCCTCCAACTCCTGTGTCTATCCCAGGGCTGATGGCAATCGACCCACAGCCCGTCGTGCAGTTCCAGAACAACTTTAACTTTGCGAGGACCTCCGAGCCCGAGGGATTCGACTCTGAAATGGGCGGTCTCTACGACGAAGAGTTCGAGAACTTGACCGCGGAGCTGTCCCAGCTAAGTATCATCGAAGAAGATCCCCCGAGGTCGTCATGGCGGACGCCTTCGCGGCGCCCGAGCTGGTAATGGAGGATGCGTTCGTGGGAGAAACGCACCCCATCCACAACAACCAAATGTTTTCTCTGGGCGGCCTTGCTCAATTGGCTCCTCACCAGCCCGCTGCCCCCTGCCCCGGCGAGCATGTTTGTTTTCCACGCTGGGACATCCTTCAATTTCAATGAAACAGCGCCGGGACCTGCTCAGATGGCGCCCCAGGCAAGCTTGAGCAACAATCATAACGCTGGCATGTTTGTATTTGGGGCGGGAGCCCCTCCAGCTCCGAGCAACAATAATAACGCGGGCATGTTTGTATTCGGGGCGGGAGCTCCGCCAGCTTCGAGCGAACCTGCATCTTCAATGGCCCAAGGGCCCCAGGTAAACTCGGCTAACACCCCGAGCATGTTCGTGTTCCAGGCCGGGACAACTTCTACACCTAACCAGCCCGCGCCTGCCACTGCTCAAGTGCCTCAAGTAACCCCAGCCAGCGCGGCGCCCATGTTTGTGTTCCAGGCTGGAACAACATCTACGGTTCACGAACCTGCACCTGCACTTGCACCTGCACCTGAACCTGCACCTGCACCTGCACCCGCATCTGCACCTGCAACTGCCCAAGTGCCTGAAGTGGACACTGTCAATTCCGCGAACACTTCTACACCCCAGGCGGAAGCAACACCTCTTGCTGAGGAACCCACATCTTCTCCGGCTTTCCAAATGCCCCAGCTAAGTACATTCAACTCCACGGGCATGTTCATTTTCCAAGCCGGGCCGGTGCCCTGTTTTGGTGCCCCTCCACAAGCTCAAGGTTCAACGGTAAGCACGGCCGAGACTGCTTTGGGAGAGGCGGTCGAGGCCCAGCATCCAGAGGCTGCTGAGGAGACTGGCAACTCGGCTGAACAGGTCGCTCGCGGCCCCGAAGCTGACGACGTCGCGTCTTCGGAAGCGCCAAGGACGGGTGTTGACGCTGCTGCTACTGAAAGTTTGTCGGCGACGGACGATGCCCCTTTGGCGAGCACTAGCCGAAGCGAGAGCCGAAAGAGGAAGCGAGAAGATGAGGATGCTGGTAAGAGTTGCAAGAGGAGTCGTCGCCGCGGTCCGGGAGATCACAATTGCACTGACGGTGACGATTCCCGGCAAGCTTCGCCAACTTGGGAGCCAGCTCCTGGGACCGAACCCAGCTCCGACACAAATTCAAGCACTGCTACTCGGAGCAGCCTCAAGAGAAAGATTCACGAAGAGGACGAATCTTTGGGCGACAGGTCTACGAAGAGGCGTCGAGTCAGGTGCCATCAAGATAGAGCGACTCGGCGTGCTCTGAGGGCCAAGTATATCGAGCAAAGGGCGAGAGATGCCTCTGGCACTGCCCCCGCTGCCCCTGCCGCCCCCACTGCCCCTCAAGTCCCTTCACCATCGGAGGAGGCAAGAACCCCCGTTCCCGCCCCTCAACCCACTACCCCTCCTCGAGTCAGGACTTTCCGCGTGCCTGACTCTCCTCTATCCACCGATCCGTCGCCCTCCCCGCGCCCAGCCTCTCCCGAGCCAAGCAACGCCCACGACGGGCAGGGAGGCGAGGCCAGCCCATCACCCCAATTGCCGGGGAACAACGCCTCGGAGCGGGCGACGAGATCCTCATCCACCGAAGTCGCGCAACCCCCAATGAGCGAAGAGGAAGCGCGGTGCAGAGGAGGACGAAGAAGAAACCGCGCGCACTCCTCGCCGCAGCACCAGCGTCTGCCCCCATTGCAAGAGACGCAAGACCCGCCCCTCCGACACAGAGCGCAGCGGCCAAGCTGACAATACCCCGTCCCCGGCCCCATCCCCGTCCCCTGAGCCAGAGCCAGAACCAGAGCCAGAGCCAGAGCCAGAGCCCGAGCCAGAGCCCGAGCCAGAGCCCGAGCCAGAGCCAGAGCCGGAGCCAGAGCTGGAGCCGCAGGACGATTACGCTTGGCTCGCTGTGCCAGAGGAACTGGCAGCCGAGGTCGACCTCGAAGAAGTCGCCAACCTCGCACAATTCTGGAGGAACCAGGAGAGGCCTAGTGGGTATCGACGCCGCCGCCGTCGAGTGGCGCGGCCACGCTATGCCGCCGCGCCGAGAGAGTATTTTGGCCCAGTTGTCGACGAGCCACCCCGCGAGGCGTCCCCAATTGAGCCCGCCGCCCCCGACAACGATCGGGAAGCTACCATGGCGGGCCTCCTTGCCGTGGGGACTGCTGCCCTGGCTGGCCTTGCTGCTGGCCTGGCGGTTTGGTGATGGCTCGTCACAACGTTGAAGCAAGAAGAGCCCAAGGGGAGTGAGGGCTCGCAATCACATTAATTATTTTCTACGGACCGTCGGCGCGGATGGACGCCCTCGAGTCTCTGACGACCTTTTTCCATCCAGTCCACACAACATTCTTTTTCTTTTTCTTGTTCTTTTTTTGTTCTTTTTCTTTTTCTTTTTCTTTTTCTTGTTATTTTTCTTGTTATTTTTCTTTTTCTTGTTCTTTTTCTTCACTACTTTTCCCTTTTCACGCCATCCATTTCTTCCCTCCTTTTCCATCCACACACCGTTCATGTTTCTCAAGCAAATCTCCAAAACAACTTCCATCCATCATCTTTGACAACACTTATATCTTTTCCTATCTCAATCACAAAAGTAAGTCGCGAGCACCAAGCAACGCCCCCGTCCACCCTCAGCAGAACTGTTGGCTAATGTCTTACTCTCTTGGAATAGAAAAATTTCGTTCCTCATATATAGCTCGCGGACGACTCCGGGCACGATAATTCCTCGAATCTGTACACAATGCATCCATGGATCAAATCACGTGTGCTATCTACCAAAAGTAAGTCGTGAGCACCAAGCAACGCCCCGTCCACCCTCAGCAGAGCTGTTGGCTAACGTCTTGCTCTCTTGGAATAGAAAACCCACATTCCCACTTGGCTCGGGGACGACCCCTGGCACTATAATTCTTCGGACCTATACCAGGGCACCGAGTCCCGGCCCCGGCCAACACACGATTTTAATGAGAGGCCAAAGCATTTGGCCGTCTTGTTTTGCCCGGCCGGGGCCACCATGTTCGCAGCTCCCTGTTCCCACACCACCACCACACATCATGCCCCTCTCGCGGGCCGGGACCGGGGAGCTGTGCACGGGATGCACACAAGGACACACTTCATGGAGGGAGGCGACTCCAAGCGAGTCAACTGACAAAGAGGGGGTCCTGGGAGGAACACACTTCAAATGTTCCTCCCCAAACAACAACTTCACCAATCGACAGGACTCCCCTTTTTGTTCAAGGTGTGAATACGTTCCACACTGGGGAGGGCTTCCAAACCTTGGCCTTACTCTAGGCGAGTCAACTAACAAAGGGGGTCCTGGGAGGAAACACACTTCAATGTTCCTCCCCAACTTCAAACAACTCCTACACCTATCAGTAGGACTCCCCTTTTTTTTTTTCAAAGGTGCTGGTGCATACATGCCACACCTGGGAGGGCTTCCAGACCTCACATCGCCCTCCCACTCGCCCTCGCCCTCCCCCTCGCCCTCCCTCCATGAGCATTCACATAAAAGAGGACAAGACGACACCGCGGCTCGCCCGGCAAAAACGAACCAAAAAAGAAGAAAAACCCCGACGCGCACACGCACACGTTGGATCTTTTTTCTTTTTTCGCACGCACGCACGCTTACGCTTTTTTTTTTTTTTCAAAGATGATGGATGTAGAGTAAGCCACGAGCCACTCTACGAGTTGAGTATATGGAGAGATGCGCATAAGCAGAGAGATGCGCATAAGCAGAGAAATGCGCGTCTTGTTTACACATGGACGTGAAAGGGTGGAAGGGTGGGAGAGTGGAAGCGTGGAAGGGTGGAAGAGGGGGAGGTGGAAGGGTGGGAGGGTGGGAGGGTGGGAGGAGGAAGGGGAAGGGTAGGTAGGTAGGTAGGTAGGTAGGTAGGTAGAAGGTGGAAGGGTGGGAGGAGGAAGGGGAAGGGTAGGTAGGGTAGGTAGATAGCTAGATAGGTTTGGTGGTTGGTGGTTGGTGGTTTGGTGTTTTCTTTTGTCTTTTTCTTTTGTCTTTTTCTTTCCTGTTTTTCTTTCCTGTCTTTTCTTTCCTGTTTTCTTTTGTCTGTTTTCTCTCATGTTTTCTCTTGTCTGTTTTCTCTCCTGTTTTCTCTTGTCTGTTTTCTCTCTCATGTTTTCTCTCTCATGTTTTCTCTGTCCTGGTTTCTCCTGTCTCTTTTCTATTGCCTGTTTCCTCTCTCATGTTTTCTCTGTCCGTTTCCTCTTGTCTGTTTCCTCTTGTCTCTTGTCTCTTGTCTGTTTCCTCTTATCTGTTTCCTCTTGTCTCTTGTCTCTGTTTTCTCATGTTGGCCTTGTCTTTTCTCCTGTTGGCCTTTTTTTTTTTTTTTTTTCCCTCCTGGCTTGGGGCACCTCTCTATCCTCAATTGGTCAAGGAAGAAGGGGGCTTGGAAAAGTCAGGAGGGGGCCCACGAAGGCCAGAAAGAGAATGCCCAAAGAGGCAGCGAAGGAAATGCCCAGAGAGGCAGGGAAGCGAATGCCCGGAGAGGCAGGGTTCCTGTAAGAGGTGTTGGCATGTCTGGCGTTTGGCGTTTGGCGTTTGGCGTTTGGTGTTTGGTGTTTGGTGTTTGGTGTTTGGCGGTTGGAAAGGAAAAGTCATGTAAGCTGGAGGCGGAGGGTGAGCCGCGGTGAGAGGATGAGAGATTTCAAATTGGCCAAAAAAAAGAAGCCACCATTGACCAAAAACTTATTGATATTCGCAAGTGACGATGTAGAACATTGAACACCTTCCGCCGAGGACCGGCGGGAAGACGTCATGGGTCTCGGAGGAGGGACAGCCACACGGCGGCGCGACCGGGGTGGTATCGGAGGGGAGCTCGGGAGAGACGGACAGCCATACAGCCATACAGCCATGCTACCGAGGTGCATGTAGCGAAATGACGAAAGCCAAAGCGACCTTGTCACTCCCGTCACTCCAGTCCCCATGGATTACAGTTAACCGGAAAACGGCACGGGGACAATTTGACACGATTATGGTCTTGGGATATAACTTGGACGCTTTAGCGAGCACATTGCCAATGACATCTCGTTGATTCGCTCCGATACTAGGCCAGCATTATTGCGCGAATGTCGCAATTGGAACGGTAGTTATGTTTTAGTCTACGTGCATCGACTCATCCACGCGCCGGTCTCGTTCGCCTTCCGGCCCGCAAAAGGATATTCCATTGACCTCGCAGCCCAAAGAAGCGGGAAGGCGAAGGAGAGTGATGCATGGATGCATCGGCGCGATTGAAACTCTCTAGAGCTATTACTCCATGCTGATCCGCGGGAAACGGGAAACGTTGACAAGGGGCAAGCTCCGATACCGTCGAGACCATCAGAGAACGAATTAGACGTGGGGCATTGACAAGCGGACCGGTGTAACGGACAAAATAATCCAGAGGGACAATTCGACATGTGGAACTCCGTAGTCGGGGGATAGTTAATTCCAGCCTTCCAGCCAAACGAAACAGCGTTTGAAATGGGTGGTGGGGAGGGAACGCCATCTTTGTCCCAACTGGCGCCGCAGCAAGCCACTTTTGCACCTCAGCTTGATCAAATAGTGTAATACATACATAGTGCCCCCCATGGGCGAGAGTAATGTAGACAAAACCGACAAAACCGCCCGGCATCAATCTCGGGTCTGATGTTGCATCTTGGGCCCCTTGCTCCTCCTTCCCCCAATATCGAGGGCTCCCAGACCTTAATAGCCTGTCAACTCCTTCCGGCTCCGTCACCGGGTTGGTACGAAGTGCAGGGGGGAGCGTGCGCCCGGGGCGGGAGTTCATATCTTGATATCGAAGCTGCACATCTCACCAAGTTTAGAAGGGATCGGATCCTATTCTCTGCTAGGGCTATGGACTACCTGGTTTGGGGTGCTGTTGGTTGGGCTCCATACGTCGGAGGATGTTGGAAGTGCATATAGCGGCGCCGGAGGTGGTATATCTTGGGAGATGTGGAGGGGGACGGAGGGGATGGAGGGGATGGAGGGGCTGGGCAGGCGGGGCGGCTGACGAACGACAGCTGGATGATTCGAGAACTGGTGGAAGCTAAAAAGGCGGTGCGCAAATCGACCAGGGGCCTGTGATATTGGCAGTGGGAACAGCAAGACATGGGCACTCCACAACAAAAGATCTGCCCGCAACCCGCAGGCGCCGAGAAGGAGGAAATCATAGAGAGGGTGGTGGTCAATGGAGGTTCTTGAGCCGCTTGTAAAGGATGGACCGATGCAAGGATCCATGGCCTGTTTTCGGGTACATTTCATCAAGATTGTGTCCGTCAAAGACTTGCATACTGGGATCAGCAGATGAAGACGGGGCTCAGCCATGACCCGCAGAACTAACTCGTCAAGTGGCCTCCGATGTGATTATTTTTCGTGCCGATAGGACTGGAGGGCCGCTGCGTTGAAAGCTCCCAATCCAAAAAAGAAATCCCAGTCATAGTTGGTGCAAGGCAAAGGGGCGGGCCCCCAGTTTCTCACGGATGCTGGGACATCAGTTCTCCGATTTTGGGTGACGAATTTTTGACAAACGGCGCTGCGATCTCGGGGTATCCATGCGGGGCAAAATGGATCGCGCCGAGCGGTCGCGCTCCATCCCTCAACAGTGCCCTCTTTTCGCTGTACTTTTTTTCTTTCTTTTTTCTTTTCCGGTCGCACATGCCATTCTACTGGGAACATCCGCAAGTACTTTGGGACGCTAAGAGATTCAGGCAGGTACGGCATTGATAGCAATTTTGAAGCAAGGAAAAAAGAACATTGAAGGGAAAGAGGAGGGTCCAGAAGGGGAAGCGACGCCGGATTGGCAAGCAGAACGCAGCCGGATGTGGCCAGAGCGGTTTCCTGGCCTCGGCTTTCGGCTGACGGACCGGAGCTGTGCAATTTTTGGAAAGGAAGGAGGGAGGTCCCTCCTCCCCGGAAAGGTGAGGACCTTTCCATGAACCTACTGCCGGATTTGAGAAAGGAAAGGTTGGGGTTGGGACGACTTGGGGTAAGCGCGGCCTCTGACGGTTTCGGAGTTGTCGAAAAACACCACATCAATGATATCTGCAGGCGTGCAGGCGTACAGGCGTACACACTGTCTCGAGGGTTGATGATGTATTATTACGAGCATCATGGATCATATGCGATGGAACGATGCATTTGCAAGAGCGGCCATATCTTAACCATGGGCGAAGTGTTCACAAAGGCGCCAAGTTCACGCCCACGCTCGCCAAGTGCTTTTACACTCTTGACACCACAGCTTGCCTGTGTTCCAATCGGCATATATGCTTTGCTGTTTCTCCAATTCGCTCTACAACCTCAAGAGCCATAAGACTCGTTGTGATTATTCGACCCTCGTCATCAATTTGATCACTTGGCTTATGTCATGAGCCTAGTACTTGGGAGTTGTTGCTTCAGAAAGAACAAGGTCGAGAAGATAAAAAAGAAACGAAAAAGAAAGAAACGAAAAAGAAAGAAACGAAAAAGAAAGAAACGAAAAAAAAAAAAAAAAACCCTGCGAAAGTGGGTGGGCAGACTTGGTGCGGCAATCGGCGGCCCCCAGCGTGGCAACTAGCCAATCCGCTGCTGTGGTTTAGAAATCAAGTCCAGAGCTTCCTGCCGAAAGCCAGGCTCGTGGGGCACCATCAGGCCGGCCTCGTTCACCCAGAAGCCAGCGTCTTTGCTAGCCCCTGCTCAACCCGCTCCACCAGCACTCTTGCGCCAAAGTACCCCGCGTTGCAGGTACCCAGGGAGCGCCGGATGTGCCAATAAAAGGCGTCATTAGGAAGCTTTAGTGGTCTAGGGTGGTATCTCCTGTCGTGCGGTCTCCCGGGTACATCAGAACATCAATGGCTCAGCACTCTGAGCCTCCGATAATCGGACTGCGACCGGGTAAGGGCCAAGGGGTATCACAAGAGAGAGAGGGGGCACCACGGAGATTGTTGAATGGGGCCTGCACCGAATGGCAATCGCATTACTTTGAATGGCCGCCTGGAGACGAGCTGCAGTGGGCTGCGGGCCTTGCAAATCCGATATCCGCGTGTCGTGTTGTGGGACAGACAGGGTATCGGAGAGGTGGCTGAGGCCTGCCCGGACATGCATCGCTTGCAAGGGCTTGCGACGGACGGCCCACGATCAGATTGTGAGAGATCTGGAGAGAGATCCGTGGGATGTGTAACGAAGCGGTGGGCGAGGTCGTTCATAGGGCCAAGGGACCAAGGGACCGAGGGAATGCCCACCCAACCAGAAACCCTACAGATAGCTTGTCTTGCTTGTTCCCATCCATCCCTCATCTGGGGGCCGAGATGGTTTGCGCCAGCCAAGTTTCTCGACTGGAGTGGATGTGACTTTGTGAGCTCAGGGCGAGATCGCTCTTCAAACCCAAGCTCCCTCGTTGGCTCATCGGTCGAGTCAATAGTCCCAAAGAGTTATATCCTGCGGTTGGTACTTGTATAGCCAGGGTTGGTACCTTTTGGCCCTGGCTGTTTTTTTTTTTTTCTCTTTGGGGAGGGGACTTGTTTCTTTTCCCTAGTCCCCGCGGCATGGACACGAGACAAATCGACCGGTTTTGGTATCCCCTAGTTCCCTTGACCCCCGGCTAGCTCTTACCATTGATCCATGACTGTTTGATCTAACTAAACATCCACACCGGATCCCCTCCGATAACAGGAAAAAGGAAGGAAACCAGAAGGGAGGAACAAGGCAGGAGGGGAGAAGAAAAAGAAAAAGAAAGAAAAAGAAAACGAAAAGGGAAACAACGAGGAAGGCGGGTCCCCGTGTTTGCCCCCGCCCAGGAATTAAAGACTCAAGAGTCAGAGGTACATCGGCCATACCGTAGCGTAGCGTACCTGTATCGGTCGCTGCTTCGTGAGTTGGACTAGGTTTTTTTCTTCTCTTTTTATAGACCCAACATCGCCCCGGCTTTCTTTCTCCCTTCCTTCTTCTCTTCCAATAACCTCATTTTTCCTCCGTCCCGATAGGAGCCTCTTCTGCCGTCTGCTACTTTTCTTCTCTCATCTACTCTCCCTTATACCCCGAGTGTCTCCTCGAGCATTCTATATACCGACTGTAGGGTTCATCCTCCTCCCAGCCTTTGCACCCTTATCAGTGCCGAATGGGGTGTATTCCCCATGCGCTCCATCCTCACCCATACCCTCCAAACTAACACTTGCCGCTTTCGCTCAGGAACCTATCTCCCCCGAAAGACTTTTTTCTTTGGGAAATCTTTGACGACGACAAGAGACGACAGCTTGATATCCAAAAATCGCCCTCTATTTCCTCGCGTGTACGCCGTCACGAATTATATATCGAGTTCGTTGAACTCTTTTGCGAACCCGCCCGATCGAGCCATCGTAGCGGAAATTGCCCTCTTATCTCGAGTCGAGCTTCACGCTTTCCCCACCTGGTCGCCCCGCTCCCCTCGGCGCCGTGAATCCCACGCCACACACACCTTTTTCTTTTCGCCTCGTCGACGTCACCGTCGCCCTCTTATAACACAATGCCTTCCGCCGAAGGAACGCCACAGACTTTGTACGACAAGGTCCTTCAGGCCCATATCGTCGATGAGAAACTCGACGGCACTCTTCTCCTCTATATCGGTTAGTATCCCCTCTTTTACTGCCGTATTTGTTTTTATCTTTTTTTTTTTTTTTACCCCTCGTGCCTTTCGACCTTTTTGCGACCTTGGGTTATCTAGTCCCCTCTTCGCATTGAAGGATAGGGCGCATAGATTCACAAATGTCTGGCGCCGCTCTGGCCCTGGAACCAGAGATTATTCCGCATCTTTAGTGTGCTGGGTTCCATATAATATGCATGATCAAGCTAACATATTTGCCCCCTTGGATTTAGACCGACATTTGGTCCACGAAGTTACTTCTCCGGTACGCTTGCGCCTCATTTGGAACTCTCCCTTGCCTTTGTTTTCGTTTCCTTTTTTGGAGAACTGCCTGTATTCGCCGCTTCTGAGCAACGCCACTAACACGCCACTGTACAGCAAGCCTTTGAGGGCCTCAAGAATGCCGGACGACAAGTTCGAAGGCCAGATTGCACTCTGGCAACCACTGATCACGTATGATATTATCCCCTTCCCCTTGTTTTCGTTCAACAGAATTTTTTAGTCTCTGGGCTTTTATCAAAATTTCCGGTTGACTGTGCGGATGGAAATGCGAGATACAGGATCGGCGATTTCGGAGGCTAACAAGCACTGGCCCGCCGTAGAATGTCCCCACCGCGTCCCGAAAAGGCATGAAGGATATTGCCACATTTATCAAGGAAGATGATTCGAGGGTACAATGCGTCACCCTCGAGGAGAACGTCAAGGACTTTGGCCTCACCTATTTCGGCCTCGGCGATAAGCGGCAGGGCATCGTCCACGTCATTGGCCCCGAGCAGGGCTTCACCCTTCCCGGAACCACGGTTGTGTGCGGTGACAGCCACACCTCTACCCACGGTGCTTTTGGCTCTCTCGCCTTCGGTATCGGCACCAGCGAGGTCGAGCATGTGCTCGCCACACAATGTTTGATCACCAAGAGGAGTAAGAACATGAGGGTGCAGGTTGACGGCGAACTGGCCCCGGGTGTGAGCTCCAAGGACATCGTCCTCCACGTCATCGGCATCATCGGAACCGCCGGTGGTACCGGTGCCGTTATCGAGTTCTGCGGCTCCGTTATCCGCAGCCTTTCGATGGAGGCTCGCATGTCCATCTGCAACATGTCCATTGAGGGCGGTGCCCGTGCCGGCATGGTCGCTCCCGACGAGATCACGTTTGAATACCTCAAGGGCCGTCCCTTGGCCCCTAAGTACGACTCGGAGGAGTGGAACCGTGCCACGACGTACTGGAAGCAGCTCCAGTCCGATCCCGGTGCCAAGTACGACATTGACGTCTTTATCGATGGCAAGGACATCATCCCCACCGTCACCTGGGGAACGAGCCCCGAGGACGTTGTCCCTATCACCGGCACCGTGCCCGACCCCGATACTTTTGAGAACGAGGCCAAGAAGGCGGCCGGCCACCGCATGCTCAAGTACATGGGCCTCATCGCGGGCCAGCCCATGGAGGAGATTGTGGTTGACAAGGTTTTCATCGGCTCTTGCACGAATTCGCGTATTGAGGACATCCGCGCTGCCGCCCACGTTGTCGAGGGTAGGAAGATTGCGGCCAACATTAAGCGAGCCATGATTGTGCCCGGTTCTGGACTCGTCAAGTCGCAGGCCGAGGCCGAGGGTCTCGACAAGATTTTCCTCGAGGCCGGTTTCGAGTGGAGGGAGGCCGGATGCAGCATGTGCTTGGGAATGAACCCCGATATCCTCTCGCCCCAGGAGCGCTGCGCCAGCACGAGTAACCGCAACTTTGAGGGTCGCCAGGGTGCCGGCGGCAGGACCCATCTCATGTCCCCCGTCATGGCCGCGGCTGCCGCCATTGTGGGCAAGCTTGCCGACGTTCGCAAGTTGACGGAGTACGAGTCGAGTCCCCACACCAGGGCGGCCATTTCGCCAACCAAGGTGGCGCACGTCGACGAGCGCATCGAAGAGGACGACCACGAAAAGGAGGTAATTACCGACCAGCCCGAGGACAACCAGCCCCATACCAACACTCTCGTTGCAGTGAGTGGGTCTTTGGGCGTACCGGCGTTTACCGTCCTCCGGGGTATCGCGGCGCCGTTGGACAAGTCCAACGTGGACACGGACGCCATCATTCCCAAGCAGTTCCTCAAGACGATCAAGAGGACCGGCCTTGGCACCGCGCTCTTTACGAGCTGCGTTATAACCCCGACGGCACGGAGAACCTCGACTTCGTGTTGAACCAGGAGCCCTATCGCAACGCCAAGATCCTCGTCTGCACGGGACCCAACTTTGGCTGCGGAAGCTCCCGAGAGCACGCGCCGTGGGCTCTCAACGACTTTGGCATCCGCTGCGTGATTGCGCCTTCCTTTGCTGACATCTTCTTCAACAACACGTTCAAGAATGGCATGCTTCCCATTCCCATTGCCCGCCAAGCGGACATTGACGCCATCGCCGCGGTGGCGCGCGCCGGCGAGGAGGTCGAGGTTGACTTGCCCAACCAGCAAATCAAGGACTCCAAGGGCGATGTCTTGTGCTCTTTGACGTGGAGGAGTTTAGGAAGCACTGCCTTGTCAATGGTCTCGACGACATCGGCTTGACCATGCAAATGGAGGATAAGATTGCCGACTACGAGCGTCGCATGTCCAAGGATACTCCTTGGCTCGACGGCAGATCGTACCTCAAGAGGGGCAAGAATGGCCGCTTGTTGGCCAAGGCCGTCCCCGTTCCCAAGACCAACAGGGGCGAGCCTATCAAGGATACCTTGGATTGGTAAGCGATAGGAGTGGAAGGAAACAAAAAATAAAATAAAAAATAGCAAAAGAAAAAAGGGATGGAGAAGAAAAGGGGTTCAATATATATATATCTGTCTGTATTCACGAAAGAGAGCTGCCTCATACGACGGCGAATGACGGGGAGAAGCCGATGCATGAAAATAGGAAATGGTAATTCTGTTGCTAGGCAAAAAAGCTGGGCCAAAGATGTCGTTTATGTGCTTGTGGTTTATCGTCTTGAAGAAAAAGCCGGGGCGGCTAGTCTCAATAGAGGGCGAGAAAGCCTCTCTATAACACTTTTTTCTGTTCTTCCGATTTTACGAGCCGATGCCAATAGATGATATATACATTGCATGTCCCATGGGTCTTTCTTATTCTTTAAGGAGGCTTCTTTTGTATCTACTTGTACGGCCTCCTCACTGGGTTCTTGGACCGTTCTCTTGCGTCTCGAGGATTTAACCATGAGTTGTTTTGCTATCGTTTGTGAAGTCTTGAAAACATAAACCAACTGCGATTCTCCCTTGCTCTTACTCGCAATCAATGGAAAGAAAGTCGGGCGTTGCAAAGGTAACCGTGGTGGTGTGAGGGTGACACTGGCGGTTTCGTTGCCGCCCTCGGAGAAGACCAACTTCTTCCGTGCTCCGCGTGCGTAATAAATCTTCCCCCACATATTTACAGCCCCGCCACCCAAACGGTCTTGTCCCGACAACACTTGCGTGAACCTCTGGTTCCTTTGCTTTAGTTTGCCTTTTGTTTCTTCTTCTTCTGCTCTCTTCATATATATATATATATATATGTATATCCATGTATAGATGCAAGCCATCGCACTAAAAAAGCGATAAACGGAGAAAAAGAAGACACTATAACAAGTGAAGGAGGGCGCACAGAGAAGCACTCACGACTCTGGGCAATGGGGGTTGACGAGTTTTTGGCCCTCTTGGGCGAGGAAGTTGAGGATCCAGACGAGGGTACGTCCTTTTTAATGTTTATCATCCTTTTCCCGCTTCTCGTCTTTCTGCAGAGTGGCGTGTTCCCCTTTCATCGTCTAGACCGTCGAGGAAGAAGAAGGGGAGACACGAGGCGGCGTGGCTTCGTGCGCATCTATGTTACGGAATAGCCCCCAAAAATAGCTTTCTCTCACTCACTAACCAACTCTTAGAAACCTTTCTCCTCTTCTCCCAGCCCATCCCTTCCCAGAACCTAGGCTTCCTGGACCCCAAGGCCTCGGAGCTCGAGGTCGCCGTCGGGGGCAGGAGTACACGATCCAGCAGTCGCCGGGGGTCTTGGAGTCGTCTCGCGCCGGTGGCACGACGGGTGCAGGTTCGTACTTTTTTCCTTTCTGTCTTGGCTCGCTGTATTATAGCCTTTACTTTCCTACCATTTTCCTTCTCCTCTCTTCTAGCACACCCCTACGTGCCTTCTCCCGTTTCGTCCCTCCTTTTCATCTCCTATATCTGCTTTCTTAGAAGGTTGAAACCAGTAGTTAAACCCTCCTATACCCTGGCTTCTTCCTTCACCACTCCATCACATTCACGAACAAAAAGGCAAAAAAGTATGAGTAAAAAAAGGCACCATAAAACTAACCCGGGCACTCCTCAACAACAAAAAGTCCTCTGGAAAATCACCCCCTCTTCGCATCCTGGCTCGCCTCCCCCACAAACCCCTCTTCACCACCTCCCTCCTCACCCCTACCTCGTGCGTCCTCGAGCTCGGCTGCGGTACCTCTGGCCTCATCGGCCTCGCCGCCGCCCGCCGCGTCGCCCGCTACACCCTCACCGACCAACCCTACGTCGCCCGCGTGCTGTCCGCCAACTTGGCAGCTAACAACACCCTTGCCAAGACGACGCCGTCCGGCGCCGCGAGAAAGGAAAAAGCCAAGGGAAAGGCCAGCAATACCCGTGGCGTCGTCAGTGGCGTCGTCACTAGCGGCAGTGGCGGCAGCGGCGACGTAGTGGCCTTTGCGCCCCTCGACTGGGAGCTCGACGTGCCCACCCCGCCCTGACACGACACCCCCACCAGTCCTCCTTCGACGCCGTCATCGCCTGCGACTGCGTCTACAACGAGGCCCTCGTCCGCCCCTTTGTCTCGGCGTGCGCCGACGCGTGCGCCCTACGTTCGGGTTTCCCGCAGGGGTAGTCCCGGAGGCCGCCATGGAGACGAACGGGCGAGGAACGATTACGACGGAGCGAGGGACGGCGACAGCGATGAGCGAGGCCGGGGACCCACGCTCTGCCTCGTCGCACAGCAGCTGAGGGATCCCGAAGTCTTTGAAGCCTGGCTTCGGGCCTTTCACCACCGCTTCCGGACCTGGAGGGCACCTCCAGAGATCATGGGGCAGACACTCGGAGAGGGCTCTGGGTTCGTGGTTCACGTTGGAATCTTGCGGGAATGAACGCGCCCCTTGTCCTTCAAACTATTTGTTCAGTCACTCGAAACTCCATTCTCTGCCTCGATTCTCTCTCTCTTGACATGATATAATGTGTCCCATGTCATCGGCCCCCTTCCACGCCACGCACACACGGCAAAAAGCTTCACACAGGTTCAAGTCTTCACACAAGCCTAGTACGCCAGGCCTATCAATTCCCAATCGCTACAGTTACCAAAAGGGGGGACCAGGGGTGCAAAAGGAAATTCAAGGAACAACCAACAAGTATGAGTGTGCGAAAAAGAACCAACGTAAAGGACCCAATGCCGGCTCGGTCCTAAAAGACCTTGCGTTGATGTTTAGATCATGAGGGGGAAACGAGGTACCATTAACCCAACCAAACCAAGGGAAACAGAGAAGACGCCCTACCATAAAACGGGATGGGAACAACTCATCGCCGGACAAATGACGTAGCAGAGAAGAAGGAGGATGGGGTGGGAGACGAGGGGCAGGAGACAGAGAACATGAACGCGAGAGGAGCCAAGGGAAGATAATGGTGAACAAATGAGTAATAAAGTGAAGTGCAGTAACAGCGAACACGCAAATCCAGAATTTCCATCCGTCGCTCTTTGATAATTTTTTTCGTCGTTTCTTTTCTTTTTCTCCAGTTTCGTTTTGTGTTTTCTTCTTTCCCACTATACCAAACCATCATACAGCGAGAGCGCCGAGACAATGGTCTCGTCACGTTTGCTGCCTTCCTTAAACTCCTGAATGTCTAAGCTGCCGTTCTCATCCTTGTCCATCATGCGGAAGATCTTCCTCACGCGCTTCTCCGGAGTGTCTTCGTCTTCGGGAAGCTTCACCATCGAGCCGACCTAGAGAATGGGGGTAACCGATTTCCGTTAGAAATGAACTTTCTCAATGACACGACGAGTTTTCCGAGGAGACTAGAAAAGAGAAAGGGGTAGAGAGGGGAATGAATTACCATCTTGTATATCGCCTCAACGATCTTCAACATCTCCTCGTAACTAATCTTACCATCCCCATCAATGTCGTACAGTTGGAATGCCCAGTCGAGCTTGTCCTCCATCTTGCCGCGGCTCGTGACGGAGAGGGCGCAGATAAACTCTTTGAAATCAATCGTGCCCGACTTGTCACTGTCAAACACGTTGAAGACGTAATCTGCGAAGGAGCTGGGATCGCCAAAGGGGAAGAACTGTCTGTAAATCTTCTGGAATTCTTCCTTTGAAAGGAGGCCTGAGGGGCAGTCCTTAAGGAAGCCTAAAGATGGGTGAACAAGGGAAAGTCAGCACTCAAGGTTCGGCTCCAAGTCGGCGCAACACGACACGGTGCGGCCATGCGCGAGAAGGACTGAAATCGAGCAGCGACTGCGAAGGTCCTCTAGTGAATTTGCGCCGAGAACTCGCAAGGTAAGCAAAACCCAAAAAAACAAGCCACTTACCCTTGTACCATTGCTGGAGTTCCCTCTTGTCAAAGTGCGTCGACTTTTGAAGCTCAACAAGTTGCTCTTGAGAGAGCTTGGACTGACTATTCGGATGCAGCAGAGAGACAATCGGTTAGCCCTCATTCAACCCTTTGGCGAACGCCATGTACCATCGTGGGATCGTTGCGCAAGGTGGGAGCGGCAAGAGACACTCAAAGAGAGAGAAAAAAGACTGTGTTTCCCGCCCGTCACGATTGATGACAGAGTCGATAGCTCAACCTTCGCAAAGGCGTTCGCGCGAAACTCTCAGACTAGCATACAGGATAGGCGAGGGAGCAGTTTTTGACTCTCTCACCCACCACGATTTCTAGTGACTCGCGCCCCGAAGCCACTCCGAGAAAAGCGACATGCCTAGGCAGAAGGTAGGGAGGGGAAGGGAGAAACACTCACGACTTTCCCATTTTCGCAGAGGGATGGGCACCAGCGGGACAGAGAGCGGCGTGACGGGGCTAATCGTCCTCTTCTTCCGCCTATTTCTTTTTTCCCTCGATCGCTCTCGTTTATCGAATGATCGTGTGCGGCGTCTGACTCTTGTCGCGGTTTCGCAACGAGGCTCGTTGTGCAGTCGTTAAGAATAGTTCGGTCGCGGATTGCGGGGTGAAGGTGGGAAGTTGGTGGGGGTTTTTCCGCAGTTCCGAGTTCAGTGTGTGACGCGCGCGCCCCTGTCGGGTTTAAAGGTATTGGTAGGCTTCGTCCGGTGGTGGACTCGAGGTGCGCTGTTTTGTCGCCGGCCCGCCAAGAGGAAACTGAAGCGACAAGACGGTGGGAGTGAAGTAAGATTGTTGTATTTGTTGTGCACAAGAGAGGGAGAGAGACAAGTAGGGAGAGAGGGAGGGAGGGAGCAAGAAGATAGTTCTAGGCGCGGGGATGAGATGTGGCGGAGTTCGAGGGTTCTTTTCCCAAAGAATTGCGATAAGATGGACGGGAGAAAAAGACGGGCAGAAAAAGAAAAGTTGGTTGAGGAGAAGGAGGCGGAGGACGGCCGGAAAGGATCAATTGCAAGTTTAAGGACGGAACATGGAATGGGGCTTCGACGGGTTTGATGGGGCTTCTATTTTCTCGGCGGAGGAACCAGATGCCCCAAGTTGGTGTAGCTTGCAACCAGCTCAGAACCACGGCATCGAAGCCATCCATGGATCCTTTCACCCCAACTCCAGAGACAGGCAGGTTTCCGAATGTTCCTTCCTCTCGGGTGAATGATGATGGAACCAGGCACGATGGGGGTACAGGGTACTTTGGGGCTCGCAGCAGCCAACCGGGGAAGGAGCATGGAAGAGAGGGGGTGGGCGGGTGCCTCTTTTGGAGGGCCCCCATGGGCATGCTAGGTTGCTAAGCTACATGTAGAGGTTATGATGTCTTACAGAGCAAGGGCCGGCCGAAGTGGAGGAAGCCAAGACCCAATCGACGGATCGCTGATGGGCAGAGAATCAGTGATGACTTATGGGAACATTCTTCGAGCTCGCAGGTAATAGAGCAGGTCGCAGTCGGCGGTCGGCGTCGCCTCAAAAGGAAGGGACCAGGCTTGCAGGCAGGAGCCAGGCCACCCCTCTAGGCCACCCTCTCACCCCTCCAAACTGGCCACTGCTGCTCCAATTGATCCATCTCAACCAGACACTCCTCGAATCCAAAGGGTCCCTCGTACCCCCTTCCCCACCTATTATCAATCGAAGCGCGGATAAGTATAGGTTAGTTCCCCAACGCTCATCGCCAGCGTCTCCTCGCCCAGCCCAAATCCAGGGTCCCCGCCGGTGATCAATGATCCATAGATGCGTTTGTGCGCCGACGCTCAGGGAAAATCGTCAAAGGTCCCCAGAACGGAGGGGCTGGCAGGGCAGGGGACCAGGTGCAGGTGGGCAGGTGGGGAAGAGACCAAACGTCTCGTGTCCGCCCGAACTGCACAGCTCAAACAGCAAAGAAAACACAAAGTGCCAACTCGTGCACCCGTCGGCGAATCCGAATACCTTCCTTTTTTTTTTCTGCCTCTCTTTCCCCCTCTCGCCTCACTTCGAATATCTCTTTGTTTCTGTCGATTCTTGTCCGGGGCCTTTACATCTTCTGGTCTAGAAAGCAACAATGGTAGTGGGAGTTACAAATGGCTTCTGTCTGTTAGAACTTTGTCGAGAGGACTAACTACTGCTTGGTTAATCCATCACTGTGTGTCAAGTGATGGAGGGATGACGCCCCCGCACAACCCGCACAGCACGCACAACGTCAATTGATCACCCACAGTTGGCTGGTCCTTGCGTTTTACTGGCGTTAGTTGACATCTTTTGTCTCGATCCTGTATCCTTGTTGCCTTGCTTGACCTAGCCAGCCCTGGCGCCTCTCTTTTCTCCTGCATTTGCAATTGGGCCCGTCATGATTCCCCCTTTTAGCTGCGATTCGTTCTTCGTCTTCCCCTTGCCTTCTCCCAGAAGCAATCCAATACCGAGGCATGTCGCCACCCCCGTTAAGCCTCAAAAGTTGATATCATCCACCTCTCATCGACAGGAACAAGAGGGCGAGGCAAGGAAGAAGGGACCCGGCGCCTACGTTTGTCAGCGATCCACCCCAGCCCGCTCAAGTGGCTAGCTCAAGGCAGCCTCCTCTTCTCATTGGGTGCCTGTGTTCTGAAAGCCCGGCCGGCCGTCACCAGCACCGCGGAAGACGCGGAAAGGAGTGGGCAGCAAGCGATTCGTTTTCTTTAAAAATCCCTGGTTTTTTTGATATCTTCTATTATACTTCTAAAAGGCAAAATTGAGCGGGTAACGGTCGAAGAAAGGAGGGACGAGCGCCTCGACTTTCGGCATTTGCGAGGTTGGTTGGAGATGTTGTCTACCATGATCCACGCCTTCCCGAACGGGCCTGTCATCTGCCAGCTCGGCCGTAACATTTCTCGAAGAATGGACCCTGAAGATCTAACACTCGAGCTCCGTTCCGAAACTCGGTCTCTCATCGCCCCAAGTATCTTTGACCTTGAGCTTCCTCAAAGACCAGATTGCGTTCGCTAATAAAAAGAAACACAAGATTATTATAGCTTTGGGGCGAAGAGATGAAGAGGAAAAATATCTCATTCTCAGCGAGCCATGTTCCCGTGGTCGTCCCACGCCACCCGAGGCTGTGCAAAACTTTCCAAGACAGCAGACCCAATCCACACTCGCATCCCCCACCCACACTTTTTACAGTCCAGAGGTGATCTCGACCTTTCTACCGATAAGAGTGGACGGGCCTAAAGGGAACGGCAGGGGCTCATACTTCCTCCATCTTGCTAAAACTAACTGCATTGAAGATTGATGCCAACCAGTTTGGAAAATTTCAAGGGGATCAGTTGCGATGAGAACCCTCCCAGGGGGTGGTAGGTAGCTTGATAAGAAGGCTGCGTCAAGAGGGGTGGGAAGAACGAGGCCCGTTCGCTGACATACTTTTCCAAAGATCGCGTGCTTTGCTCTCCCAAATTTGAAGGTGATAGGTTTCGGTAGGGTATAGTAGAGGCCTCTCGTTGGAAAGAAAAAGAAAAAGAGGAAAAGAAGACCAAAACCCCGGACAGAGATGCGGAGCCACTCTTCGAGGAGTACCGAACGAAAACACTTGCAAGAAGAACGACATTCCCGCTTCAAGCCTCGCAAAGCCGAGGTGACGTTCTTTGCGCCCCACAGAACCTCTTGTCGTCTTGTCGTCTCTCATCTTGTAGGCCAAAAGGAGAGAGAAAGACTAAAAAAGAAAGTGGACACACCCGGAATCGAACCGGGGACCGCCTCTATGCTAAAGAGGAATTATACCACTAAACCATGCGCCCTATTTCTGATGGACAGACACCTGCTTACTGTGCGATATCCTGCTTCGACGTGGGCACCATCATCGTGAAGTCAAAGTCGTGGATGAGTAGGTGACGCAAGGTGATAGATAGGGGCAGCGTTCGGCGAACAATTAAAAAAATCCATTGAATGTATACGTCATTAGCTACTCAGCTTGGTTGATTGACCCTCGCCCTCGCAAAAAGGAAAAAAAAAAAAAACACCTAGCGCCTCTACAATGTGCGGTTCTGTTCTTCTTTGGTGTTCTTCCGATGTTGCGTCTCGTCGCCTCGCCTTTTCTTTGTATCCGATCGCGATTCCTCCCGAGTAGAATGTGTGTGAAGTAGCCAAGGCGGAATAAGCAAAAGAAAGCGTAAAAGAACGAGTGAAACCCCGGGAAGAAGAAAAAAAACGTGTAGAAGAATGCCCATTGTGTCCATCTGTCGCATCATGATAACCCATTGACCATCGCCGAAGAAAAACGGAGCATGCAAATGCAAATGCCAAAAGAAGAAAAAGACTGAAAACCAAGACCCATCCCTCAAAAGCCTACCCATCAAGCCGGGGTTTTCCTTCATCCCTCTGTTCGATTTTTGTTTCCCCTCTTCGTGGCATCCTCGCTTCTCTCTCTCTCTCTCTCCCTCACTCAACCCACTACAGCCTTCATGCTCAAATTCTCCAGGAACCCCCAGGTCCTCCTTCTTCACCTCCACAACGCAGTGCTCGAAACTATCCACCCGGACCCGCGCCCCCGTCTCGGAGATGACATCGTTGAACGCCGTCCCGAACCGGTTGAGCCCGTACCCCTTCTCCTTGGTCTCGGCCTCGTCACCCGACTCATCGTCGTCTGAGCCGTCGTCGTCGTCGTCGTCATCGTCGCCTTCGGATTCCGTCTCGAGCTCGTCGTCCTCTTCGCCGCCCTCTTGGCCCATGGCCTTGCGCGCCGCCCTCTTCTCCTCGCGAATCTTTTCCTTGGCCTTGCGGTCCGCCTCCCGCCTCTTGGCCCGGTCCTCGCGGTCCTTCTTGCGCCGCTTCGCCGCTTCCTTGTCCACGAGCACCGTATCCGGGCCGCCGCCGCCGCCCGTGCCCACGACGACGTAGAGCCCCTGCTTCTCGTCGAGGCTTGCCACGACCAGGGGGTTCCGCGCCCGCCGTGCGCGAGCTTGCCCGTGGCCTCGCGCTCCTGTTCTAACAGGGCCTCGCCGATCCAGAGCGCCAGCTTGGTGAGCGCCGCGGGGTGGTTGAAGAGCGCCACGTCGGGCCCGTCCTTGACCACGCAGAGCCGGAACGCGCGCAAGTGCTTGATCTGCTTCTTCTGGATGAGGGACGTGCCTGTGCGGTAGATGGCACGGTGCAGGAACTGGGCTGTAGGTAGGCCTGCCTTGAGCGCGTCGATACTGCATGGAAAAAGGGTTAAATTAGTGTCAAATTCTTGAAGATGCCGAGCTGAAATGAGGGGAAATGCAAAAAGGTGGACAGAAGCCATCAGAAAACAAGGGAAGCAACTTACTCATCTAACGCGTCGTAGGCCTCCCAGAACCGGGATACCCACTCCTCGCTCCTCGACGCCAGTGCCTCGGCGGCATCTTCCTCCACAACCATTTGCGACGCCGATCCCCAGCCGACGGCCCACCATGGCCGTGCTCTCCGGGATGCTTGCCGACCTCGAGCAGGGCGCCGACAACGACGCCGACATCTTGGGCCGAGAGGGTAGCGCGCCAGCCCCAGCTCCGGACGAAGCCCCAGCCGTCCTTGGCGCCGCCGCGGTCCTTGCCGTCCGACTCGACCGAGGGGACCATGTCGTCGAGGTTGTAGAGGGACGCGTACTTGAGGAGCTTGGTGCGCAGCTCGCGCTTGAGCACCATGTCCATGTGCGTGTAGCTCTGCTTGCACTGCACGAGGCTGACGCCCATCTTGGCGAGAAGCTTGTGCAGGCGCTTGAGGCCCGTGTCGCTCCACGTCTTTAGGCGCGAGAAGAGGTAAGGGGAGTGCAGCATGCTGTCGTACAGGCTCCAGTGTCGGATCAGGAGGAACTTGGGCTCGGGCGAGAGCCGGATGCTCGTGTCCTCGGGGCTGCGGGCCGTCGTGGGGATGATGCCCGAGTTCTCGGGGACACCCGGCCATTGGTTACGTCTGGAGGATTCAAACGGCGTACCTCGTCTCGTAGGAGCTGGCGGATCCGGGCCCCGCGAATGCCGAGCCAACCGGCAGCGCGGTTGCGCTCGTTCCCACGGACGGGGACGGCGATGCCGGCAGAGGACCGGCCGTAAAGCTCCATGGAAGTGACACCCACAATGGCGAACCATAAAGGTCGTTGTCGTCGCGACCCAGCTCTGAGGCGAGCGAGTACATCATGGAAGAGATGGGTTCTGAAAACGAAGACCCTATCCTGTAATACTTTTGAATAATGGCTTCGTTTTCGTTCCGGAGCCGCAGGAACTTTCGTCGGAGGGCTCTCGCGGATGGACCTTGTGCCGCGGAGGGAGGTTCAAGAGGATCTGCTGAACTTGACACCGCGGAGGGTTGGTCTCGGATGGATATCAGTCCTCTCCCTTGGGGACGGCGTGGTGATTCTGGTATGGAGCTCGACTAGTAGATGTTAGAGTTAGTGGCGCGCTTGAATGGCCAAAAAGGAGAAAGAAGAAAAGTCGTGTGACCACCCAACATACCGAATTGCTTCTACGCCGCTGCGCAGGCCTATCATCATCGTCACTCAACTCGTCGTCTTCCCTATCCGACCAACTTTTCCTCTTTTGGCCCGCCCTGACCAACTCATCCTCGTCCCTGTCAGCCTCGTCGTCCGTCTCGCCCAAGTCGTCCTCGTCGCCATCATCGTCGGCAACATCAGGCATGTCCAGCAGCGTGAGATACGCGTCCTTTTCTGCCTGCAGGTCGTCTTCTACATCACCGTCGTCAAAGACTATTATACCACCCTTACCCGGCCTGTACCCCCTCTCTATCCTGCCGCCTTCCGCGCCAACGGGGAACTTGGCCTCGTCCTCGGACGCGGCAGGGTCGATAGGGAAGCCGCCAAAGACATTGGCGAGGTTCCACGGCCTGTGTGCGTCGAGGAGCCACACCTCAACGCCGCTAAACACGCCATCCTCCTGCTCGAGGCCGAGCAGGCTAGCGAGATCCGTCATACCGCCAACGCCGAGACAGACAACGATGCCACCACTGCCGCCGCGGCACTCCATCATGGGCTGAACCAGCTTCTCGCCCGCCTTTTCTAGGTCGGAGTAGCCAGCGATGGGCTGGATCTTGTGTTGGATGTAGTCATGCTTGAGGAGCCGCGTGAGGATACGGCAAGCACAGAGGGCATCAGGCTCGAGGGCGACGAGGATGAGGACGGGGGCGAGAGAGGGTGGCGGGTGCTCTGGAGGTGGAGGTAGAGCTTCGAGATGAGGGACCGTGGCAGATACATGGTTCGCTTTTAGGTGGAAGACGCGTCTTTGGCGAGCAAGCTCGGCGGGGTCATGAGGTTTGGCTTCGGGGGGCGATCGCGGGTCGGGTCGGCGGTCGTGTAGTGTTCGGGAGGAGGACGCGGCTTGTTGTTGTGAGAAAAGCTCGTCCTTCCCAGGATCTCTCTCTCCTTTGCCGATAGTACGAGGTGGGAATTGGTTAGGTAGAGAAAAGTGGCACAAGAGTATAAAAGCACCTGGCGCGTCGAGAGGCGGCCTATAAGTGTCGCGGTCACGCAAACATGGAGGATTTCAAGCGACAAGGAGGAAGGCGGCTATGATCCAAGACCAAAGAATAGCGCGAGAAAAAAATGCAAAGAGAGGCAGTACGAGATTTCTCAAACCACAGGAATTGGCGAGAATTGGGGGAAGGGCGTATCAGTTGTTTCGGAAGAATTGGAGAGAAGAGCTCTGGGGGCGGTGGGAGGGTAAATGTGGTGGTGCACGATGTGTGATGTGGGAGGTATTAACAAAGCAAGGGACCGAGACACACGCAGCAGAGAAAGTGGTGTTTGGCAGTCGCGGTGCAAGACGCGACGAGCATGAGCGGGTAATCCCGTGTCTGATTTGGAGGGAATATTTTTCTTTAATTGATTATCGTTGCATTTGTGAACAGCTGCGCTCAGCTGTGCCACACTCACCAAGCCTCTTGAGAGCGGAGCCGGCCACGGACATTGAACTTCAAGCCACTCGCACAAGTCATGAGCTCCAATCTCTCCAAGAGAATGATGAGAAAAAGGAAAAATACAGAAAGAAAAGAAAAATAAAGTAAACATGAGCTGTATCTGAATTTGCAACTATCACGTCAGCCGAAACAGTTAGCAAGGCTCCATTCCCTCCTGTCCACTTCCCCCAAACCCCAGCACCTCCCGCAGTCTTGAACCGGTCCTCGTGCTGGCGGGTGGCACGGCGAGTCCACCGGACGAAGCAGAGCTGCCTGGACAAACCAGATAAACTCCCCTTGGTTGAAGGGGTATTCCGGGAGGTTTTGAGGCCTCGTGCCGCTGAGACGGGGGACGTTCCACGCATGTCTGTCCATTCCATTGATCCCTCCCCCGCAATGTTGGACGGCATGTAAAAAGCCCCACGCGCCTCCCCATAGTTGTCAACGTTTCAGAGGAGCAAAAGTCGTCTGCCGCCTCGCACGGAACCCTTCCCGATCTCCGGGATCGCGCAGGTAGTCCCAACGAATCCAAGTGAAGGAAGAAGGAAAGAAGAAGAAGAAGAAGAAGAAGAAGAACAAAAGTACATCTTGCCCCCGCAGATAGGCTCAATGATTGAAAATCAAAGGCAAAGAAAACCCGTCGAAAGCGTCTCATTCCGCCCACACCTCCGCAAACCGGCGACTCACGGTGCCCTTCTTCCTCCTCTCCCCCGCTCCCAACGGACCCCACACGATATCATTGCTCAGGCGTGGCCCAACCTCCGGGACTCGGGCAGCCTCTGCCGCCTCATCATACTCGTCAATTCCCTGTGGTTGGCCCCAGTACGACACGCGGGCGTGCAGGGAATTTCCGTTTCTGGAGAGGCACAAAAGCTGCGGGAGAGAGAGCTGCATGAAGCTGAACAAGAGCGAAAAAAAAAAACGACACGACGGCGCCGAGAATGAGCCTAGCGGGTAACGACGAGGGGCCTCAGAGGAAGCCAGGCTAGCCGTGTCGGAAAGTAGAGCAGAACGATCAGAGGCATGCATGACATGAGACGTGCAAACGCACCTCAAGGAAAAGTTGGGCAAGGAGCGGCATCGAGTCTACGGCGGAGTGCATGTCCGGGACCCGAGGCCATTGATTCCCCCTTTCCCGCCCATTGCTCCAAACCATCCACTGCATCAAATGATGTGCCAACCACCCTCGGGAGGGAGTGTAAACCCCCGCAAGAAGAGAAACCGATCCCACCAGAACACATTGGGGGGTATGGCATCACACGACGCTTGGGGGCCATCACTGCCCTCACCTCCATCTCGTTCGGCTTGATGCCGGCGCTTTGGTGCTTGGCCCATTTTTTCTTCTCGCTCGTCGGCCAACACACGAGGGCAGGCACTGGGTGACGGGGCCTCGTTTCTCTTACACGGCCCCCAACGACCCGCCTCCCAAACCAAGACCGCCGAAATCGGTTTGCAACCTCTGCTGCCGGGTGCAAGAAGGGGTATCGAGCCCTGGCGACCTGGCTTGATATCAAGTAAGTACATGTAGTCTTGACAAATTCCGGCGCTGCGGCCACCTAGTTATCCATTCCGTTCTTCTTCCCCATAGCCAGGGCCTCACGCTTGCACCTTCAACATGCACTAAGCAAAGGGAACACAGCGTGCGCATGAGACTCAGGACCCAATCGCCAAAGCGGATGCAAACGTGGTCAACAGCTGGGTGGCTCTCCTCTCTCCACTTCTCTACACTTAGAGAGGGATGGAAAGGACACCACCCAGAAAAAGAGGAAAAAAACAAGGACCTTTTGTTTGGTTTCAATCTCGGCATCCCCTGCTGGTGGTGCGTTTCTCTGCCTCCCGCTCCCCCACAACGAAAATGAAACATAATACACCTTCCCTTTTCCCGAAGTTTCCTCTCACTCCCAATATACATATACTTGGTGAGTTGCGGACATCTTCCTCCTTCGTGGTATCAATGCCTGCAGATTTCCGTCCAGGGGAAAGGAGGGGAGAAGGGTTGCGAGTGCCATCCAAACATGTTGTGTCAAGAGGCTGGTTGGGCTGGCCTGGGCTCTTTGCAAATTCTGCAACGGGAAAAAAGAAAAAAAAATGAATGATACAAAATTGAATGCGCTGCAGAGGGCAAGGGGAGGGTTACATTTGCAGCCCAGCTTCTTATTGCGCGCCACTCTCTTCTCTTCCCCCATCCGTGTGAACGTGAGCGTCCTCGTCATATGAGTGTGCTTAATCTGTTTTTTTCTTGTCCACTCAACCGACTTCCTCGTTTGGTCTTGCGCCATCGTTCGTCACGCATGAGTAGTTTGATGATAATTTCCCAGAGAAGATGGGGCGGTAGGAAGAAGAAGGAAAGGAAGGAAGAGCAGGAACCAGAGCAAAAAGGAGGAGGGCGCCAACACCCGCCGACGCAGCCATCAACGGCCATGCACCTCTCATGCCCTTCCAACATCCATGCATTCACCCAACTCGCAGCGGTCTTGCCTTGCCCCGGCTCCTCGCAGACACAAAGAACCAAGCCTTTGGGTTTTATCGACTCGGCCAGGTCCCCCCTCCCCCTTCCCCTTCTCCTCTGCCGATCCATTGCTCATGACAATCCCTGAAGCGGGACGGCCCACCATTCGCCTTTCGGTGATCAGCACCCACCAACCGGGGCCTCGTTTCGCTTTCTCTCTCTCTCTCTTTTTCTTTTTTTTTTTTTCGATGTCCATTTTTCCTCTCCCCTTCCACCCTTCACCCTTTCCTTCACCCCTTCTTCCTGCTCTTGTTTTCCCTCCTCCTGCTCTCCCTCCTTGAGCAAGCTCATTGTTTCACCCGCCAAGCTGTCAAGTTCCCGGCGAGCAACCAACCACTACCCTGCGTAATGAGGACCACCCTGTCGGGGTGACAGTGACACCCAGATACGGCTGTGTGCTCCCAGCATTCTGATTCCCGGTGCAGACCGACAACCAACACCCCGGTGCCAGATTCCACCAACAATGGATCCATAATAACAGCGAGCTTCCGTTCCTGGGTGGCCACAAACACGGGCAGGAAAACGCACGGGGAAAGGGGCAAAGTTGGAAGGATCTTGGCGGCTGTGTTCCGAGAGACGAGGCTGCCACCGACACAAGCTCTCCAATACACCGGCTGGGTTGTCAACAATTCTGCAAGCGTCACGTTGAGCCACAAGTCATCTACCATCCATAGGTATAGGAAAAGGCACCAACACCCCGCCCTACCCACCCCGACCCGTCCTTCTGCCACTGCCCCGATTCTTGGAGTGAGTGGAGAGGTGAGCAATATCGGTAATAATGATGGAATAATTTAACCCATAGGAAGGTGGTGATGGTGACAAGGCAGCATCTCGGCAAGCGGTCCGTCCTCTCTATGCGTTTCTGCGGCAGAGCCACCTTTGATGCGGGCGCAAAAGGTGTATGCCAACACCGCTCGAGGATACGTTACCACAGCTTCGGGTTGGCTTTGGGGCGTTTAGTATCTTGCTCATTTCCTTTTCCTGTGCCTGCATGCATGTCCTGCTTTCCATTCGGCCTTTTTTCTTTTTTTTCTTTCTCTTTGCGCTTTTACCCTTTTTTTTTTAGGGGGCCGTTGCCGACTCTTGGCTTCACCTCGCCTCTCTCGTTAACTTGCCCTGGTCGGAAAAAAATTGAAGGGAAACGACGAGGAAGCTCAAGGTGACTAGAACCAAGGATAGGGGTGGCCGTCAAGCCGGAGTGACCCTTGACTCTGTGATAAGCCCTCATGCTCAGGGACTTGAGATATATTCCTCCGTCTTCCGCATACTCACATCTCCTCTCTGTACAGGGTTCTGGCGGAGATGTGCTGAACGTATTAATACCAATGATACGTGTCAGGTGTGGGGTGTGGCCGAAATAGCGGTTGGTCCGGAGATATTCGGCTTAAACACCTTTTATTCTCTCTCCTCCGGAATCCGGGATAAGGAACGCCAAAGAGGGAAAGGAAGGCGTGGCTTGTTCTAAAGAAAGAGCCTGTGCCTGTGCTCCAGGGCACTGGGGAAGTGGGAGAGTTGGCAAGATGGGGGATGAAGCAAGCACGTCGACCCGGGGATCTGCTGAGGATAATTCCGGGCCTGGTGTGGTACTGAACCAAAGCGCTGGGTTCGTTCCGGCAAACTTGGGCCTGGCCCGGGGCTATGACCCTAGTCACACCGGCACCAACTGGGATCTGGATTTTGATTCCGCGGATCCTTCAACATGGCGAGGCGTAGTATTGGGGGAGGAAGAAGATAAAAATAACCCTAAAAGAAGGGGTGGGGAGAGCAAAGAGAAACAGAACGAGGAAAGTGGCAGGCGAGAACAATCCGACTTCTCACGGTCCGGGTAGAGGCGTTGGACGTAATGCTGATTACATGTACCGAGGTAGCCCCTTGGGAATTGGCTGGAAAGTTGTAAATCGCCAGTGTGACCTCGTTTCGTTGCTCGCTTGATTATTCAAGAATCGTCCATCAAGGTCCCTCCATCGTCGCTCGGTAGATGCCTCCATGGTGCCCCTTCTTCTTTTCCCTCTTCCCCTTTCCCCTCTCCAATTTTGCCATTTTAGTGAAGCGGGGGTCGACGGGGGTGAGAAAGGCGCGCGAAATCGACCCGCCGCCATCCGCCTTATTAGTCTAAATCCTGCTTTCTTAGCGTCCCAGGCCATCGGGTTTCGTTCTGGGCCCAGCCCTCCCAGGTTTCTTTCGTCGTTTTTTTCCCTTTCCTTTTTCCCTTCCTTCAATCTTCCTTTTTTTTCTTTTCCCGGCTCGATTCCTTGCTTTTACCCTTTTCTAGTAACCATGTCCCGTCCCTGAAATGCCAACCGTAATACAAAGCAAGTGAAAGGAGTTGGTGCCTAGAAGATTTATCCAAGCATCAAAATAATCAGCACAGCCCAAGGTAGAGGATGTATACCAAGCAAGCGAGATGGGGTGGGAGAGCTTAGAAGCACTACCTAGGCAGGGTAAATCATCCATCGAGGGCAAGTACTCTGTTTTTTCTTTCTTTTTCTTTTTCCCTTTTCCTCAGCGAGTTGTTTTAAATACCGAAAAGCCTTTGCCAGGGAGGGCCTTCATGCTACTGTAGAAATGAGGAATCGTCCTGTGTCGTCTGTGGTATGTGGGGATGGCTGAATCCGACAGCTTGGGCCTTAGTCCTTGTTGAGGTAGATTCTCCGGGCCAGGGCTTTCTATGGGTGAATGCGCTGCGTCACCTCTTTCACGCTCCTTTTCATGTGTACGGAGTTTCTTGAACGAGGGTAGGGAATATCAATGGTGATTCCAACGTCCTCTTCTGCCAACGCAGAGGTTTTGGCCAGGATGTTTAAGTCTTCTCTCGGCTTGTTCCCTACCGAGTATGTCAAGTCACTTGCCCTCCAGGAAACAAACCAGTCCCCCAATCCCCATGCCTAAAATTGTGTGGCTTGTCTACCGGCGACTTGGTGGCGGTAGGGTCGGGAAAGGGGGTGGAGGAACTTCAACATGAATATTAGGGGTTAGTGCATATCTATCATGATCACACCAGAACCAGAACCAGAAGGGCTGCAAGCGGACTTGACTCGCTGGTCAACGGCAACCACACCTCGCGTGATGTCGGATCCCACCTGTTTGTTTTTTGTTCCTTCCCGAAAGCACCAAAAGCACCAAAGGCACGGATACATTGAGGAACATGCACGAGGATATTACATGTGTAGCCGGTGAGTGGTGCTCGTTTTCCTCTCATCATCTCCCTCAGAAATTGGATCGAGGTTGCAGGAGGAGTCGAGCCGATTCAGCGTCGTGCATGCAGCCGAATTCTTTTAGCGTCCGGGGCCTCGATTGATTGGGAGGGATCGTCAAGGTTCGCTCGACTCGAGTCAACCTGCGGAGCGTTATTGAGGCGCCTCTCCACTAGGTAGTCGCCGGCACCGGTCTTGTTCACTAGTGTCGAGTACTCGGATCTTATTTCTCGGGAGACGGAAGGGGGAAAAGAAGACGAAAAAAAAAAAACAGGTAAAGGATCATCAGGCTCCGAGGGCTCGGATCTCGCTCGTCGTTAACTTGGTCCGCGTCCCTCTTTCCCTCTGCGCCAGGGCAAAGGACGGCACCGTCTCAGCTGACAGACAGGACCAGCAAAAATGACCATGGCTCGAAGCTAAGTTTCTCTTAAGATATGGAACCGAGCTTGGAGAACTTCTTTTGTAGTGTTTCGGCATCGAGAGGGCTTCCGGCATCATCCCGAGTGGCTTGCATCCGGCAAGAGCGAGCTGTATTATTGATTACGCAGCTGACCGCCTAGTTTGGTTTGGTGGTAGCACGTTCCATGATTCGAAGCGTGTCTGTCTGTATATACTTGATTGAGTTGCCTTGCTGTTCGCTGCTGGCAAATAACTGTTGGTCCTTTAATGTATGAGGCGACCAACCCCTCAAGGGAGAGGAGACGGGGACGAGGGGGTACGGATAGAGCTAGTAGAGGTGCCGGCCGGTCTCGAGAAGAAGGCGACTTCACTTCTTTCAGTTGGTGCCCTTTGAAGAAGGGTGGAAAGGGTTCTAGCCAAGACAGGCGGCGCATGCACGGCATCAGGATAGGCGTAAGAGACGTACCATTTCTGTTTGCATCTTTCATTTCTTTCAAGCAGCTCCTTTTTTCATCATCCCGGCAACCGACTCACTGGGATTGAGAAGCTAATAATACTTCGTACTTCACAAGGACATCCTCGCCAGACAAATGAGCATGGGCAGGTGGCAAACTTGCACTCTTTGTGAAAACCGGCGAACCAACAGAGTCCGAGGAGGTCGGTTGCGTGGAGGTCTCTCCTGCAAGGTGAGTGGACAGTCAGGACACGACAGGGATATAACAGGGGTCTAGGGTGTCCTTTTCTTTTTTCCTTTTTCTCTTTTCTTTTTGTTCGCGAGCCAGGATCCAACACTGAAGAAGGAGAGGGGAACGAGAAGACAAATGGATCAATTAGATCCGGAACACCAAGGTCCAGGTACGAAGTACATTGGTGATATTCGTACGAAGTACATGGGGGTGTTGGCATGCGGAAGGAGCCAGCAGACCCACCGCACCGCACCGTCCCTTGATTGAAACGATACTGCTGACAGCCACGAGAGACAGCCAAGACAGCGCACATGTTTTGGAGTCCAGTGCTGACAAGGTTGATGGGTCCACCCATGGAGAAAGTCTCTTGCAGACTTCATACCTGGCCAAAGCCTTTTATTTGACGTCGATGAGATCCTAGCCTCCATTATTACACTCCGGGACCAGTGCATCGGATCGACATGGTGATTGTACTTGTAATGTCGAGGAAGGGGTAAAAAGAGTGAAAGGTTGAGAGAGGCGGCGTTTTGTCGAATTTCGAGTCTGTCCAAGCTGGCAATGTTCAACGTAGCTTCCCACCTTGACCACACCGAAAACTTTCGCCGAACCCCCACCCCCTTCGTGCCTTCCTTCCCGCCAGCCCTCTTTCGTTGTCAAGCGGCTCCATTTTGATGCTCGCTTTCGCATTCGCCATCTCCGCTGGGCATCTCGCCTGACGCCCATCCCCTTCGCCCACTCCTCCCCTCCTCGACTGGCCATTCGTCTCGTCTCAACTCTTCGCTCTTTTATTCTCAGTGCTCTCTTTGGTCTTACTAACCGTGGATCGAGGGGGGCACCGTACAAAAGTAGCCTCGACAGGCAATTTGCACAGCTGTACAATGGATCCTTGCAATCAAAGTCATCTCTCTGAAGTGATTAAGCGCTCCCATTCTGGATGGATCAATTGGGATGGGACACTTCGAGTTAGCTAACAATATTGGTTTATTGCTACTTGAGAAGCACTACAGCGATGGCTGCAGATATCTAGTGCTGGTTTATTTTATTTTTAACAACACACCCTGCCCCGTGCCTGATGTCGGCATGGTCCCAGCAATCGAAATCCTTTGCAAAGGACATTGACGAGACACCCGACAGCCTGGTACCCGCCAGCCCATGTTCAATGGTCCCTCTCGAATCCTTGGGCCCCAAAATCTGTGTTTCCGTTTCCCCAAATTCCCCAGTTGGTGGGACTAGGCATAGCTTGTCACCTTTTTCACCTTTGGGGGATTGATTCATCACACAATTGACCGTGCAGAACCACGTCCCCGCCCTCTGCCCCGGCGCAGTGCTCCCTTCCCGCGGGACTTTGCCTCTCCTTCTTGCCCTTCCAGTCGACATTGAACCTAGTGGATTTCAACTAGCGTACCATTGATGGTGAATGCATCCGCTCCCTTCTCCGCTAGTCTTTACCCTCTTCCTTTTTGTTCTCTTTTCTTTTTCTTTTTTTCCGCCCTTACCCCTTCAGGATTTCCCAAGACCAAATCACCCCCCTTCAGGCCCTTTCCTTTCCTTCTTGTTCCCCCACCCCTCCTTTCCCAGTCTCTCGGGTTCTCTACATAACCCTCATGGCTCCCGAGCATCTTTCGTCCCCCGAAGGTCCGGGCTCCCTCGCAAACGGGCTTGACAACCTCATCGCCGACAACGAAGCATCCTATCACCGTCACACCCTACGCATACAGACCGCCCGTTCCATGTCCTACATACATTTCCGGTGACTTGCTTTCTTCCCTCTACTCCTTTTCTCTCTCCTCGTCCTCGTCCTCGTCCTAGTCCTTGATTCCCTAGGGCTGTCAGCAGAGAAAGGTCCGTGGCTCGAAACCTGATCTCGAACCTATGTGATCTTGAAATTGTTCTCAGCAAGACCGCCTCGAATACTATGGAGCGTCCTCTACGATCGCCACAAGTTAGACCACGCTCTCCGTTTTGCCTAAAGCTCCATTCCCATCTCCTCTTGATTCCCGAAAATCTGCCCTTATAGCTTTGATCTCCGTCATCGCAGCCAATTTCGCTCCCGGTAGCCCACAACATAACCCTGAGAGCTAGGGCTGCCCATTCTCTCCTTCACTCCTCACCAATCAAACGCCACCGCAGCACTCATTCCCTAGGCTTGCCCCCTTCGTTTTTCCCCTCCCTCTCCCTCTCCCCCTCCAGCTTTTGTTTTCCTCCCTTTTTCTTGTACCGATCCCAGGTAGCTTCGATCATCGTACAGACCGACGTTGGCACCATCCTCTTTGCCGAACCCCTTTCGAGGGTCGACGTACATTCACCATGGACTCCCGGACCAGCATCCGGCAGAATCCGGCAGTTCTCACTCAAGAGACGATGACGACATAGACTTTACCTCCGACTATGAGATGTCCTCAGCGTCATCCGGCTTCACCTCTCTTGAGGCCGCCACCAAGTATCACGTCTTTGAGAACGGGCGGTATGGCGTCTCCTGGCCATCTCTCTGCTCTATTTCCATAAGCTGATCTTCAAGTAGGCGCTATCAGGCTTTCCTAGAAGGAAGGTATCCGCTGCCCAATGATGAAAGCGAGCAGAATCGAGAGGAAATTAAGCATTCCATGACAAAGGTCATTACCGGCGGTGCTCTAGGCATGGCTCCCGTCGGCGACAGCCCTCAGAAGATCATTGACCTCGGCACTGGCTCCGGCGTGTGGGCCGTCGAAGGTAAGCTCATTCTGTGGCAGCTCCCCAAGGCACCGGGCTGTATCACTTGGAACCCTTTGGAACCCCCACTTACCATCCTCCCGTCCCCGTAGCCGGCGACTACTACCCCAGCGCCCATATCCTTGGCGTTGACCTCTCTCCTATACAACCTTACTTCGCTCCACCCAATGTCGAATGGAAGATTGACGACCTAGAGGCCGACTGGCCTTCCGCCTATCGCAATACTGATTACATTCATGGCCGCTGTTTTGTGAACACCCTCCGGAACCCCCACAAATTGGTCGTCTCGGCGTACGAGTAAGTCTCCCTAAATGTGGACGCCGAGGGCAAGGGGAAACAAAGATAAATTCAATACTGACACGGCTCGTTTTGGGAAAAAAGCCACCTACGCCCGGGTGGTTGGCTTGAGTTTGGGGATATCTGGTCCCAACCTCACTGCGGCGATGAACCTCTACGCCAAGATTCCATTCTCTCCCACTTTTTCAACCTAATCAACAACCATTTTCGCTCCCATTACGGCTGGTATCCCTCACCGCCGACGAACTCCCCGCATTCTTGCCGACGCCGGCTTCGTCAACATCCACGTTCGCCGTGAAAAGCTACCCCTCGGGCCGTGGTGCCGTACGAAAGGTGACACCAAGATGCGCGAGCTCGGGTTGTACATGCAACTCCTCATGGACGGCCTCGTGACTGCCACCCTAGCCAAACATCGGGAATTCGAGCTCACGCTGAAGGAGGCCCAGATCCTAGTCGCCCAGGCAGAGCGAGCCGTCAGAGACCCTACCGGCTGCGAGTACCTGTGGTGGACGTCGGTATGGGCTCAAAAGCCCGGAGGGGCTGCCGGCTAGAAGGATCCGCGCCCGAAACATGACTTTCAAAAGATATACGCATCTCAGCCCAGGGCTCTACCGCGAGACCGCGGCCATTTTCATGGACTTGACCCTCCTCGACGCATCACATTACGCTTATTTGCGCCACGGGGCGCGCGATAGATGCACACACTCGCCTCCACGCCTCTTCCCTCTCCCTTCCTCCCTCTCCGTCTTTAGCCCTCCTTCTCCCCCGCCTTCACATCAGGTTGGGAACCACCCTCGACTGTATACTGAACCAAATAATCAACAACCACGCAGGAAAAAACAGGCACGGGAAGTGTGAGCTTGAGCCGGAACCCCAAAATCTGGGATACAATTATACGGCTCGATCCCTCCCGGTTGTTGCCTAGCCTGCCACGCGAACAATGACACCTATTCATATTTAACGAGACACGACCAAAGCCTGCAGCATTTTCTCATTTCGACCTTGATCAAGGCTTGATTCAACCATTTTTTTTTTACTCATCCATTTTCCAAAGAGGGCCTTTTCCTCTCTAAACCGAACAGGTGGTATCAGATACTCCAGACCCTGGGGATTTCGAAATAGAGCGGCCAACCCGGCCCAACCCCGTTGTTTTTTGCTTGTCACTTCCTTCTTTCTTCTATCCTCGCATATTTCCTCCCCCAGTCACCGAGGCAAAGAAGGTGTTGGGAAAATTGCGATTCTTACGATTGTACCTCCTACATGTTTTGCACTGTAGATAGAACATACTTTGTATATATATCTTTGGATGATAATTATTACATCACCTAGACGTGTAAATTGAACATTGGATAGACTTGACCTTTCCGAGGAAAATCAAAGCAAGCAACAAAGCATTTGAAGTGAATTGACATCACTATAGACGCAGCATGAGGCACCTGGCGTGGAATGCATGGTCTTGTTGGACAGAACATTGAAAAGACGATGCTATGAAGAGAGAAGAGGGAGCGTAATTATTGGTCAAATATAAATTGTTTTTTATTCTTTTTTTGTACACTACCGACGCCCGGGGCAGCCATGTCTAGAATCAACGGATGAAAATCCGTGGGATATTGTATTGTGCGGAGATTTTGAACAAGCTAAACACGAAAAGATAGCCAACGTAAAAAACAAGAAAACCAACCCCCCAAAAGAAAAGAGCCTCTCTACACTGGATGAAACAAAACGCACCCACACACTCCATGTATCAGCCAGAACCAACGGCAGTAAAAGCATCCTTCCCCAACCCAAACCCTCCCCGCCCTCAAAACCCATTCATCGACCCCCACTCCCCATGCGCGGCAGCGACCCGCCGGCGCAAGCCCAGGCCTCGGCCCAAAGTCCGCCAACCCGCCCGCCTCGTACTCCTGCATGACGTAGCTCCAGTCCATGTCATTCAAGTCGGGTCCGGCGGCGCTGCTTCCGCCCGCGGCGCTGCTTCCGCCCGCGGCGCTGCTGACCTGGCGGCGCTGTTCCTCGCGCTCGCGCAGGCTCGCGTGCGGGTTGATGAGGGGCGCGGCGGTGGGGAGGGTCTGGGGATACTGCGGGTGTCCCGCGTCAAAAGGGGGCATCGGGGGCACGCTGCTGCTGCCCGTAAAGGAGGACGCGGAGAAGCCGTCATCCATGCGGCCCCCGTCGCCGCCGCCGCCGCCGCCTGGTCCGCCTGCTCTCCGCTTGGACCGTTCCACGTGGGCGCGAACGGTGGCTAGCCAGGCGGGTTGGACAACCTCGCGGCCCGCCACCTCGCGCTGGGCGGTGGCGTGCGCGTCCCACGCCTTGATGAAGAGGCGGCCAAACGCCATGTGCATGGGGTTGTGCAGCTTGTTCACGAGGTCCCGCCGCTCGTAGCTAATGCTGAGGGCTTCCCAGGCACGCTCCACCAGCGCACCTGTCGTGCGGCGGCGGAGCTCGTTCACCAAAAACATGTAGGCCGGGAAAGGGAAATGCACGTAGGTGAACCACTTGTACGGGCGTAGCGAGGGAGCTTCCTGCAGCACCACGTCGTACTCGATGAGCCGGATGGCCTCGAAAAACAGCTCGTCCCGCTTCGCATCGTCAAAGGGTAGGGGTGCCTGCTGCGGGGAACCTTCGCGTCCCGGCATCCCGAGGCCCGACGCGCCGGGTGGGGCATCGCCGTGGCCGAGCCGGACGAGAAACGCGAGGACGCGCATTTTGAGGAGCATCTGCCTCGTCATCGTAAGGGTGAAGAAGTGGAGCGGGATGCGCTCGTCGCAGTGTCGGAGGTACTGGCTCTCAATGTGCTCGGCAAACCCCTCTAGCGTGTAGCTAATATTTTCCCTCGCCACACTCCGGACGGTGGGGATGGGCAGCCGGGGCGGGCCAGCGGGGTTCGGGGTCTCGGATCCGGCGGTGCCGCTGTTGGGCGCCGGGGTGGTCGATGCCGCTGCCGTAGAGCTAGCTGGTGTCGGAAGGCCCGGATCGGCTTCGGAAGGTGGTGGGCCAGCCTTGATAGGCTCATCAAGATTCGAGTTGCTCCTCACAATCAACGATAACTCAAGGCGGGCAAGACAAAATATCATCTCCGTGGCTCCCGCATGCGGCAGAGGCGGCTCCTTGCCGTCAACGTGGAGATCGGTATCGTTGATGTTAAGGGGAACTTGGTATCGCTGTTGAAGGATAGCGCAGTTACCGTGGCGCCCGTCATCTCGCCGATCCGGCCGTCGTAGGCGACAATGGTCCACCAGAGCCGCCGCCGTTGCTCGACCTCAAAGGGCGAAAGCCCAAGGAGGGCTGGGTCGCGGTGGAGTCCCAAACGCTGGGCTACACGCACGGCAATGGCGATCAGGCAAAAGATTTGGCGAGGATCCATAAATTGGCGTACGGCAATCTACGTAGGCGCACGCGGATGGACATGTTAGAACGGGGAGATCAGCAAAATAGGGGAGGGGGTAAGGGAGCGATAAGACAGGCCAGACGCACCAAGTATAAAATGAAGGCCTGGAGAACCATGAGGTCGTTGGACCTCATGAAACCAGCATTGATAAGTGACTGTTGCGAGCCAGAGTGAAATCTAGACAACAACACGGTCTTGGATTCGCCAAAGGTCTCGACCGCCTCTTCCTCCTCCAGGGTGTTGATGGCTGTGAGATAGATGGCAAACATGAGAGCCTCGAGGTCCCTAGGGATGCTGTGGAGGCGTGCCGAGGCCTCAATGATCTTTCCCTGAATAGTTGGGGTATGGGTTAGGCGCAGCAGTGGATTTACGCGGTTAATGTAAATCTGCCAAATTTGAAAAATGTGAATGGGTGACGGGTGAAGATGGGTCACAGAGGCACTGATTCCGCCAACCATGAAGGGAAACCCCTCTTGGTTTTCGTACATCTTGTCGAAAGCATGATGGACCTTGGATCCCTCGACCTCATCCTCGGAGGAGTCGTAAAGAAGGTGTTCGTTGGCACGGAACTGAAGCGAATGTCAGCAAGGAATATTCTATATTCATATCAGATATCAAATGCATTGAGCAGAGAGCACCTACATCTCTATGCAAAGGGAACCATTTAGGAGGTCTAGCGCAAAGGTTAGTGGCGATGCCTTCATGGACAATTCGTTCGTTCAGTCAATCCCCCCTCTTCAGTGATGCGATGCACAAAGATAGAGAACAAACGAAGCAGATATTCCACCCACTTGTAGCCCGAAAGAAAGAATAAACGAAAAGAATGAATTTATAATATACAGAGAAGAGAATGAAGAAGAAAAAGAAAAAAGGCAACTTACTTTTCACTTGTCGACTTCCTTCTCGAAGCCGCCGATGTCGAATCGCTCGGTTTCGGGCTCGTCCTCAGGCCCTCGAAATCCGTCTCGAGCTCCGTCACATCGTCATTGCCGCCGCCGGCGTCGGAATGACCCTGGCTGGCGAGGAACTCGGCGCTGATGCTGTCGAACTTGATATTGTTGTCGGAGAGGAGGCCCTCGTACTTTCTCAGCCTCTCAATCAGGTCCCTTTCCTGCAGCCGCTTCTTCCTCCGGCGGGGAGGTTGAGGGGGCACGACGCGGCATTCCACGCGGGCCTTGACGCAGTTCGCGCAGGGCTTGTTCTTGTCGCAGCGGACCTTTCGCTGCTGGCAGAGCACGCAGGAAGTGCCCCTCGTGAGCTTGATGGCGGACATGTCTTGAAGGGAGTGGGTCGACGGGTGTGACGCTTGGCCCGGGTCCTGATGGTGCTGCTGATTCGAGGTGGAAGAAGCAGCCGTCGCAGCAGCAGCAGCAGCAGAGACAGTAGGAAAGCCACCAGTGGACTCAGTTGGGGGTGAGACCATGGCAGCCGACGGTTGGGGTGGCTCTCCAGCCATTTTCCAGGGCTTCTTTGCTTTTCTTTCCTTTTTTTTCTTTTTTCTTTTCTTTTTCTTTTTCTTTTTCTTTTCTTTTCTTTTTCGTCTTCTTTTCTTCTTCTTGCGTCCCCGCTTCGCCGGAGATTTAACAAGTCACCCTGCGCTGCCTGCAGCCGTCAAATGGTTCTACGGGAGATACGTATCCCGAAGAATTCAATGTTCGGACTCGAAATAGACAATTGGCGGCGATGGTTGTCCGATGGCTAGGCTGCTGTCGGGTTCGGATCAATCGGTTGCAAAGGGAAAACTGGTTCGGGCCCGAGCCTCCCCAAATCCACCCGAGCCTATCGGGAAAGGGGTTCGGTTTGATGACCGAAGCCAAAAAGAAGGGTATAAAGAGAGGCGCAATCCGGAATGGATCTGAGGCTGGGACAACTCCAAAACCAACCAGCAAAAAGAAGAGAGAGACAAAAGCCACGCTGATGGGCCGGAACCCCAGAAGGACCAGACGTGGGCGAATGCTAGAAGCTATCCGCGGATGGGGTCGTCTTCTCGCCCCTTTTGCTCACTCGCACTCGGAATGAAGAAGCTCAGTGACCTCTGGTCAATTGCACACAGTCAGCGGGTTAGCTTACCCAAGACACCGGTACTTGAGAAAACTAATAATTAGAATAATAAGGAATCAAGTCAGGTAGGGCTGAGGAGGGAGAGTTGAAGGAGAAACCCGCAGGAGGGGGTGGGGGCGGGGTGAAGGTGGAAGGCAATGAGGACAAAGAGGGCCAACGATGGTTCAGCAAATGCGGGCTGCTGCTTTGTGGGGTGAACGAGTTCGACGCAAGTGACTGCTGGCGCCGGACGCAGGTGGAGGGATATCCGAAAGGGAGCCACTAAAGGGTCTTGTGTCTAAAAGGTGAAGATAAAAATACGAAGCAAGGCAAAGTGCTTGTCCACCGAGTGGTTGGGAGGTGCGACGTGGAGAAGGATCAAGGCTATCTAAATGTGTTTTGTCACTTAGCGAGGCCTCGCAAGAAACAAGGGGATTACAGTGAAGGATCGAGCCGTCGGCCCGTGTTCGGTTGTGCACGTCCTCGGACGGAGGAGTGCGGCGACCAGAGAAGCACAAAAAGGGTTGTCCAAAGCCCAAGATGAATATCAATGGTAGGCCAGTCCAGGCCAGGTAGTGGGAGGGGGAAGTTGAAAAAAAAAAAAAAAGAATCAGTGCGGACGTCCAGACCACGAATGACGGTTCGTACGTCTCCGACGCAGAATGCGAGGCTTACCCAGGTGAATTGGCCACTAGGATGGCTCTTCGGGTGGCTCGGCAAAGAGACTGTGGAAAAACGGCACCGAGCAGCGTGTGAAGAGGAGCGGGTTGACGTAGATCACGGCCGATCCTCCTCGTCCTGCGTTTTGACGTTTTGACCACAAAGATGATGCGCTGGCTGGGAAACTAGACGTGATAGGGCTGAGCCGCCTATGCCGAGAAATGTATGGAGTCGAGACAATACGAAGATGGGGGAAGAGTCAAAAGCAGAGGCGAGCGGAGTGCAAGAGAGGCAAACACAAGATGGCGGGGCAAATGGAAAAAGAAGGTAGAGATATGAGAAATGGTAGTGCCCTTTTCGTGCAGCGAATGAATCAACTCCAAGCAACAATGACGACGCCAATGGGGAGACAAGGACTTGATCAAGAGGCTACCTCGTGCAATAGAGATAGCGAGAGAGAGAGAAAGGGGGAGATGATCGACGAGGCAAATAGCAGATTGAGAGGGAAAAGGCGAAAGAAAAGAAGGGGAAGGAACTCTCTGTCACTTCCAAGGCATTGCCGATTCCTCACTGCCTAGTAATAATCCGCCGAGTCCAGACGAAGAAAAAACAAAAAGATCCAATATTCTATCTGGCCCCCAAAGCGCCCCTGGCACTCTCCCTCAAAGGAGACAAGCTCCCAACATGGTGCTTGCAGGCACTTCGCCTCGATTGCCCCTCTCCTATCCCGGGAACTCCAATCTTTTTCCCCTTCGAGGCTTGGACGACGCGAAGCCCGTCAAGTCGGCGTTTTCTTGCCGCTCGCCCCGACATGCTGAATGCGACGACGACGCCAAGGGCAGGTGGCCCAGGGCAGGGGAGGGAGGGGAGGCCAACAGAGAGGATATCTACAAGTACAGATGTAGCGCACTAGGGGGCTTTTAGGGATGGCGAATGTGGGGAAAAGATGGCTGGGCTGGACGATGCCGCCAGGCTATCGAAATTCTAAATCCAAAGCAAAAACGCTCGAGGGGCTTGCCAATTGGCTTTCCTCAACTCCAGAGCATCGATAAGTGGCCCATCCAGATGGAGAGTCGTTCTACTCTAATGGCACAGACTTGAGAAATTCCCGAGCTTCTTTAGTGATTCAACCAAAGGGAGGCAGCCGCTAAACGTTAAACATGTGCATGACGATCCATCCATCCATTTTTGTCGCTGCTCTTTGCACTGCCAATGTGGATTGCTGGGCGACAAAGGGAGGTCAACGACGACAAGCAAGGGGGACAAGATGCCAAGTCAAGCCTGGATGTCACAGCTTACAGGGTAGCACGGGCACCATTCCACGAAGGGCAATGTTGGACTGCTCAACGCTCTGCATGGGTCCACCAAGCCAAGAGATTCTTGACTTCGGGTTTTAACTATTCTTAAAATGCGGAGAAGAACCATTGGTCTCCTCCCCCAGCGAGATCCCTCTTTTGTCCATCCGAGCTCGATCGATTGGCATGGAGAGCAGAAAGCAGAGCGACGACACTTGATAGTGGCGTTTCTCCTGACCTGACAGATATAGGAACTTCTTGCCCTTCCCCCTCCACACTGTCCTTCCCCTTTTTCGAGGCGCATCGTCCCGTTTGCCGAAAGTGAAAATGGCCAAGACGCTGATAAGGACAAACGCGAGCCGGTAGTTGGCCCATCACCCGTGATTCTGTGGTGTAGACCTCTTGTCCTTGCGTGCCGCCATGGTTCGGTCCGTCTCTCCTTCCGTCCGCTGGGGCTTAGTTCAGGATGCTCGCCGCGCCTCACACTTTGCACTGGCAGGTGCATCCGTTGTTTGCCCATCCATGGATATTGGGCCAACCATCAAATACTACTAGTCCCTTCCTCCCCTCTCCTCAATCCCGGCATCACATCACACCCCAGGGCTGAGCCTTTCAATCTACTCCCCATATTTAAATTAACCCTCGACGACACCACGATACTAGCGTCGAAACTCAGCCTTCGAGCGGACGGGCGGACCTTTGCGGTGCAGTTCATGCCCATTGCACTAGTGTATAGTATATCCACGACGTCACGGCAAAAGATAACCACACATCTCCATCAGGTCCTTTTTCGAAACATGGACTCTAGACCCTACCTGTACGCTCGAACCAGCCGGCCCCATTTTACCCGCCGGATCAACTATCGGCATGGAAGCAAAGAATACAAGGCAATGGAAGTGGAAGAGGTGGGTGAGTGTGTGAGTGTGTGAGTGTGTGAGAGGAACGAAGAGGAAGACAGGTGTTGGACCTGCAGTCGTCCGAGGCTAGTCTACAAAGTATATTGTTCCCATCACATTTTCCTTCTTCCTCTCCCGCGTCCGGTTGACCTGAATTGCCTGTGGGGAGGATGAGGTGCAGAAGCACCGGCTTGGCACGCCTTTGTGGCAACCTTAACATTGCGACGTGTTCAAAGCGGTCGTGGGACGCCATTCTACGCCAGCATCAATCCGGTGGCTCTGCCAGAAACCCAAAAGGTAGTCAAGGTGAGGTAGTGGACGAGGACTGGATGTATTATTGAATTATCCTAACCTGCCGTTCTTTATTATCCAGACCCCGGTATCCTAGCCCCATCCCCGTTTACGCATGTTTATAATACCCAGCAGACTATTCTAGGCTCAAAAGACGTGCAGAACCGAATATGCAATTCGAGGATCCAACATGCTTGCACGGGCCTCGTCTTTGCGATCGTCCATTTGCCTTCATTTTTGAATTCTTTCTTGCGTTCTTTTTTACGAAACATCTTCGACTTTTTTTCTTTAATGTTTGATTTCTTCTTCCATCTCCCATGACTCCGAAGCCTGGGCACATGTGGGTGGTTGGCATTTGTTTTGACGTGGCGGGGGCGAGAGAAAGGGTCTGGATCGTGATGGTGGACTTCCCCAACACCAACCCCGATCCACCGATTTTCTATGCCAGCCGGCGGTTTGCGGACGCTACACATAGTCCCTGGCCTCCCCCTTTTTCCCCGCCTTCTTCCATGGGGGAAAAGCCAGGCGAGTGTGCGGCTCGGTATTCTTTCATCTGAGCGTTCTGAGATCGGCACCGGGAGATCACAAAGATCCTTTATTTTTCACACGATGGGATTGTAGAAAGAAAGGGGAAAAAAAAATAGAAAGAAGGAGGATTGAATGAAAAGGGACACTCGTCAAACCAAACCCTCGAAAGCAGGAGACCCTCTACCGAATGAGTTATGCTCCCGCATCCGCCGCGAGGCAAGCAACGTGTGCTGTCTCTCGTGGACGCGCGAGCACACACGCGCAAGGTCTACCTCTAAGCTCCCCTCGCGATGCAAGGTACCAGAAACAAACTGCCAAGTAGGAAGAGACAGCCAAGACGTGAGTCGACATTTTAAACTTGGGAGAGAGAAAGGAAAAGTAATGATCATAGGCGATAGTACAAAGGTCTCACATTCAAAGTTTATCCTCTCCCCCTCCCCTTTGATTTGGTTCTTTTCCCAATGTTTTCCCCATTTCTCGCGCTGTGACGACTTTACCTGCATACCATACATCCTGTCAGTACATACCCGGTAATATGCATCTGACTCGCGACGAGCAACCTGGCTCACCCACCACCTCAATATCGAGGCGGACATTGTATTCCCTTTTACCCTTTACCGGCATATCAGGCCATGCAGCGTGTGTTTGGGGAAGAGAGAAAGAGAGAGCGTTGATGACACCCTTAACTTCACGACAGGGAAAGGGATGAGAGAAAGAAGAAAAAGATGGAGGGAGAGGACTCGAGGGGGAGGAGGAGGGCAGGGTGGTGGCAAGAAAGATATAGACATCAACACCACCAGAACGAAGCATACCCTGCTGCGTTTGGAATACAGAACCGTCGATCCGCGAAAGACACGAGGCCAGAAGATTGCAAGTCAGAGGCCAGACACTCTGACGCGGCTTGTATCTCTGTTCTCCTTTTCTCTTTCTTTTGCTCACTCTTTCGCCCTTGACGAGCGCTCTCTTTCCTATTACTCTTCGCCTCGTCGTCGTTCTTCTCTATCCCTCGAGAATCGTACTCCGAGGCTACTTCCTTTTCTATCATTCCAGCGTTTTCTCTGTACAGCACGCCATATCCTCGCCTCGCGTCGAACGGTCCATGAAGGCAGGGGGTGCGATTAACGCCAAAAGAAAGGAAACACGAGAGAAAAAGCAAAGGGGGTTTTTCCTTCAACGCCTCCCTTTTTCGTTTCCTTTCTTCTTTTCTCTTACATGCTCTCCCCATCTCAGACAGTTCCACAAATTCCGCAATACCCAGCCCAAAGCGGGTGGTCGACTCGGCGAGCTGAAGAATTCGAGAGGCACGTAGTTTCGGAGCCCTCGTCCTTTTGGGGTGACTGCTGTGAGACCTCGACCCATCTCTAGTCTGGCATTTCGTTTTTGCGCGCGCGTGAGCCTGGCGAGCTACGCAATCTTGTCTTTTCTCTTGCCCTTCTCTCCTCTGCTCTTCTGAGACGCACGTCTTTGCAGAATGGAGGGTTATGGGAAACATCTCATCTTAAGACCTTGAATTCTTGTGCTTCAAGTTTCATCAGCCCTCTTCTTATATTTCTTCGTTGGTATAGTATTTTGACCCCAGCGCGTGCGCCATCTTTCCGCTCGCGCCGTGTATACTGAGAGGTGTTCTCTTCTTGTTCCTGCTCTTCTTCTTCTTCTTCTTCTTCTTCTTCTTCTTCTTCTTCTTCTTCTCCCTTTCTCCTCCTCCTCGCTCTCCTTTCCCTTCGTTTCCCCCTCTCCTCTTTTCTTCTTCTTTTCTTCTCTTTCCCTCTTCTTGGTCTCTTCGAGTGTCTTCGCAGCTCTCGGTGAATAGCCTGTCGTTCTTTTTATTCTTTTTCTTCCCCAGTTGTATTTTTTTGCTTTTGTTCTTCGCCATCGTGACGCCCCATTTCGTGACCTCGCTGGCCGTCGGGGTTGGGGAACACGAACAAGACTAGTCGATCACAAACGTCCACTAATACGGCGGACAAGCTCCGAGGGATCTGCGATTCTTTTCCCCGCCGGGTCCCGTAACTAGGACGCCGCGGCTTACATCCTGCGCACGCCGCCAATTCTTAGGTGCTCCGTGTCATCGTACGCCCCCTCCTCGCCGGTATAGCTCTATTCTGTTAGGTGTGTGCTTGTGTCCTTGTGTGTGCATCCCCTTTCCCAATAGCCATCTTGTCCGCCACATGGTTGCCCGTCAGCATCTCACGAAGACACCCCTGCACGCTATGCCAAAAGGAAGCACCGGGTCCTGCTTCGAACCCACCCCATCGCTGCAGCAGCAGCTCTCGTTTTCCTTTCCTTTCTTTTCTCACTACCTTACTCGTTGGTATTTGCCCTTTCTTTCTCCTTGGCCGAACGTGTCAAGCTCCCATCTTCCCCATCTGTTCGAGCCCCCCTTCCACCCCCACCGTTGGTCTGTACGTTTGGGAGAGAAAAAGGAAGGAAGAAAGAAGGAAGGAAGGCAAGCTAGAGGCCTACGAAGCTGTGCAGACGCACCCCCTCACCCCCTGTCCTTCCCCCACCCTCCACCGCCAAGGCGCGCCACCCGCATAGAATCTCCGGAACAGCCCCAGGACTAATACGATTAGCTGTGCTTCACCGTTCCGATGCCACGGCAAACGCAGTGGGGAGGCGACTCCCCGACGACGGGCCACTCGCCTGCCCACTCCGTCTCTGACATCACCGTGTCATCTCGCAATTACTATGACTCGGTGCAGGAAGTTCCCTCTTTACACAATTACCACCAGCGAGGCCAAGCTGAGGATCCCTTCTTCCAACAACAACAACAACAACAACAACAACAACAAGAACAACACCCTCACCAGTACCAACAACATCAGCAACATCAACCGCAACCGCAACAGCAACAGCAACAGCAACAGCAACCGCAACAGCAGCAACAGCAGCAACAGCAGCAGCAGCAGCAGCAGTCTATACAACTACAGCAACAGAACCGTCAGTTATCCTTCCACCGGCGGCAGCAGCGACGACAACAACAGCAGAAGCCTCAGTACCAGGCGTACGTTCCTCCAAACCTGGCCCAGGCCTTGCCTCAAGCCCAACCGGAGGCCGAACCAGAACGGCCGCCAGAGCCGCAGCAACTTCAACCATACTATCAAGCCCCTTACTACCCTCGAGATCACGACGGCTCCTGGAGTGACTCGGAGCCTTACGATAAAAGGTACTATCTCGAGCACAAGCCGCTGCCCCCGACCCCGCGGACGAACGACCCCGCCGCAAGAACTCGGCGCCCACCAGGAACGTGCGCACCCGGTCATCCTCCCTCGCAAGCGCCCCCGTCAGACCCCTCCCCCGTTGACGGCTCCCACCAGGAATCCCAGACGGCTCGAGAGGCGGCAGGGTTCGAGCCATTCCGCTCGGTATCCCAACAGCTTCGACGTGGCGATGGAGAACCTAGCCGACGTGGGCAACTCGCGCTCCGACCTCGACCTGTCGGTAAGCGGGGCCGTCTTTAGCAAAGACGGCACCTACACGCCCTCTTCTTCCCAACGGGACGGCAGCATCGTCAAGGATGTCCCCGGTGAAAATAACGAAGCCTATACCGAGACCCTTCGCGGGGCCGGCGCCGGGCGGACGGGCGACTCCCCGTAGCCGGGACGCCTGGGGCCCGCCCGGCGGCGGTCACGGCCCCTTTGGGGACCCGGAGAAGAACTTTCAGCCCAAGAGCCTGCGGTTCTGGCTGATTATGATTTCCAACTTTTTGGCCATCTTCCTCGTCGCCATCGACCGGACAATCATTGCCACGGCGATTCCCCGCATCACTGACGATTTCCGGAGTTTGGGAGATATCGGTTGGTACGGCTCGGCTTATATGCTGACCACGGCGGCATCGCAGTTGCTGTTTGGTCGTATCTTTAAATTTTACAACATCAAATGGTAGGCCTTCGTACCTCTCCTTACCTCTCCCGGAGCCTTTTACTTTTTTCTTTTTCTTTTCTGCGCCCTACCTCCTCGTGAGGTCCGCGTGTCCACAGGTCTAACTCTATCGCTCGCAGGACGTACCTTATCGTCATCGTGATCTTTGAGATTGGTTCCATCATTTGCGCGGCGGCACCGACGTCGGCAGTCTTCATTACGGGACGTGCCATCGCTGGGTTCGGATCCGCAGGTATCTTTTCTGGGTCGATGATGATTATGATCCCGATGATTCCCCTCCCCAAACGGCCTATCTTCCAATGTGAGTTGCCTTCTTTCTTTCTTTCTTTTCTTTTCTTAAGGATGGGGTATAAGGAGGGTGAGGAAACTGGCAAGTCCCAGCTAACTGATCTGTTCCCTTTTTCTTTCTGTAGCAATCTTTGGCATGGTTTTTGGCTTCTCGTCAGTGATCGGACCTCTCGTCGGTGGAGGATTCACGAGCAACCTAAGCTGGAGGTAAGAGCATTCCCCACCCCACCCCAACCCTTACCCTGCACTCGCAACCGTCCTCGAGGATGGCGGGGATAAATGTAGCAAGTAGCTCACGTTGGAAATGGCAGGTGGTGCTTCTGGATCAACCTTCCCATCGGCGGGGCGGCGCTCATAGCCCTCTTCTTGTTCCTCGACGTACCCCACCAGCCACGGCCGCCCGCGACGCTGAAGCAGCACATCCTGCGGCTCGATCCGCTCGGCACCTTCTTCTTCCTCCCGTCCATCGTAGCGCTCCTGCTGGCGCTGCAGTGGGGTGGCGCGACGTACCCGTGGAACGACGCGCGTGTGGTGGCGCTGTTTGTCGTCTTTGGCGTCATGTTCATCGGCTTCGCGGCCGTGCAGGTACTTATGCCAGACACGGCGACGGTGCCGCTGCGCATCATCCGGCAGAGATCCATGTTGGCGGGTGCGGGTTTCATGATCTTCCTCTCTGGCGCCATGATGATGGCAATCTATTATGTGCCCTTGTGGTGTAAGTTTTTTTTTTCTTTCTTCTCCCTACTTACCCTTGGACACTCCGAGGAAGAGAAAGGTGTATCGTGTAAAACTAACCCTGCGCCCTCGTCGGCTTTCTTTCTCTTTATAGTCCAGGCCGTCCTTCGCGTGGATCCTGTGAAATCGGGCATCTACACCATTCCTCTGGTCCTCTCGATCGTGGTATCCTCAGTGATTTCCGGAATCGGTACGCAGAAGCTCGGGTACTACGTGCCGTCTATGATGCTCTGCCCAGCCATCATGGCAATTGGCGAGGGCTTGCTGTCGACGTTCACGCCTAACACGCCGTCGTCTCGGTGGATCGCGTACCAGTTTTTGACAGGTTTCGGTCTCGGGTTCGGCATGCAGACGGTGAACCTAGCGGTGCAGACCGTATTCCCGCCCGAGGACGTGTCGACAGGCATCGCCATCAGCTTCTTCTCGCAGCAACTGGGCGCCGCCGTCTTCGTGTCGGTAGGACAGTCCATCCTCAACAACATTCTGACGAGCCGGCTGGCGGGCATTCCGGGCCTCGGAGACGGCGAGGGCGGCGGGCACTTGGTGGTGGAGAGCGGCGCGACGGAACTGCTGGATCGGGTGGACGAGCGATTTGTGCCGCTGGTGGTGGAGGCGTACAATTTTGCGTGCACCAGGGTTTTCCTGACGGGTATGGGGTTGGCGATTGCCACTTTCCTCTGCGCGCTGTGCATGCAGTGGAAGAGTATCAAGAAGGGGCCCGGAGGGGCCTAGGCGGCGGTCCCGGCGGACCCAAGGGACCGGGTGGGCCAGGAGGTCAGGGTGGACAGGGCGCACTTGGTCAGCCTGGTGGGCCTGGCGGCGGCCCCGGCGGGGAAGGGCACCCAAGGGCGCCGAGCTCCTCGAGCCCGGAACAAATGTCAATCATTATGGCCGAAGGACCGACGGAGATGCCACCGGTGCGGGAGAAGCATGGGATCATGGGCCGGGTTTTCCATCGGGGTCGACAGCACCACTAGTGCAGGACAGGGAGGGAGAGTGAGAGCTGAGAGAGGGGAGATGAAGGAAAAAGGGAGAAAATAACCCAAAAAAAAAAGGACGGGTGATGATCAAGAAGTCCGAACTGGACATATATATACATTTACAAGGGAGCTGTAAGGATCAAGGGGTTCTTTTTCTTTATACTAATATTCTTTGTTTTTCCCCCAGAGCATATAGAGAGAGATATATATATATTTATAAATGTCTATATTCACTACAAATATACATAGTACGTATTAATTTGCTCAATAAGATACAAACCACCATAGGTTCAACCACATGTAGACTTCTTCCTCGTCTTCTCTCTCCATGGGGGTTTCAATCGAATTCATCTAGGTCCAGTACCGTGGGCTTGAGACGTTGCCCGTCCGCGACATCTAGCAGCTGTGGCTTTTTTGTGTGTATTCAACTTGCTAAATCTACCAATGTGTGTCTACTTTCTAATATCTACTAAGAAAAAACCAAGAAAACCAAAAAAGTAACTCAATTGTCCCTCCTCTCCGTCAAGGCGGGAAGACGGAAGATGTGCGTGCCATACCCAAGGACTCAGACCCCACCCCGAACACGAATCACCATGGACACTAGGAAAGTCAAGGTAAAAGTGCAAGAAAGAAGAGCCCTGTACGTGTGCTCGCCCCTCTCCTAGGTGAGGGGATTGGCGGGGAAAGCGACCGGGGCGTTTGGCTCTATTCCAGCCTTTGCAAGAGGTAATCGACCTCGACTTCCTTGGTAAGGGGTATGACAAAGTCCTCGTACATGGCGACGACGGCGTCGACATCGATCTTGGGGAGGCTCTGGGTATCGTTGTTGGCGACGGGGTCCTTGCCGTAGTTCTGGGCCTTGGTGCGTAGACGGGCGAGGACCTGGACCTCGACGGCCTTGTTGACGATGGACTCGCCGATGGCGTCGGCGTCGCGGGCGCGGATGTAGGCCGAGTACTTTTCCTCCTCGAGGCGGAACTTGGCCTCGGCGACAAACTTGCCAAAGTGGATGCGGCGGGAGATGGCCTGGAGGCAGGCGATGTCGCAGGTGGCGGTGGAGCCGTAGTTTTCCGAGGAAGGTCCGCGGTCGTCGCGGCGGTGGCAGACGGCGGGGAGGAAGCGGTCGGTGTAGAAGGACTTGATCTTGTCGTTGACGTTGACGTCGTTGGGGTGGAGGATGGGGGTAGCGGACGGGGGAGGATGGGGGCTTCGAGGGCGTCGGGAAAAAGGGGTACTCGTCGGGGACTCGTAGCGGCGGATGCGGGACTGGACGCGCTCCTGCTCGCGGAGGTACCAGTCCATGAAGGAGAGGGAGGAGCCGGGGATGTCGATGGCGCTGGGGGTGTAGATTGTGCGGTTGAGGGGAATTGGACGCGTTCGATGAGGGTCATGATGATGGTGTCTTCGAGGCGGCTGGTTTTGGGCTGGGGTGTTAGTCGGGGATCTTTGTTTGTTTCACTTTGGGGGTAGAGGAGGAGGAGGAGGGGGACGGTTTTTACATTAGCTGGGCGCGGATGCGGGCCAGGTCCAGAGCCTTGGAGGCATCGGAGAGATCAATGACCGAGTCCATGGATTCGACGGCGAGCGAGGAGGCAAAGTGGTGGTGGAGGAAAGGGAGGGGAGACCATGCGCGGGGCCGGCGCGAGGGAGGCAGCGGAGAGAGGAGGCCAATTGGTTCATATATCGGGCCCCGTTTAAAAAGAAAAACGAGATTTCCGGGACTTGGGGGTTGGAACGGTGAAAGAAGGCCGGGACGCGGGGTTTGTTTAACGGGAATGTATATATATATATGTATATATATCAAAGGGCCCGGGAGCTTAGGGAGGGTTTCACGGACGTGGGGCCGCTACGGTAGGACTGGTCCGGGTGCCTTGAAGAGCCGGGATGGAGTTGCGGGGAGAGGACTTGAGGAGGGAGGAGGATTTTGATATCTGGGCGAGGTTTAAATCGATAGGGAATCTCGGGACGGTGGAGAGTGGGGGAGGTGCAGTAGGAGGACGGGCAGTCCACTACATATGAAGCAGGATGAGCAATGAGCAATTGGGTTTTCGAGGAGGGGAGGGGCACACACACCCACGCACCAAGTAGCTGAACGCTCTGCGCTAGCCGAGCAGCACCCTCTTTTTCCTTTTTCCTTTTTTTTTTACCCTTTTTTCTTTTCTTTTTCTTTCTTGGCTCTGAACTTCTGCGCTTCTCTTCTCCCTTCCTCTTTTGGTCATTCGTGACTCTTGCTCTAATTGGTCCGAGACCGATGACGCAGACAAGCAGACAATATTTGGAGGGAGAGGAACGCCCACTATTGACAAAGACGTGGAGCGAGGTCCAAGGCCAATTGATGCATCTTCCTGGAGAGAAAGGCTCTGTTTCTTCTTTTTTTTTCTTTTTCCTAAAATATTTTATTTGCAGTTCTGTGTTCTTCAGGGTGGGTTTGTGTGCGTGTGGTCTCGTCAATCCCGAATGTGCTCCCAAGCTTCAAAGGTGGCGGTTGCTCCGAGGACCGGACATCGCGGCAAAATATTGGCGGATGAGAGTCGTGCTTGTCTCTGCGCTTCGTCGCTTGTGCATGTGCATGTCTGTTTCTGTCTCCCTCTCAACTTGCCGACTGACTAACCTAGCGTTAAACGAAAAAAGACGAGAGTTTTGTTTCCGCTCGCTTAGCCCTGGAAATCAGTGGTAGGGCGTCCTCTTCTCCCATCGGACCGGCACGACGCGAGTGAGAGCTTTATCATCATGCCCACGTAAACGGCAGGTTTTTATCTTCTTCCCTCTTCCCTTTGAGGTTACATTTTCTTTTCTTCGTCTTTCCCGCTCCGGGCCATTCAATGTTCCTTCAAATTACTCTTTGTAGAAAACGGCGGTTGCATAAAACACGGGATATTGGCCTGGACGTTGTTTCAGCCCAACCCAGCCAAACGCATCAAGTTGCCAGTCGCCGTCCTCTCCGGTCCGTTTTACGCCCGGGGTCGCCGCTGTGACTTTGCCTTCCTTCAACGTTCATCTTCTTCTCCCCCTCCTTCCTGCGAATCGGATCAAGGAGTGGGAGTGGGCGTCGGGGGCCATCGTGCTGTGCAACCCCAAAAGGACAGGGCTGGGAGAATCTAATTGATCGGTGTTGATCAGCCCGCCCTGGCATGCGCTTCAAGAAGCTGTCAGGAGCTCCATGACGCTCTCGTTGCAGTCTCTCGTTGCAGTCTCTCTCTTTTCTTTCGACCCCCGGCCTAATACGGATGCCGTATGCGCGTAGTCTCTTTCTTTGTCTCCCTTTTCGCCGTGTCTTGTTGACTTGGAAAAGATCCACCGATGGATCAATGCATCTCCTTAAAAATGTGAACACGCAAGAGTGGGGCAACTACCGGTCGCCGGGCGCCAATTTCAAGCGCATTAAAGGGCAAATTTCATGTGAAGTGCTCCTGTCGGGACGTGCAAGACGTGCCGGACGTGCCAGGACGTGCCAGGACGTGACAGCGTAGGGATCAATTGACGATGGATTGATCAATCATGGTAAATACATCCATGAATGGACAGATGGACAAGCTGCTTGCGCTTGCACCAAGCTTCAAGTTCCTGGAACATGGAGACGGAGGTACTGTCCTCTCTCTGCTCTGAGCTTGGACTGGATGTGGAATTGAGCTCTCTTCTCTCTGCCCGAGGTTGAACCAGCGCACGAGGAACATTGAATAACAAAGAGTACAGTGCATATTTCTTCAATGCTGCACATGCTTGCTATGCTCCATCAATCCATGTCTGTCCCAAGCCAATTCAAGTGCAATGACGGGACCCCACAGGTACACAACGTGCTGAATTGTGCGTGCATTGACATCCGATCGCTTCCTCAGAAGCTGCAACCTTGGAAACCTGGACAAAATATTGACCCCGTCAAGCCAAGTCCCAAGTCCTGACGACACCAACTCTCAACTCCCCCAAAGAGAGCGAGAGAGCAACCTCGAGTTTCTGGAGCTGAGCAGCTCTCCTCCATTTCAACAGCACCCCCCTTCTCTCTCTCTCTCTTCTTTGCTCTCACGACCGAGATTCTCTCCATCGCCCCTCACGTCTATCCTCGAAGCGGTTTCAAAGCATTCTCACCACAATCAATCCATCCATCAATCGAGCTCGAACCGCCGGGGAAAACAAAACAAGCTTTTGTCCGACCAACTCTGCGCATCACCAACACCTCGGGACGAGACTGTGTCTGTCTTCCTCACGTGGGCCTTGCCACCGCGATCCATGACCTCGAGTCGCGCTCCAAACACCGACCTTCTCACCATCATCCCCGATATTTTCGAGGAAGCCGACGATATATCAACAGGACCGGCCTAAAAGAATTAAGATTCTTTATTGGATCTACAAAAATCCGAGCCGCCTTGCGCACGCGTCCCGCAGACGCTCCCTTCCCCTCGCCCGCCTGCCTCGCCCCGATAAACACCCGACGACCACCAAGGGAGGGGCCCGGCTTCCTTTTTTACCCTCTCGACACGGCCCGTTTCCCATAACCCCATCCCCTCGTTGACGACTGATATTTCTGGGGTTTCTCTATTTTCTCCCTCTTTCCTTTCCGTTGGCTATCGAGGTCTATTTTTTTCTTTGCTCGATAGCTCCGAATTTGCTCCGTGGTCGTGAGGTCTTGGCCCCCTTCGGCCTCCATCGTGCGCATGGCGAACGAAGGTCACGAGCATGACTATGACGAGTCCTTTGCCGAGGACGAGTCCTCGCTGATCTCGGTATGTTTGAGACCCCCAAGACTAAGGCTGGCTTCTCTTCTCGTGACCTCGATCAAGAGATCCTTCTTTGTTTAGCCCTTGTTATTTTTTTCTGTCTATTCAGCTCCTCTGCATCCCTTTCTCATCTGTCTCCTCGCCGCCCCACCCTTGGCTCGAATTTTCGGGTCCTCTTTTTTGCCCCCTTGGCCCCCTTCCTTGGCCCTCTCTAGCACCATTGTGGTTTCTCTTCTTTCCTCACCACCTCTCTATCGATCACCCTAGCTTTCTTGCTCTCCCTTTCTTTCCCTACTCTCTTCCCCTCCCCGTCCTCGCCTGCCTTATGACGTCGGCCTTGTCCTTCGCCCTGCTTCAAGACCATGACCCGCTAACCCCACGCGCGCGCGCCTTCCGCCGCCTTCCCGCCCTACGACAGACACGGAGCCTCGAGACCTTTGGCCGAAAAGTCACCACCACCGCGAGCCACCTCATGGGGCCCGGCTCCGCCGACCCCACCCGCGTCGACCACTACCACAATGCCATGGCTGCCGTGCACAAGCAGCTCCAGCAGCCCCAGGTCCAGCGCGGCATCTTCTCCATGGCCCGCACCGCCCCGACCGAGCTCGTGCGCTCCAAGCTGTCCCGCAACGAGATCCAGCACCGCGCCCTCGCCGCCCTGTCCGACGACATGCTGGCCAACGTCCCCTACGTCGAGAACTCGTACTCCCTCTTCCAGGGCTTCCAAGCCACCTTCCCCGACATGACGGACGACGGCAAGAAGCACAGGCGCCGCGTCTCCCGCGGCCGCAAGCTCCTCGACGACGTCGAGCACATTGACGCCTCCCCGAGAACGTGTCCAAGCTCAAGCGCGAAAAGGCCTCCATGATGCACGAGCTGCACCTGCTCATGATTCGCAAAAACATGTCGAGCTGCGAGATCCGCGACATTGATAACAAGGTGGCCAACTTGACGGGCATGAGGAGGACGGTGCTCGACAGGCTGGCTAACCTCGAGCAGGACGAGGCCGTCTTGGAGCAAGACAGTGCGTTTCTCTCTCTCTCTCTCTCTCTGTTTTTCTTCTCGTCATCCCCCTTCCTTCCTACCAGAGCCCCTCTCCTTGGCTAACTTTGAACGTGTAGTTGTCGACCTAGAAGCTCGTCTCGAAGAGGCACAAGCCCTCGCCAAAGAAAACCAGCCTCCCGAACCGCAGCCCCTAGACGATGACGACGGCTTGATAATAGATGCCGAGGACGTCGGCTTCATGACACAGTCCATCTACGAAAAGATACCCTCCAACCAATCCACGCCCACACGACCCACCAACCTCAAATCCGTCCGTCGCAAATCCATGCCCATACTCCACGAGCACCACGAGGCTGGCAGCTGCATCCGCGAGATCCGCGCCCACCAGGACACCGTCCTCGCCATCGACTTCGACGCGCCCTTTGGCACCATGGTCTCTTCCGCCATGGACGACACGGTGCGTGTGTGGGACCTGAACGCCGGCCGCTGCATCGGCATGCTCGAGGGCCACACCGCCTCGGTCCGCACCCTCCAGGTCGAGGATACCCTGCTCGCCACCGGGTCCGTCGACGCCACCATTCGTCTGTGGGACCTGAGCAAGGCCCACTACGACCCTTATGGCAGCGGGTTCGGCGGCGGTGACGACGAAGACGAAGACGACGGCATCGCTTTTGCCCACCCCGACGACCAGCCCGTTGACCCCCGCCGGCACCATGGCCGACTGCCCGCTCTTCACCCTCCAGGCCCATCTCGACGAGGTGACGACGCTGCACTTCCGCGGCGACACCCTCGTGTCGGGTTCCTCGGACAAGACGCTGCGCCAGTGGGATCTCAACAAGGGCCGCTGCGTCCAGACCCTCGACGTCATGTGGGCCGCCGCCCAGGCCTCGGCTGGCCTCGGCACCACCGACGGCAACTGGCGCAACACCTCGCGCGGGTCCAACGGGTCCGCCCACTTTGTCGGCGCCGTCCAGGTGTTTGACGCTGCGCTCGCGTGCGGCACGGCGGATGGCATGGTCCGGTTGTGGGATCTCCGGAGCGGTCAGGTGCACAGGAGTCTGGTTGGGCATACGGGACCCGTTACGTGCTTGCAGTTTGACGACGTTCACCTCGTCACGGGCAGCATGGATCGTAGCATTCGGGTGAGTACTTTCTTCTTTTCCTTAATTTCCTACCCTCGTCTCCACTATCCTCCCACCCTGCGTTTCACTAACCTCTTGTCCACCCCATTCTTTAGATTTGGGATCTCCGCACGGGTGTCATCCACGACGCCTACGCGTACGACAGCCCCGTCACGAGCCTCATGTTTGACGCCCGCCGCATCGCCAGCGCCGCGGGCGAGGATGTGGTCAAGATCTACGACAAGGTCGAGGGCCGGCAGTGGGATTGCGGCGCGGGCATCGCCTTTGCCGAGGAGCAGCGCAAGACATCCATTGTCGAGCGGGTTAGGCTACGAGATGGGTATCTCGTCGAGGGTAGGCAAGATGGCATGATTGGCGTGTGGTCATGCTAAGAAACCCCGAGAGAGAGAGAGAGGAACAGAGACAAAAGACTCGTGAAAATAGTACAGGCGAAGAGAAAGGGGGCGCATATACGACACCCGAGCATAGACGGATAGATAGACAGGGCCGGGTCAAGGTGTGCGGAGGAACGGGGGATGTGGGAGGGCCTCCGGTTTTGTTTTTGTCTTGGACGGCGGCCGGCGGAGACTCGCAAGAACTGCGGCACCCGCGAACATTTATGCCCCGGACAGGTTTTTCTTTTTTGTATTTTGTATCTTGTAAGGGGGTTTACTGAGGGGAGAAAGGGGTTTTTCCACTCTTGTATCTTTTTCGTCTTCCTGGGGGAAAACTAGAAAAGGGCGTCATGACGAATCTTCTCTCGACCGCTGTATATAAAACAAAGGAGAGAAGAGGGGCGCCCAAACCCCGGCATGTTTTTTTTCTTATTTGGGGGCTTTTTTGGTTTCGTTTTCCAAACATATATGCAATGTATACTTGTCCTCTTCTTTCTCTTTGCGTTGTTTCTTCTTTTTCGTTATCAGAGAAAAGGTACATGTAGACTGGCGTCTTGTCAAGATGAATACAACGACTCTTTGCCCTCTTCTGTCCTGTTGTCCTGCGTTCATTGGGAGGAAAGAAAGGGTGATCTGGTGACGGGAACTATAAAAAGACACAAGGAACCACGAAAGTGAGGGAACACCAGGGTGACGGATAGAGTCTTTATTCGAAGACTATGGTTCCCTCGTCTCTCGGTCTCTCCTTCGCGACAGACCACTACAGCACGTCATGCGCACAGTTATATACTCTATATATCATTTCGTCAAGCAACCCGAAAAAGTAAGAAAACGCAACGCCGCGGGTAAAATTTCCCATTCCATACCCAACCAAAAGTTAGAAAAACAACCTCCTCCCGTTCATGGCCATCTTTTTTGTTCCTTTTTTCTCCCTCACGCCGCCGCACCACCCTCAAAAACTCGGCGACAGCAGCCACGGCGGCCTTGAAGCCCTGCTTGTCAAAGAGCATGACGACGCCGCGGGTCTTGACGCCCATGTCCTGGAAGGCGCGCTTGCTATCGGCGTTGGCCTCGCCCTCGCGGGTAAAGTCGTACGAGGCGGTAGCTTGCGCGAAGCGGGCCAGGACCTCGTCTTCGGGGTGAAAGTAAAAGACGGCATCCGAGGCCGAGGCCGAAGCAGCGGCGGCACGGGAAGAAGAAGAAGCGGATCCCTTTTGCTTCTTGGTGCTGGGTTCGGGGAGGCGGGGTGGTCGGCGTCGCGGACGTCCGGGTCGGGCAGGACCTCGGAGTAGACGCGGGAGGGAAGGAGGAAGTGGGTAAAGTCGTAAGGTTCCTTTTCCTCGACGGCGTCGTCGAGCTCGTCGAGGAGCATGGTGTACAGGGGGCCGGCGACCTCGGAGGGCATGTTGATGAGGCGCTCGCTGACGACGAGGCCGACGGCGGCGGTGGGGTCCTCGAGCACGGCGGTAAAAGAAGGGCTAGAGGAAGAAGCTTTGGATGCGAGGTAGGTGACGAGGGCGTCGAGGGCGGGGACGCGTCGGGGGCTGTGACGGAGGGTGGCGCGGGGCGGCGGGTGGGGAGGGGCACGGCGGTGACGAGGGCGTAGGGGTCCGTCTCGCGGCCGTCGACCTTGACGGAGGAGCCGACGGCGTTGTTGGCGAGCACGACGTCGGCGAGGGCGGAGATGTCGAAGAGGGCGCTGTCGACGTCGAGGAGCTGGCGGAGGAGGGATTTGGTGCCGTGGAAGTCGATGGTGGAGTCGAAGTTGAACCATTCAAAGTCTACGTTGACCATGTCGAAGTCCTGCGCGCGCACATTGAAGATGGGGGAACCGTTAGAAACAAGGGAAACAAGGGAACTACAAGAGCAGGATAGGCCATAAAGAAAAATAACGGGGACTCTTTCTCACCTCTTCTTCGGAACCGTCCTCGTCCATGGCGTCGGCATCGCGCTTGGGGTTTCCCTTGGTGAGGGAGTCTCTGTCGCGCTTCTTGCCCATTGTGTTGCGTGGTATGGGGAGTTTTCGAGGGAGCGGGCGTTTATCCTTGTTTCGTTCCAAAAGACTGGCTCGTTGGCCAAAGGAAACTTTGTTGAGGAGGTGTTTCGGTATTGTGGTCGTGAATCGAAGCAAGCAAGAAATGGGAGACGAGGAAAACGGAAGAAAAAAATCAAAAATTTCGAGCTTTCTATTTCTCCCCTCCAAACGACCAAATGACCCCTCCCCGCAATTTTTCAATGGCAGTGCTCGACCCTTGTCCAGACGCCCACCAAAAGTAGCAGCACATATATTAACAGGAGCATTTAAAAGCACATACGTAAAGGCACGACATCAATTGATGTTAGACAACACTACAACACCACATCTAATATTCTTCATCCTTCGACAAGCTCATCTTCAAGGCTCTATTCCAGGGTTCAAGAAATAAAACAGAACAAAGCCGATACGGAAAACATAAGCTTTCAAGTCTAGCACCGTTTTCCTAGTCTTCTCCGGCCCCATCTCCATCCCGCCGTCGATGTCATGGTTCGCCCGGTCGCGGCAAAACATTCCCAGAGTATCCAGCCACGACATGCACCAAACTATTTTCTCTCTTAGATCCCTTGGCCCACCCCCTTTGAACTACACGAAACACCGTAGGAACAATGGCAGACGCCTCCTCCCCGGTTCCACTCACTACGAAACGCTGCTTCACCATCTTGGTAAGAAAGGCTGTCCAAGCTTTTGTATGTGTTTGTTCTCCAAGAACATGGATGTAAAAAAGAACCAAACTACCAAAGCATAGGAAGGAAACACAGTGCAAGCTAACAATACTCGGAGGGCGGGGCGGGGGATCCTCGCGGGTTGTGACGGAGACAAGGCAGTGGTATAAGCCTGACTCGCGCACTCCCACCGGTAGAAGAAGCATCGCCGTGGGTGGATTCGTCCTCCCAAAGTCAAATGAGTGAATCTCTTGCGATTTCGGAGAATACATGCACATGTACACACACACACACACACATAGGCAGCCGTGGACACTAAATCTAGCAAAAGTACCCAAAGCACGCAAGCTCACGTCAAGGGAGGGTTTCGAGGCGAGTCACCTTGAGCAACGGCTGGTTAGAACAACACGAGCCTTGCAGAGGTTGAGGACACTGATAAGGGCCCAAGATTAAACGGCCTAGTAAATTCCCAAAGACACTGCTTTGGAGACCTAATGTACAAATATATCTGCACCAAAGTGCATCGTGCTGCGGGAGACCGTTATTCTTCCCCGAATACCTCCATACATTCATCGTCCACCCACTCCCGCCAGAATATACACGAAAGCAACATTCGGGCGAAAGAGACAGGTGACAGGAGACACGGAGAGGCACGAGTGAGAGAGAGAACCAGACTGCCCAACGGACAAGTCACAGTCTTCAAGAGGGTCAAAATCTTCAGCAGAGTGTAAAAAAAAAAGGTTTGTGTTTTAGAAGAGAGAATAAATGCTGTAGAAGAAAGAATATAAAGAAGAAAGGAAAAATAAAATATATGTTGGTTGACGACCGTGCCTCCCGAACGGGTATCCAAGCGTAACATGGTCCGGGTGCACCAATAAATCAAGATCCCCGAAAGAGAGCAAAAGTCGAGCAAAAGCAAGACGAGAGAAGTGGCTTCGACTCTTGTAGCCTTTGCCTTTCCTCTTTCCCTTTGCCTCTTCCGTGGTTTCATGGTTAAAAAAAAAAAAATAGAGGCCAAGGAGGAAAAAATCACAGGCTCTCCAAAGAGTTTGGACACGTACATACACACTCTCACACACACACACATCTCCTTCACTCTTCAGCACAGTACATCTCTCGCCTGTTCCTTGACCTCCACGCTCCACGTTATCCTATCCGCCCGCTTCACAACAAAAAAAAAAAACAAAAACTCTTTTGAGACCTGTTTTAGTTCCATCCGAGAGAGTTCTCCGCCGCAACAGGCGCCGAGATGTAGGCGGTGCGGCCCGAGTTGCCCGCGCCGCTGCGTCCGCTGCCGTGGCTTTCCTTCCACCAGCAACGCCGCCGTAGCTGGAGAAGTCCCGGCTCAGGAGGGCGCCACCCATCATAGCTGCCGCGGGGCTGCCCGACCCGCTGTACCGCATGTCCGAGTGCGTAACTTCGGTAACGGAGCTCGCTCGGCGGTGCGCCTGCTTCTTGCGCTTGTACCGACGCGCGACGAGGAACATGGCCGCGCCGTACGCTACCGCAATACTGACCGCGCCAAAGGCGATACCCACAGTCGCGCCCTTTTGAGACGGAGACTGCTCCTCGCCAGCGTTGCTGTCGGGGTCGCTGTTGGTGAAGGGAGAGCCACCGGGCTCGCCCGAGGCGTCGCTGTTGCTCGCCTCACCCTCGCTGCCGGGGAAGATGCCGTACGAGGGTCGATCGCCGAGGCGAGCTCGAAGGCGAGGGGCACGGGGTGGTGGTAGAGAGCCGAGTTGGTCAGGTGGATGTCGATCTGGAGCGCGTCAATGATGCTGGTTGGCACGTACGCCAGCGCCGACGTCGTGATCCATCCCTTCTTCTGCTTGGTCTCGATCGGCACCAATCGCAACATGCGAATGTCCTTCTCGTCGATGCCCTCGCCGTACGAGATCACCTGCGGGAGGAAAGTAAAGATCTGCTGGGCAGCAGTAAAGTTCTCCGCCACGAATTCGTAGTGGAGACGGCGGTCAAACACGATGCGGATCAACGTCGTGCCCGCTGGTTGCGTCACAACATCATCCGAGGCATCAATCGTCTTGGGCATGCCCGCAGGAAGCTCCTCGCCGTTGGTAGGCGCCGGGAGCTCCGAGTTGGCAGTCGCCGTCGCGTCGTCTGCAGCCAGCTTGGTACCAAGCCAGGCATCCTTGCCAATCACCGTGCTCGCCGCGGGCACGCTAGTAAAAGTCGTCGTGTCCGCCACGGGAGGGGCACCACGGTGGTCGGCTCCTCGGGAGGCTCCGAAACCGTCGTGTTGCCGGGGGAGGGGTCGTGACGGGTTCATCCGACGTCGTCGTCGTGTCGGGCTCCTGAGGTCCGCCGGTTGGTCAGGCTCCTGGGGGTAACGGTCGGATCCGTCGGCTGGGGCTCCTGGGGAGTCACGGTAGGAGGCACATCAGTAGGGGTAGGGTCCGTCGGGGTGGGCTCCTGGGGAGTCACCGTGGGGTCCACGGGGGATCGGTCGGCGAAGGGTCCACGGGAGGGTCGGTAGGCTTGGGCTCCTGGGGAGTCACGGTGACGGGCTCGTCCGTAGGCGTCGGGTTGGGGATGACGACATCCGTGGTAGTGTTGGCCGGAGGATCGGGGTTGACGATGCTCGAGATGATCGACTCAATAGGATCCACCACTCCATCAATGATGCCCTTGCTGGTGGTGGTCGTAGGCACCACAACAACAGGAGGCTCGGTGGGTTCGGGTTCCTGCGGAGTGACGGTCTCGACCTTGGCCGTGGTGGTAGGGTCGGCAGGAGGAGTGGTGGTTGTGGAATCAGCGGGTACAACGACAGCGCCTTCGGTAGTCGTCTCCTCAGCCGGCTTCTCCTCGGGCTTCTCCTCGGTCTCCTCGGGCTTGGTAGCCTCCTTGGTCGTGGTCGTGGTAGGAGCGGCCGCCGAAGTGGTGGTCTCGACTTGGGCGGCAGAGCTCGATTCCTCCGTCACAACACCGCCGGGAGCAATGACGATACCAGAGCTTGTCGAGGTCTTGGTCGTCTCGGGAACGGGAACGGGGGCGACTTCAGTGCCTTCCTCCTCCTCGGTGGCGGGGGTGCTGATAGTCTCTTCGGGAGCAGATTCAGTCTCCTCCGGCTCCGTCTCCTCGGCCTCGCTCGCTTGGGTAGGCTGGACAATAGTCTCGGGCGGGCTGGCTGAAGGAGGAGGCGTGGTGGTCACTAGAATGGTTGTCGGGATCGAGAGAGTTAGGATATCCGAGGTGTCACGCACAAGCTCGGGCGACGAGCTCGACTCAGCCAGGGACTCGGTGATGATGTCGATGATGGACTCCGACTCGGCGAGCGACTCGGTGATGGTGTCGACGGGTACCTCGACAGTGGGTTCTCCGGCCTCCGTCGAAGACTCATCCTCATCCTCATTCTCGGGGGTTGCCGTCTCGATGGGCAGCTCGGTCTCAGTGGGAAGCTCCGTCACAGGAGGGAAGGTGTCCTGTTGGGTCGAGGTCGAGTTGATAAACTGTCTCTTGACGTGGCGGGGAAGTATATCCTTGGGCGGTCATTAGCAGCGATGGCGGTCGAAGCCAACGACGCCAATGCGAGAACCACAGTCCACGACTTTGGCTGCATTTTTCACCGTAGATTCGTTTTTCGTTGTGTATAGAGAATACTTGTGTTCTGCAACTCCTCCGTCAGCACCACTCCATACTAATAATGCTCGCTGCGGGGCCCATGGCGGTACTCACTATGTCAGGGTTTAATTGTAAAAGAGCGTACTTGACAATTATAGTCAATGAGCGTAGATCTACAAGCCGGTAATGTTAGCAATGACTCGCCATTTTCCGTCATCGTGGAGCCAGGATCCGAGGTGCATGAATGATCCACGAGATCACCCGCGCAAACAAATTGGGCCAGGTTCCAGGAAAATGAGGCACAGCACTCGCCGTCCTCTCCCATTTGCCCCCATTTGTCGTCGTCCCTATCTCTCTTTCTCTGTCCCACGGCCCAAGTCAAATGCGAACTCGGGAGTGATCTAGAGAAGATGCAACGAGTTGCGCACAGCAACTTGCACGACTCACGGGATTGTTGACGCGGGCGGGAGGAATCGGCAACGAAGAACAAGAAGAAATGAAACGCACATTTCGTATCGTTATGTTTGTTTAAAAGAGCGACTCGACGAATATTCGTCGACAAAAATTGGGGTTGAGATTGGTTCCGGCGTATTCCAAAAAAATTCAAAATCGTCAGATCCTCCGTCAGAGCATGGATATCCTGTCTATCGTCGGCGGGCGAGAATACGGCAAGATCAAAGACATTGGCCAAAGATCGAGGGCTTGCTTTCGTGTTCGTGATCGCTTGACCGTTTCCTTAGATTTCCATTTCGTACCGTTGGAAATCTCGTCGTCGTCAAAGGCAACTTCGTCTCGTCGTCGAAAGCAAAAAGAAGGGCGAGAGTTGAAGAGAAGGAGGAAAAGGAACGCCGGGCTCGTATCGGGCGGATTAAAGGCGCGCAGGCGCTCGCGAGAATCGAAAGGAAACGTCGTCGCCGCGAAGAATCTTGTCGGACGGGGGCGAGTACGATCTCGGTGAAGGGGGTGGAGGGAAGGGGAAGAAAAAGGGAAGGAGGAGGAGGGTAGTTAAAAGAGAGGGATCAGGTGGCGGGAAAAGGGAGGTAGGGGAAAAGGGAAGGTGGACCGCGCGCGCCTTTGGGAGGGCAAAGGAACGGCCAGGGCAGAGACGGAGAGAGAGAGCGAGAGAGAGCGCGGGTGACGGACGGTGGAGCCAAGGTTCGGGAGAATGAAAGGGCAGGGCAGGGAAACACGACCTACGCTACGCTTGCACTAGGGGGAAAGAGGGCGACAGAGACACTTGACAGGCGACGGGCCCACGATTTTTAGTGGGAGTAGGGAAGGGGAGGGGCGTGAGAGGGTGGAGTGGAAGTGGAGCCAGGATCGCTGGCACCAAGCAAGACTTTTGAGATGAGCCAGGGCGGGATTAAACGGTGGGAGTACTTCGTACATGTGTGGCAGACGGAGAGCACCTTGATGAAGCGCAACTGAGCTCTCGCGAGCGAATTCCGAGATGGGGCGCAATAAGAGTGGGGAGGGTCACACGCAGCCAATGGTGATGAGATTTCCCAGCCACCTGCAGGTGAAACGGTCAATTCTCTCCCACCGTCCGACTGGCCCTGTACCGTTGCAAGGCACAAGGCACCCTCCACCACGCTCCACCACACACGACTTACACACTCCACAACACGCGGAGCTCTCGCCGCCACAAGTGAGGCCCTGCCGACATCCAGGAACCAACGCTTCTCGTGTGCCAGTGCCAGTCCGGTCAAGCCAGGACCTGTTTTCCTATCGAGAGATTGCGTTTTTCCAAGTCCCACCCACACAAAAGTTTGCAGGACGGGGACATGGAGTCAAACAATGAAAGGCGGCCCTTGCTTTTCTCGTGCGCGCTCTCTCACTCTTGCTTGTCGACTTGGACTAACAAAGCACAGCACCAGTCATCGCCTTGCAGACAGGTCCACCCAGAGCCATCAATTCCTCGCGAGGGTCAATGAAATGCCCACCGTCTTCGGCCAAGACGGGCGTGACTTGTCCAAATGCATCTTCTACTTTGTACGAAATGGTTCAGTCTCGAGGAACAATCCAACCATGCTTGCCACTCATCGGAGCAGAAAGTGGTTCCATGGATGGATGGGCTGGGGGCACATCACAGCTCGCAGTTAATAGTCTGGTTTCGGAAGCAGGCGTATGGATTTGAGCCAACTGGAAGATTTGACCCATATTGGTGAATGACGAAGGAAGGTACTCGTCGGATACAGGTGATGTGTCTGTCAGCGCAACTGACATACAGGCAAAATGCGAAAGCCGTCGTGGGTATTGTCGAGGTACTCGCATATTGCTTCCCCATTCCTCATCCATGCTATTGCCCGTTCGCCCATAACATTGAGGGCAATACCCAGAGCCCTTTCCGGTGACTTGGTATTCGCTATGGGCCATTAGGTCACGCACCGTCAATTTTTGAAAGGATAGGACTTTTGAGTGTCCGTTTTTCTTTCTTCTTTTTTCTCTGGCTATTCCTCGCCTTCTTCCATTTGAGCCGTCACCCGCCTCTGCTCATTCCACCGTCTTGCTCCCCCATTCAGGTACCAAAGTACACACACCCCCTTTCTCACACTCGGTACCTTCTCTCTCTTCCTACCATTTGGTTCTTGGAAATGCCTCCACCACATCAATTGATACTTTGTGCATTCCATTGACTGTTTGCTGCAATCAGTCATTAGCCTACATGAAAAAGGAAATGACGGGAGGGAGGAGAAACACGCAGCAGGGTAGCGTAACATACATGAAAACCAAACATCGCAAAGCCCTTTTCCCACCACGCACGCGAGATGAGTTCCTCTCTGGCCGCTGGCCGAGGAAGAGGAGAAGGAAAAAGAATCCCCGAAAAGACACACTCCAGAAGCAACGAAAGAATACGAAGAGAAGGGAAGAAAGCCAGAAAGTAAAGAAACGAGAAACACCCGGTGCCACCGTTTGAACGCGAGCGAGCGAGAGTCTCTCGCCACCTCTCGGGATCTCGAGAGGAGGTGGGAGAAAAGCATGGAGTCAGCGACCACCACCACCACCACCACCACCACCATCTTTCTCGGAACCAGTCAGCACGAGCCTCCCTCTATTATCTGTATTGTTCGGGAACCGCTTTGCTTTGAGGCGCTCGCGAACAAACGGAAACGGTGAGTGGACAGGAAACACCGATGGAGTTACGAGAAAACCGCCCTCCGATACGAGGTTTATCCCTGGGCAAAGAGAGACGCGCGCGTTCGTTCCCTTTGGCCTCTGCAGCGCAACGTTGGAATGTCCGGCCGGAGGAGGCACCATCAGCCATCGTGTCCGCTCATCTCTGCCCCCCTGCCTGGAGCACCAGCGCCTTGAACCTTGTCGGGTCGGTGCTGAGCGCGAAATTGCAGTGCGGTGCATCAATCGATGGAGCCAGGCCAGGGAAGCAGGGGGCGGCCAGGCGACACCTGGTCTCCGCATGCGGTATTGGACTTGCTAGCCAAGTGGGGGACAAAATAAACGGGACTGCAAAATATTCAAGCTCACTATAGCTGAGGGTACAGGGGGCAGTACAGAGGTGATTTGGTGGCGAGGTGCCTGCTCTGGTGGACAAAATGATTTTGCAGTCCCGATATTTTTGTCCACCACTTGCTAGCCAGCGGAGGAACAGAAGGCAGAAGCAAAGAAAAACGCCAAGGTACCGAAGTGGCGGTGGTATCGCGGACATGTCCACCTTGTTTTTCTTGTACCCGTGTCCTGCTCTGTCGTGTCCAGTCTGTGTCGGTATTCCAGGTCCCCCAGCCAGCCGCTAGCTTGCCTCCCCAGCAGCTCCTCTCGTTCGGTACGGAGCTTGGGCTTCTGCTCTGCTCTGCTCGGCTTGGCTTGGACACTAATACACCAGCGCATTGAGGGTTGCAAAATAACGTGCCATCACGATGAGTGGCTTTGCCCACCTGCGGGGCTAAAAATGGCCTCGACCTCTCATGTTGAATCGTGCCCCTGGGCGCAAGGGTGCAAGGGTTTGTGTGGCTCGGGTACTTGATGCAGCTGTCCTCAGGTCCCCAGGTCCCACCAATCACTGGCGAAAATTGTGGACCGCGCAGGTACTCCATACCCCTCCACGATGTATCCATCCTTGCAAAGAGCATCATTGGGCCTTTTTCCCTCCCACCCTTTCTTGCCTGTCCGAGAGCAAGCCTTCATTTCCCCTTGGGTGAGCTATCAAATCCGTGAAGAAACGGACAAAGGCAGGCCCAGTTCGGTACAAGTTACGAAGTACACTACACTGGTTCGAGAAAACGGACCAGGTTAGGCAGGCTGGAATAGTCCCCTCAATAGAACCAGCACGACGCTTGCAAGATTACGGACGCGCCTAGCCTGTGCGTAGTGCAAATCGAAATTTGTGTTCCTGGCTAGAGCAGGCACTAAAAAAGGTGCAAGTCGCACGATCATGTCGCTGGGGGTTAGGGGCGGGGGCTTTTGAGCGTAAATTCCCTTGATTGCTTCACTTGAAGATGCTCCTTGCAGCTTCTATCGACAGAAAACTGCTAAAAAGAGTTCAGAATGGCTCCCTGTCCCGGGATCGAGGGAATGGATGCATGCGTCGACTCAGTTATGAAGTGACGGTTATCTGACATTCTTTTCTTTCCTTTTTATCTTTTCCTGGCTGAGACAGTTCCCAGGAGAAGATTAAAGTGACGAGAGGATCCAGGATTTGGTTTTGTGGTGGCTTGGATTGGGCGAGACAAGGTACTTGTTGTACATGCTCCATTCACAATCAGTTGCTGCAACACACCAGGGGCCAAAGTGCCCCATTTTGCCCATCAACCTTGAAATCCGTGAAAAGAGGGCCGCCCCTCGACATTCCGACATCCACATCCAAAGACTATTGTGGGAAGACGAAGAAGAAGAAGAGAATGTTGGGTAGACAATTGGCGGGGGCTCTTATACAACAGAATAATCGGAAAATATCAAGCTTTCGCCATTGAATGAATTGAATTTGATCCCTTGCCTCAACTGTTCGCGTCCAGAAGCGCCACACCATCCTGTGCTCTCCTGCGATGACGAATTCGCACCCGAAAAAGGTAAGACTGCCCAGGCGGTAAGGTGCCATCGAATTGTTTCTCGCAGGCGTCTTCTTTCAGCCAAGCGGGGGGTTTAGTTTAGGGGGCGGGAAGCAGCACTGAAGCCCACAAGGGCGCTTCCCCACTAATAGAATATGATCGACAAAACGGCCGCGAGGAACATTGAAAACGGGCTATTTCTCCGTCCAAGCAATGATCAATTGGATCTCTTTCCAACAATGGCCCATTTTGCACGGCTCAGTCAGCGTGAACCATTTGTCCGTGGCAGCCCGTCCCGCCCGACGACCGGGGCTTCCCCTTTCCCTTCAATGTTCGGAGTCGTTTCCTCTCCGTCGATTCTCAAGGCATATTGAGACCCATTTCGCCCGAGAGAAAGGGAATCGGTGAAATATTGAGGGCTTGTCAATATTATCAGCCAACACTGCACTACACGAGAGAGCGAGACAAAGCCCGGTAATCCACGCACTCGTTGCTCTGTGCGTCCATTTATTTGTACACTGGTACTCGCCAGGATTGAAATTGGATTGGAAGAACACACAGACGGCAATATGAATTAAAGCACACCAAGTTCGAGCTCCACTTCCGGTCAATAATACACGTATTATTAGGACTTGGCAGTTCGTCGGAAGGAAGAACATTAAACAACGGAAATGGCCTTTGAAAGTCCAAGGGAGAACGACTGACAGAGGGAGAGAGGGGACGAAAAGGAGCTGGGAAGAAACGAAACGTCCCAAATTCTATCAGGCTCGCTCTATCTGTGTGTAATAGTGATCCATAGATATATGCATATATTTCATATCCATGAAATCGTACATCATTGTCTTAATCAGTCAAGTGCCAGTCGGGACGAGGATATGTATTGAACGGGTGCGGGGAATGCCACTGTGAGTCCCGTCAATCAATTCCACTTGGTCGCACATCGCCACAGCCCTCAGTCGAGGAGATCACAAAGAGTCTAGAGTCTAGACAGGCTCCAGGGTTGGCCCGTTGTCCGTCATGACATGCGCAGCCAGACATCGCTTGGAAACATCTTCGAGGTGTCCCCTCCCGCTGCACAGCGAGAGCAAGCGACCACCGGGACAGGACACACCGTCGAGCGGGGGTGTGGATGTGGGTGGATGTGGGTGGCCACCCACTCTACGAGATAGATTAAAAGACAAGACGATGCCGTCTCCCAACGTGCTCTGGGCCGGGGCACACCTTTTGCCTCCTTCCCAAAGATTTGGCAGACTTAATAGTCGAGAGTAGCGCAGGCAAGTCCCCCGATAATATACCCAGGTTCATCCATATTGATGCTCTGCCGCATCGGGCCATTTGGGTTCCAAGTTTTCGACCTTTTTTCTCTGTGGAAAGGGGGTGAGGGTGCAATATAAATCACCTCTCGCAGCAGAGGTTGCAACTTTGGCTGTTGGTTCACGGCACAATATCCAGAGGACAAACGTAGAAACACTTTTTAAAGAAGAAGAAAAGAAAAAAGAGAGCGTGCAAATCCCCTCCCATCCAAAAACGGGGTACTGGACCGCGTGTCGAGAGCAGATGCGGACGGGTATCGATATTGACCCCAATTTGATAAACGATGGGTGAGTGGAGGACCACAGCAGCGCGGTGCAGCAGCCAGCACGCAGCGCAAGAAAGAGGAGGCAGA